AATATGGCACTGTGTTCAAAACGATGTCTAGAGATTTTCTTGCACAATACGAACATAAAAACTGCAGGGGCTTTGATTGTGGTCAATGGAGGGACTCCAACACAGCTTGGACTGAATTAGATGGAAAGAGAGACATATCAGCAGATTGCTACAGTCAAAGCTGTTGTTTGTGTGTGACCACAGTCCCAATCTATGGACCCCACTCCTTTCATATCGAGAGATGAAAGGAAATAATCATCTTTCAGTCCGTTTCTGTACTTTTTAGTATAAATCTTATAACTTTCTACTCCACTATATTACAAGGAAGCTGCTTGTTTCTTGTTCCTTTTTTTTCCAGCTTGGCTTTGTAATCCGCAGTTGCAGTTTTTCTCTCTTGAAATGCAATTTCAACATGAAAGATAGCGGCCCTTAGGACTGAATTTGGACACCACTGTTTTAGAGATTTGCATGGCATTCCACAAATGTGAGAAACTCAGAGCAGATGTTATTCATAGTTCATCATTTTATTAAGGCGTTAGTTGTTGCCATGTGGCCAAGTTGTTCAGATCAGAGTTGCGGATCCTTTGTGACAATAGATTCAAACTTAAACCTCTATTCCATAGTGAAAGTGTATGGAGAATCAATACATTCCTGTTTTCACTTTGGTTTGTTTTCAAATAAGAAATATATATATATATATATATATATATATATATATATATATATATATATATATATATATATATATATATATATATATATATATATATATATATTCTTTATAAAGGGAGTACAATTTGTAGTAGATGGTTCCACGTATCAATACATCAGGTGTTTTCTGAAAGGTTCTATAAAATTTCTCTGAAAGTGATACAGAAAGGTACAGATATTGGGAAAAAAAAAATTTTAAACACTTAAGTATTCAAAAAAGCATGCATTTAAAAGTACTTAAGTATTTTCAAAAATTAGCAATTTGATACTTTCAAATTGAGCAGATGTTTGACTGAGTAATTTTTACTTGTAGTTGAATAAGATTTAACTATGAGCATTAGTACTTTTACTCAAGTACTACTGTCGAGTACTTCACCCAACACTGGTTATAAGTTAATGCAGACTGAAAAAGTATTGTTGTAATTTTTAAATAGCACAGTGAGTGATCAAGGTCTCGATCTGAAGGTGCTTTGACACACTGGAGAGAGTAGATGTAGACTTTGCTAGTTAGTTTGAGTGTTTCCTAATTAAAAATATAAGAGGAATTCTCTGAACTTCAACAGAGATCTAACAGTTTGAGTCTCCTTTTCTCCCTCCTATGAAAACATCCCATCATACTGTGCTTTATCCCTCTTGGCTGGAGCGTAGCTTCAGATGTGGGGTTTCACAGAGCGTACCAGGGGACCGGCGAAACCAGAGACAACAACAACAAATACTGCCTTGTATTTTTAGGTTGTGATTATAATGCTCATTTCACAGTTTAATGCTCTAAGGAAACAAAATAAACTTTGGTGTACAGAGGAACCAGCAAGATCTGGATCGAATCTCTGCTGCTTTCAAATGGCTTTAAAAAAAAACAGCAGAGCTCACGGAAGACTTTCTGAGACTTTCATTAATCCTCATCATTTAAAACAAATGTTTCTCTTTATATTTATAATTAAACTACTTTATCTTATAATCTACAGGCTCACATTTAACAATGCAAATATAGTATTTCTGTTTCCCTGTAGGGATGCAAATTTTTTATAACTCATTCACTGTGAGTTTTTTTCTGTAAAATATAAAGAAAGGACTTGAAGTTAGAGTATTATCTATATTCTGCCAAATACCAGCCTATGTGTGTACCAACTGTTACTATTTGCTGCCATCTGCTGAGTAATTAGAGGTACTGATATGAAATATGCAAATTCTGACAAAAGTATGCTGCCATAAAAGAAGGACTGTGCTAGTTACTGATGCTGTTTTATATCTCCTTTTTTTTCTCAGTATTATTCATATATTATATATTATAAATATATATTTAGTGTCATCAACTTCAATGCATTTTCTTTATCAACACAATCTAGCAGACTAATAACAATAGTATAACTTTATTGATCTCACATTGGAGTAATTTACCTCTGCATTTAACCTATCCCCTTGGGGAGCCGTGGGCTGCCATTGTGAGGCGCCCGGGTAGCAGTGCAGGGTTAAGGGTCTTGCTCAGAAAGTCAGAGTGGCAGTCTGTGGGAGTGGGGCTCGAACTCACAACCTCAGGATTCCAAGGTCTATGCCCTAACCACTAGGCAATCACTCCCCTACTGTGAGATGGAACAAAAAGAGAGATTAAACTTAGTTTTTTAGTAATATAAATAACAATAACGTGTGTTATGCAATCGTATTCCACCTGCTTGGATCCATACTTTGCCAAAACCTTAAATAATGCAATCACAGCATCATTGTTTAGTTTACTAAATACACTTACCTTACCTTAGTGAATTATTTCGAGTGCGAGTAAATTCTGAATATTACAATAACAAGTGGAAGAGTTGATATAACAACATGAAAATATATAGCATATAGATGAACATTCTGATTTTGTTAAACATAAAGGATATTTTGTAGTTAACATATTTTTCCAGATTATCGAAGGGTAAAGCAAGTATGGAATCAATTAATACATCCAACCTTTAAGAAAATACTTAAAGAAGTGTAATGTTTATGATTATGTAGAAAGGTAAGTTCTTTGTTTAATTATTTTTGTTAAAGTAAACCAACTGATTAAGCATCGTTAAAGTGTAATGATTCCACTTTTCCCCATGACTGTAAAAGAAAGATTAGGAATAGAGCCGTCATTGATAAGAGTAATGAGGGGAATGTTTAACCTGTTTATCTCAGCTGATCATAAATATATAAACACATAACATATATTAATGTTTAAATTAATTAAGACATTGTCTGAAAAAATGCAAGTTCCTGAAATATGTTCAAATCTAGTTTAATTTCAGTCAGTTGGGACTCTATAAAGCATCCATTGTTCTTAAATGTTTTATTGCGCTAAAGCGAACAAATGCAAAAGGGTCAGCAATAACGTGGATAATGAATATGTGATGCTCTGCTATTCAGTAAAAATATCTGCAAATATAAAGCATAGTGTAGTGTATATAAACTTACAATCATCACGTTGCAATTTGTTTCCCCTGATCTGAGAAAACAAAATACAGGGAATTTGATTTGAATTCACCAACAACATCTGATTAAGTAGATGTAAGGTTATTAATAAGTAAATAAATAATAAATGTAGACTTAAGCATAACTAATACGTCAAATTAAATGACCCAATAAATTTGCACTTACATTTTTTTATTGCATTGTGTTCTGTTAATATATTAAGCAATATTATCCAAAAGTAAGAGCAAAAATGTTAAGAAACACTTACTTATTTAAATCTAGCATTTTAAAGGGCCATAAAGAGAAAAAACATCTTAGAAAAACAGAAAACTAAGTGTTACTTATAAATATATGCCCTGTTTCTTTTTTATAACCTAATTTTATGGAGGACCAGCTCTACCATATTTAGAAATAAATACAGAAACAAATAAATGCTCAATAAATAAATAAGCATACAATTAATTGCCCCCAAAAATACAATAAATAAATGTAGGTAGAAATTAAGTTATACAGTGAGAAGTAAATGTATATATCTTTTAAATAGCTTCTTTATTTATTAACCTTTTTAATAATTACTTTATTTATGTGCATGTTATATTTTTGTCTGTTTTATTCTTCCTTTGTATTTTTTTTACCCTATTTATTCCTTCCATAATTTTTATTTCTGCCTGTCATTTTTAAATTTCTGTCTGCATTTCTGCCTCATTATGCAAATGAAGGAGTGTGACTTAGAGGCTCAACTTTCTGCTCATTGGTTGGTCAGCATTTTACGTCCAATCTACAGGAGGAGAGGAGAGTCTAAAGTCCAGTCTGAGTCACTGGCCGTTTCTCAATTCAAAAGAACTCGAGTATTATAACATACACATAAATAAATAAGGTAATTTTTACAAAGCTGAATAAATAAAGAAGCTAATTAAGAGATATAGTATATATTTATGCCTCACTGTATAATTTCATTTCTACCTACATTTGATAAAGCTTATAGTTAGAGTGGCTCAGGTTATCCTGAGCTATCTCTATAGTTATGCTGCTATAGGTTTAGACCTCTGGAGGACATAGGGACCCCTTTTTCATCATTCTATCTCTATTCTCCCACTCTGCAGAATCTGTTAGTTCAATCTCTAACATTCTGCTCTCACTGCTTTTTCCTCATAGTAGCTTCGCCTCGTCTGTTCCTGTTTGGCTGTGGCACCATCCTGGAGAGAAATATCAGCTGTGCTGCTGCCATCAACACCTTTGTATATAGATGTTGGAGATCGGCCTGTTTTCCAGTGTAGTCCTGTTTCTCTGAATGTGACTGGCTGGATGTGCTCTCTTCATCCTCTGGCATGGGAGCTGGCTCAGAGCTCGTCTGCCTGGCTGTGTGTTTCCTGGACGGGGCAGCCCCTTATAGCTGCTTCTTGTATCTCTGCTTCTGTCTCCTTGAACCCCAGTCGGCCTCGGCAGATGGCCGCTCACACCGAGCTTGGTTCTGCTTCCTGTTAAAAGGGAGTTTTTCCTCTCCAATGTCGCTACAAGCATGCTTAGTGTGAGGGATTGCATTCGAGTCAATGAGTCGATACAATCAACTGGTTTTCCTTAGAAAAATTTGAATCAGTTTGACTGTATGATCTGGTGAAGTGTAAAGTGCCTTGAGATGACATGAGCTGTGAATTGGCACTATATAAATAAACATAATTTAATTTATTTATTTATTATATTTTTGGGCGCAATTAATTGTATGCTTATTTATTTATTGAGCATTTATTTATTTCTGAATTCATTTTTAAATATGGTAGAGCTGGTCCTCCATATTATTTAAGTCAAATTTACTCATAAATAATGAAGCATTCCGTTCACTCCACGCACTACAAGTCCCATGAAGCATTGCGCGTGTCGCCATAGTAGCGCGAAGTTCGTTTGAGCTTCCGTCCATTATGAACAGCCCGGTTCGCCTCTTCGCCACTTTACCGGCGGCAGAAACCAGGAGTAAAGACAAACAGCAGAGCCTGGAGGCGGCAGTAGTTCGGAGGGAGGGTGTCGGTAAGCCGGTGAGGGAGGTTCAGGTCAGCGGGGTGGCGGAGGTTTCCTGCCCGGCCGACAGAGCAACAGTGCGGGTCAGTGTGAGCAGCAGTAAGGAGTCAGTGAACGAGGTGACCAACAGCATTTCACGAAGACTGGAGTACATTTTACAAACAATCAGGTAAAAAAACAACTAGAAGTTTATGATTGTGCAGTTAGCTGTCCCATTTATATATTTATAAAGCTTCTGTTAACACGGCATAATTCAAGCACCACCATGTTCTCCTATAGATGGTGCGTTCACTGTCACTTTACAAGATAAACTAAAGTATGGAGGACCAACTCTACCATATTTAAAAATAAACACAGAAATAAATAAATGTTCAATAAATAAGCATACAATTAATTGCCCCCCAAAAACAAACAAATAAATGTAGGTAGAAATTAAATTACAGTGATACATAAATGTATATATCTCTTTTAATAAGCTTCTTTATTTATTCATCTGTGTAATAATTACCTTATTTATTTATTGTCTGTTATAATCTTTCATTTCAAGCATATATCTGTGTTATGATGATGATTTTTTTCCACTTTCAGGTAGCAAAATTAAATTCCTAGAAATAAATGTGAAGTTTTGACCAATGAAATATTTTTAGAATAGAAATATGGACCCTAGGAAAACTTTTTGTGTCACCCTTCTAATGTTTGTAATTTTGAAGGTATTTCTGCAGCTGTGTGTTTGAAGTCAAAGAGCTTAGATTGCACAAAGCAAAGATGCTTGATATATAACACTATAATACTCACATTTAATATTATAATAAAAGCTAAAATTTGATTTATTATCCATTTAAACCATTATATAATGAGATATGTCAGGATTAAATGTGCAGGTAAGTAAAAAAGGTTGATGTTTTCTGTCCAGAGGACTTCTAATACCTTTAATTTATACTTTCTTTAGGGGTATTAAAGTTAAGCTGCTGTTTATTTCTTTAGCAAACATAAAGACAACAAACTTTTTTTATGTCACAGTAAAACATTGCAAGGTGCTTTATATTAATGCAGCCCACCATTTATATATTTATAAAGCTTCTGTTAACACAGCATAATTCAAGCACCACCATGTTCTCCTATAGATGGTGCGTTCACTGTCACTTTACAAGATAAACTAAAGTATGAAAGACCAACTCTACCATATTTAAAAATAAACACAGAAATAAATAAATGTTAACTAGATAGTCTAAGGCACATCATTGTTTTTCTGATTAAATCATTTAAATCAATCAGAGGGAGGACTTGTATAACCTTTGAGCTCTTCTGTATTCAGTCTGTGTTTTCTTTCCAGGCAGCATGGAGTCAGAGACGAAGATATTTCAGTGAGACGCTATCTTCACCGAGATGCCGACACCTTTAGCATGGATGCAGAGGTGAGCTGTTTGGACAGTTAACTGGTATTTAACAACATGAGAGCAAACAGCTGGGTGACATGATGGTTTGCAAAATCTTTCACAGATCATAGTGACTTTCTCAGAATTCGAGAAGATGGAGCAGATGTGCAGCATCCTGCTGGACAAGCTGGGTAAGAGCGTCCATGTTGGGGCCCCCCACTTCTTCCACAGTGCTGCATGTCTGAGTCAGCTGAGGTGCTTTAAACGTGGCGTTCAAATGTCCTCCTATTCAAATCAAATGCAGGAGTCCTAAGTTGTGTGTTTGCTTTTTAGGTTGCGTGCGTGTGTATCAGCAGTGGAAAATGCTAAACAGAAAGCCAGCAGGATCAGTCAACTGATGGGGGAAAGCCTGGGATCTCCCCTCCTGGTCAGAGAGGAGGAGACCAAGGAGTGGAGGAGCGAGGAGGAGGAGGCTGCAGGCGGAGAGCACGACCCAACGCCCCCTCTTCCTCACATACCTACAGCCACTGCTTCCTCACACGTCTCCCTTTCCTTCAGCTTCAGAGACAAAAGCAAGAAGAAACTCTAAACATACCATGAACGCACACTTTAAAAACAAAAACACTTTATTGCACAATTTCCATGCTTGGACAGAAGTGTAAATTTTTTTTTTTCCCCAAAGCAGAGACAGTCCTGTAAATGGATTCTTAAAAGTTGATTTCAAGCATTTAGTGGGAATTTTAACAGAAATTTGAAGTTTTTATGGAATTCATTTAAAATGATCATCTGCACAAATTAGAATAAAATAATCTATACCTCCAAAAATAAACATTCTCACACTGAGTCCCCGTGAGGAGAGATTCAGTGTGTATCCCTGATTTACACACCCTGTGGTGTTTAAGTTCAATACTGGCCTTAAGGAAACTTCACCGCCGTCTAAAACATCAGGCTGTGAAGCACATTTATGGAGATAACGCAGTCTCCGTCAGCTGTCCTCAACGTCGTCCTCTGGGAAGAGCTCTCTGAGCCAGTCCTGCATGACGAACCGCTTCCCGTCAAAATGCGTGAAGTAGTTCCCCAGGGTGGGAATATCCGGCTGCAAACATCCAACAGTGAGCTCAGATGTATGTGAATAAAACAAAGACGTGCTGCAACTGGAAGTCCTTACCCTCATTCCTGTGATGCGCTCCAGCTGTGTTTGAGGCAAGTATGCAACCATCAGAGAGGACGGTCCAGACCCGCCAAACAGCACCTTGTAATGCGGCGTCTTCTCTGCCTTTGTGTCCTTTCCTCACAAAAACAAACAGACTTTATTATTAATAATCAACCTTAAGACAGGCATTCATTTTACTCATAGTATTTTTGGTATCACAGAGAGAAGATGTGTAAACTATGGTGGCCGACGGATGCAAACGTGCAGTGAACAAGGAACGAGCTGCAAAAGAATGATGGAAACTTCAAAACATGCAAAACAGAAAACAAATGCAACAGAAACATGCTGCAATTATTGAAAGAAACTGATAGAAATAGTAAAAAAAAAGCAAACTTGCGCCACAAAACGGAAGTGCTCCAGACCCACTAGAGGGAGTCAAAGATAGAGCAAAGCATATCAGACCAGAGTGTTCCTGATATTATGTATAAATCCACTTTTATTCTTTAATGCTGTTAGACTGTTTTAAAAAAAACTGAAAAGAAAAACTCTCCTTTCTTCCAACTTTCGTTTGTTTTTGTTTTAAATCCTGTGTTAAGGGAAACAGCTGTTCCAACCATTGCATTTCCAAATTTTCCCGAGTGGTGCCCGACTTTACATGAGGGAATAAAGTGAATGTGATTGGTCGATTATCAAGGGGGCGGGATTGTTGTGGCGGACGGTTCGCTGGGACACTGGGATGGAACTCAATGGTAAAGTAAATGATTCTTATTTCAAACGTTGCGTATATTAGCTGCGACATATGAATCAAGATGCTATGACCAAAAAACATTTGATTGACAGATGACCGGAGATATATATATGCCGAATTTAGGTGTTCAGGCTGACGTATAACTAAGGCTACGTTCACACTGCAGCCTGAAGTGACCCAATTCCGATTTTTTGCCCATATGTGACCTGTATCAGATCTTTTTATGACAGTCTGAACGACACAGATCGGATTTTTTCAAATGCGACCCAGGCCACTTGGATATGTGGTCCTGAATCCGATACGTATCTGATCTTTTCAAATGCGACCTGTGTCTGTACGGCCAGGTCGCATTCATCCGACCTACACGTCATTGATACTTGACAAATGTTACTAAACGTTACTAATCTGCGTCCTACTAAGCGGAGGCGGGAAAAACTAACAACCATTGCGGAAGATAACACAGAGAGCAGTCAATGGAGAGAAAGTGAGGTTGCTGACTTACCCCAGGCTCACACCGACTCCGGTCTTACCGTTGCGGTGCGGTGGGTGCGGCGCCGCAGTGATTCCAAGTCATTAAAAAGACGTAAACCTCTCTCACCGGCTGCTGAGCTGTCCGGCTGCGGTTACCGAGACACTCCGTCGCTGCAGAAAATTCCGCAAGAAAGCTATCCTTGCGGCGTGCCGGAGCCCTCCGCAACAAGCTCTCGCAAAAATCCTTTATTTGGGCCGTGTTATCGCGTGAAGTTACGTGAACTCAAGTGAACTTCTGTTAAATCTCCGGACCTGTTGCCGGAGCCGCAGAGCCGCACCGCACCGTAGTCAAAAGGGCGGTGTGAGAGGGGGTGTGCGGGAGTTGGGGTCTCCGTCAGCTCGGTAACCGCACCGGAGCCAGTGTGAGCAAGGGGTTAATTCATATTTGGGAGATAGCTCGATTCAGATCAAACTCGAAGGGTCTTACCGGAACCTGGCTCTCTTTCTTTTTGATCTTCTTAAAAAGATTTCGTTCGTAATGTGCCTGCTCCTGTTGGAGAAGAACTTAAAGAACGCAATATACGCTGCGGTATTACGAGTCATGTTTACTTCCGCAAACACTGAGGACGCTTGCTACATGTGACGTCATCGCGTCCTCGAGTGCGCATGCGGGACACTTCAGTTGAACGCTTTCAGTTCACACAGTAGATCACATACAAGTCGCATATACTTGGAAGTGTGAACGGACACGCAAAAAAATCCGATTTCACAAAAAAAATCGGAATTGAGCATTAAGGCCTGCAGTGTGAACGTAGCCTAACTGGCCTGCATAAGATAACGGAAAAAAAACACTGATCTTAAAGACAGATTTTTTTTTTTTTTACCGTATATATAATTTTTCTAACTTTTGGGACACTATCCTCTGATAAAGAATACATTTATATACATGTTTAAGCCAGAATTATTTGACATTTAAATAGGACTTCCCCAACGACTTTGGTCTGGAGCTATTTTGTGGTGTGAGTTTGCTGCTGTTTTTACGGTTTGCATCATTTTCTTTCTCTGAGTGCAGCATTTTGTTTTTCCTTGCAGTATTTTGTTTCTTCTTTTTTTTTTGCTAACATATTTAGGAGTTTGCATCCCTCATATTTTTGCAGGTCGTTCTTCGTTTACTGTGCCTTTGCACCTGCCGGCCACTGTGTTAAACAGCTTTAGTCTGAGGTTTAACATCCATCTTTATCAGAGCTGCTCCTAAATGTGCCCAATCCCTCCAATCATTCCGGTTTAACAGCTAAGGAAACAGGTTCATGGGTACCAACCTCAGAGTTAGAGTACATTTTGTCCACCCACTCCTTAGGGGCTCGCAGCTCCGGGTCCCAGCTCACAACCACTCCAATCATGTGGCCCCTCCTCTCCATCACCACCTCCCCTACCCGCAGAAACACAAACGGGGGGCGAGGGCTGCGCACTGCTTTGGAGGCTGCAGAGATAAAAAGGTGTGCTTGTTTTTAAAGCATTTTTTAGGGGACAGCTCAATCAAATCAATTCATCCAATTAGAGGGAACACAATGAATCATTGCATCACTGGATCAGAAGAAACAGTCCAGATATGGCCATTCCTTAACCTCAGGACTACAGCACATCATTACAGAAGTGAAATGATTAACAGGACAGTTGTAATTTATTTTAAAAGCTAGAGAAGCAGGGGTTGCAGTGGGTAGCACAGGTTGCGGGTTCGATTCCCGGTCCGGGGTCTTTCTGCATGGAGTTTGCATGTTCTCCCTGAGCATTCATGGGTTCTCTCCAGGTACTCCGGCTTCCTCCCAGTCCAAAAGCTCGACTGTTAGGTTAATTGGCTTCTATAAGTTCTAGGTGTGAGTGTGTGCGTGAGTGGTTGTTTGTTTCTGTGTTGCCCTGTGATGGACTGGCGACCTGTCCAGGGTGTGCCCCGCCTCTCGCCCGTAGACAGCTGGAGATAGGCACCAGCACCCCTTGCCACCCCACTTGGGATTAAGCGTGTCAGAAAATGGATGGATGAAGTTAGAGAAGCAAGTAGGAAACTTGGAAAAGTACAAACCTCCAAAGAATCCCTGGTCATTATCAAATATCATAGTCTCTACTGGTGGAGACACTGGTTCACCTTCTTGTCCCAAACCAATCAGAGACCTACAGGGAGTCAGAATATTTTTTTGAGTGAAGCTGACATATTTATTTGGAACATTTATTTCTGAAATTAAGTTTCAAGATTAAATTTCACTCACTTCACTTTGGAAAATTGCTGGTTGGTCCAGTCAGCCCAAGCTGTAGCGTTAAGGAATGAAGTTCTCCACTGGTTCCATATGCGAAGCAACCTGACATCATCATCATGTCTCATTATTACAGCCGTCATTACATTATTAGAGGTGGTTTTAGAGCAGGAGCCTTACCGCGTGGTTGCGTGGTAGCGCTGCGTGGCCGTGGAGCCGCACCAGCGGGAGATGAAGTACTGCGCGGGCAGAGCGGAGAGCAGCAGGCAGAGCTGCAGCGCTGCGGCGGCGCTCATCTGGGGCATGGCCGCAGCTGGAGGCGCTCCTTTAAAAGCGTAACTTTATTTCATTTAGATAATACTCATTGAGGCGTATGGTTGGTAAAAATGTCGCTGTTTTCCTAATTGGAAATTAAAATTATATTTCGGCCGAGTTGCGCATTAATAATAGTTATTTTTCTCACCTGTTTCTCTGAAATCCAACCTTTCCTCCTGCTATCTGCTCAACATTATGTCGCGGAAGGTTGGTTGCGGCTGGAAAAAACAAAGTTTCACTTCTGTTTTATTTACATAAACGTCAACACATGCCGGCGCCACCTGTGTATTTATTACAGTATTTAAAAAAACTTCCCAAAACAGGTGCTCTGCCCAATCAGGGCGGCCCACGGAGGAGTTAATGGACCTTTAGCGGCCCGCCACGTCAGGGAGAGCCCGGCTCAGGGAACCTGCAGCTGCGCTTTGGCGACGCTAGGGGGCACTGTTCTGCAAAACTGCTTCATGCGCACATCCCAATCAAACTTTTTAGTATCAGTTGCAATGTCAGTAATTTAAAAAAAAAAGGCACTGTAGCCTAGTGATATATTCCAAGCATGTATTTACATGATTTTGCTAAGCATGACTAAATTCTATGACAACCCAAAACCCAGTTTCTAACTCATTCCCTAAACTATTATTGAATAGCCTGTGGATTTGAGACAATCACAACCTCTACAAAAACTGTTAATGAAGCAGATTACCTGCAGAATATACAGGTCCTTCTCAAAATATTAGCATATTGTTATAAAGTTCAATATTTTTTTCCATAATGTAATGACAAAACTTGAACATTCATATATTTTTGATTAATTGCACACTAACTGAAATATTTCAGTTCTTTTATTGTTTTAATACGGATGATTTTGGCATACAGCTCATGAAACCCCAAATTCCTATCTCACAAAATTAGCATATAATGAAAAAGGTCTCTAAGCGAGCTATGCACCTGATCATCTGAATCAACAAATTAACTCAAACACCTGCAAAAGATTCCCGAGGCCTTTAAAACTCCCAGCCTGGTTCATAACTTTAACCCCAATCATGGGTCAGACTGCCGACCTGACTGCTGTCCAGAAGGCCATCATTGACAACCTGAAGCAAGAGGGTCTGACACAGAAAGATATTTCTGAACAAATAGGCTGTTCCTAGAGTGCTGCATCAAGGCACCTCAGTGGGAAGGAAAAAGTCTGGCAGATTTCGTTTTTCAGCACAACCTGGCACCTGCTCACAGTGCCAAAACCACTGGTAAATGGTTCACTGACCATGGTATCACTGTGCTCAATTGGCCTGCCTACTCTCCTGACCTGAACCCCATAGAGAATCTGTAGGATATTGTGAAGAGAAAGTTGAGAGACACAAACCCAACAGTCTGGATGAGCTAAAGGCCGCTATGGAATCATGCTGGATCTCCATAACACCTCAGCAGTGCCACAGGCTGATTTCCTTCATGCCACGCCGCATTGAAGCAGTCATTTCTACAAAAGGATTCCCCACCAAGTATGAAGTGCATAACTGTACATAATTATTTCAAGGTTTCCTTCTTTAGTATTAAGAACACTTTTCTTTTATTGGTCATTGAAATATGCTACTTTTGTGAGATAGGAAATTTGGGTTTTCATGAGCTGTATGCCAAAATCATCCGTATTAAGACAATAAAAGACCTGAAATATTTCAGTTAGTGTGCAATGAATCTAAAATATACGATGTTTAAATTTTATGATTACATTACAAAAAATAATGAACTTTATCACAATATCCTAATATTTTGAGAAGGACCTCTATGTGTAGACGTTGAAATTTAAGTTGACAAAGAGTGAGAAAGATAAAAATAAAATAAAATACAGGAATAACTGCAGTATCAAAAGGTTTGTTTAAAAAAAAACAAAAAAGGGATTTCAAGAGCTTGGCAAAGATTCAAGAGGTGATGTCTAATGCACTCTAATGGACAGTACATTGCTCAGTGCTGTAAACTCCTTTTAGGTAAAATCACAATTTGCAATTTATTTGCAAATAAAGGCCCAAAAGCCTGGAGGGATATTTTTGATGGCAAGTTTGATGAAGATGCTGATTTTATTTCCCTACTGTCAAGCATGGCAGTGGGAAGATAATGTTTTGGGATATTTAGTATTTATAAATAATTTATCAAGGATAGGCAACCTGATCAGCGTAAAACAAATTAAAATATAAAAACAGAAACTTGGTCATAGGGAATTATTGTGTTTCAGCACAACAATGACTCGAAACACAGCTAAAAATGACCTATATAGGCTTAAAAAAAATCTGATTATATTGAGTCATAAATGACAGAAGGTAAATATGGAAACACAACTGTTTATTTACTTAAAATATTGGTATGAACTAACAGGACAGTAGTACTCCCCTACACATACATTCTAGCTTTATGCTTTTTTTTGCATCACTTCCTTTATATAAAAAAGTATCCAAACTAACAAAGACAACTTCATCAATAGATTCACATAAAAGAGACCCCCCCCCTCCCTTTTTTAATCTCCCTCTGCTCCATAAAACCTCAAACTTAGAACATCTCAACTCTTCCTGGTGGCTCTCATGCAACTTCACACACTCACACACACACACCCACACTCTGACCACACCGATGCTTCAGGCAGGCGCCACAAGAAGCACTCCTCTGCCACACATCTACGGAGGCTCATTGAGTACATGCAGGTTCTCATGGAACCACGTTAGTGATTTTAAAAGAAAACCCTAAGAAATTAGATCATGTTATCTGTGACTGAAAGAAGTATCCCTTTCCATATTTATTTTTATTTAGGATATATAGAGAGCTGTGAAGGTATGGCCTGCCATCAGTTAACCCCATATCTCATATCCTGATTTACTAACCCAGGATTCTTTACCATGTGTATTGGCACCCCTGGTACAGATGCATGTGAAGCTTTAAACAGGTTTAGCTTTCATTGCAGGAGTTTAATCTCACACAGAACAATTCAAAAATACATCTGTTGATTTGCATTCATTTTTTTAGCAAGAAAAACTTCTTGTTCAGAAAATAAGTAACAGCTTTCGTTCCTGGTTTCTGATAATGACAGCCACGTTAATTCGGATTATAGCCACAATATAAAATGCTAAAAAAAACTACGAGGATGATAACTGGAGCGATGCGCTTTGGTCAGAGCAGCCTATGATGGAGCATTTAAGCTTCATTTTAGGTGAATTTTGGTGTGAATCGTAGGTCCACTGTGAGGTAACCTTTTCTCTGAGCAGTAGTGGAGGATCTGTAATGCTGTGGGCTTTATGATCAGGCAGACCATGGAAACCTTGGAGTGCACGCAAATACAAGGACATTTTAAAATAAAAATCAAGTGGCAGGAGACAGAAAACTAACAGTGTGAGATTATGCTTCTACAATATTTAAGTAGTAGGGATTTTTTTTACCAATAAACAACTGATGTTTATAAATCGATCTGCTGTGCTAACATACATTCAGAATAAAAATAATCGGTTTTATGAGCACATAATGTGTATGTAAAATTATGGAATAGATAAAAGCCATGAACAAACATTTAAAGCTAACTAAATCTTCTACTAAAAATAAATATTTTTATGGTTTAAGATTTCATCTTTAAATCATAGAACATTTTTTTTTCCCATTTTGAGAAAAAGAAAGTCACTATTTTTGACAATTTTACATTTAAAATAAACTTTGTATTATTATCAACAATTAAAAATGTAACCGTATCCTCAAGTACATGTGTGGCAGAGCATAGAGCATCATTCTATCTCCATCGATACGTCGTGTAGTTATGGCAGGGAGACGGAGAGGACAGGGAACACATCAATCATAAATGAACATCAACAGTGGAGACAATAGAAGCCGGTTAGAAAACACATTCAAAAGCCATGTTGTAAAACTTCAGTGCCCACAGACAGAATTTGGCATTGGAAAAACCAATGTTATAAACAATGACAAACAGGATATATGTAGAGTAATATGTGAGCTATGAGATGAACCAGGTGTGTATAGATGCTGGCGTCCATCCGGTCCCACGGCATGCAATGAAACTTGCAGATTTGGGCTTTTGCTCGCTCTGCTGGGGGAGAGAAAACATACCAGGAAGGGATGCATCTTTATAAACTCAGTAACCAGAATTCTTCTCTCTATAAACCCAGAGTCCAGTTCTCTGCACGGAGCCATTAGCAGAACCAGAATATCCAAGCATAAAATAAAAAAAAGCCCCATAAGGAAAAAAAACGGAGGACTCCATATGCCAGAGTAGCAAAGGCACACTATCAGAAAGGTGAAGTTGTTTTCCGTCATATACAGTTCGATCCGATTTCAAAGCCCCCAACCCTCCCTTCCAACTTATGAGAAAGTGCTAGAACATGCGAGACAAGTTTGCATGTGAAATGTTCACCTTAGAAGCATCAAAAAATTCTTGAAAAGCTTATTTTAGAAATACAAACAGTTACTATCTAAAACTGCATTGTGGCAAGTGTATCTCAAAGCTAGCTCCCACTCTCTGTACCTGTGTATGAACAGACGACTGGGTTGGTTATAGAACGACACACCAACATGAACTCAACAGGTCTAAAACAACAGGTTCATTCTTCTCAGCTGCTATAAGCAAGTTTGTCTGAAAGGTTTTGCGATGATCAAACTGTATATGCCACTGTTTGTCGGCTCTGAGTAAAGCCTGCGCTCACTTATGTTATAAACACACACACACACACACGCCTCTCTTTCTGTTGCACATAGGTTACCAGTCAGATGTTTACATCCAAGCAGCAGAGGACTGATGGGGTGTTTCATGAAGCATTTAGTCAACACTCCCATTATAAAAAAAAAATTAAAAAAACAAGATTTGGAAACATTATTGTAGATTTTCAGAAATTATACATTTAAGTTTAAATGTGTTCGATTACATTGAGAGACAGGCCGTTTGGAGCCATCAGTTAGCTTCTGGTATAAACGTCTAAATGTTTGCATTTCCTGCAGCTTTGAAGGAGAGTTTGTTAACATTTCCTGAAGCCTGTTCCATCCAGCTTTAGGTTGTGTTTGGGTAATTTTCCTCTTCTGGAGCAGCAACTGTTCTTTTGCTACTGTAACTACTGATTAGAGGAAGTCTGTCCCTCAGCATGATCCTGCTGCGACTGTGCTTAACATGTTGTCTAACAGTTCATTTCTTTGATTCTGTCTGTGATATGTTCTAAAGGCGTTTGGCTTATTCCTGTAGCTTAAAATCTCTGATGTTGAAGCTGCTGGTTTAGCTTTTTAATTTTGAATCTGAGCTCAAACTGCTGTCAGGGAACAGATTTCAGGCACCGTTAAACAGGTGCAAACAGGACAATAAACCCAAACGCATCAGAAACGGTTCGGAGTGAGTAAATTAAGCTAACATTAACTTTCTGCAATGTCCTCGGCTAAAATGCCATCAAAGTTTGATGGACTATGAAAAAGAGTCATGTCTGGGGCAGGAAACATAACATTTCAATAAAATACCAAATCTACTAAGAGTTAAGCCACATGGTTGCTGATAGCTACAAAAAGGTTGCAGAGGATTAGCTATCCAGGCTCTGTTTATTAAAACATCATATAGGCTGTGTCCGAACGTTCGCCCTAACCCCTAGATCCCTCAATATCTATACAGAGTGTGGACTATATAGTGGACTTATAGTGAACTCAGGGAACTCACCATTCGGACAGATGATCAATACTTTTCGCTCTCCGTTGGTCACGTGACTCTGCCTCCCCACACGGTGGCTGCGCCATCTTTGTTTTGTCGCCACTGTCGGGTAGTGACAGCCATAGGCGCTGCTTTGACAACAAATCCCATGATGCTCGATATATCTGCTCGTTTTGTGACTAACGATGATCCCTACTTTTCAAGGTGCATTGTGGGAAATTTCGAGTCCACTACTTTTTCATCCGCTAGACATTTGGACACTTCTCTAAAATGGCGTAACCACTATATAGAGCCCTATATAGTGGTTAGGGTGGACATTCGGACACAGTCAGAGTTTATGTAAACATTAGCATCTTAACCTCAGCAGACCAGGTTCTTGAAAATAAAATTAATCTTAGCTTATTATTTCTCATCAAATGCTTCATAAAAAGCCCCAAACTAAAATCCCATCATGCCAGAGATGATCATCTGCAAACATATGACTGAAACTTGCAAAAGCCAAAGAAGGCAAGTTTTTTGACAAATGTGCACAAGTAGAGGCCTAGCACATGCATGCACGCACCCACACACCTTACAGTACATGTAAAGGCACAAGGTATTGCTAATGCAGAGGACGCATTCAGACATGATATAAAGACACATGATTAACTCCTTTCACTCATGCATCGTATTTAACCCCCTCACAGTAAAAACAGCTTTCAGGAAGAAGTGGCTTCCTCTTTCTGATTAACATGCAGAAAACGAAAATTAACAACACAAGAACAGAATGTACCGGTGTACAGTACCGACAGAGGTACGCCTTTTGGTATTTTAGCACTGACAGACACGCCCAGCTCGGCCTATGAGTAAGACTTCCAAATCAAAGGGACAAACATGTGATGTTTGAGAAAAAGTAAAGAAGAGGTTTTAGAAAAAAAAGGGACAGGATAAAGTTTTGGGGGAGAATCGGGGGTCTTAGGCCAGTTGTCTATGCAGGTCTGACCCGATTACTTTTGGCCCAATCTGACTCCAAACTGTGTTTAAGGTCAGGCAGAGGAGAGGTTCGCCGGACAAAGGGAGAAACACCGCCTTCATAGACACAGATTCTGTGCTCCTGTGGGATCCAACATGGATCAATAGAATAGGAGGTGTGGGAGGATACAAACATGCAGCTCTGAAGTGCTTAGTGGGCGGAGAGTAAAGTAGGGTCAACGGCGGGAAGGGCGACGGGCTGTTAGCCTCCGTTCCATCCACCTGGAAATCTCTCAGCCCTCTGAGCACTCCAGCTGGTGCACAAGTTCTTTACCAGCCTATGAGATTGGCTTTGGCCTTTTCTGTCAGTTTGCGGACGCGCCCCTTTGAGGATGTCCCAAAGGTGATTGAGGAGTCCTCAAACAGCAACTGCCTCTGCTCCTCCTCAGAGTCCTCCTCCATGTACCAGGCTGACCGTCGTCCATGGTTGCGTGTGCGCATGGCCCCCATTGTCCCCTCTGCTTCCTCCTCCTTTGGAGAATCTTTCTGACTGGATCGCTGAGAGGCAGTGTGAGGATGAGGCGTGGCCTCCTCGTTTGTTCTCCTGCTGCTCCTTCTCAGTGGAGAGGGTTCAGGGGACTCCGCAGGAGGAGTCGACTCCATAGTTTTTACTAACCGGGGTCGGCCTCTTCGTCTAGGTGTCGAAGCCATGCCGGACTCAGAAGGTGCTGAGGTTTCTGGGGCGGAAGAAGCTCCGCCTTCGTCCCCGGTGGAGTGGTCCAACTCGTCATCAGGAGTGGTGCTCCTACGACTCCCGCTCCGTCTCATCTCCTCCTGGTCCTTCTTGCCCTTTCTGTCCTTCTTTTTGCCAGGTGGGCGACCTCGGGGTCTTGAGGGGCTGGCCGGAGTTGGGACTTCTGGAGGACTCACCGGTGAGTCCCTTCTGGACCTCCGTCCCCTTCTTCCCACGCCGAGGGTCATGTGACTGCTGTGACCGTTCAGATGGGCCGTGATTTGAGTTGAAGGGCTGGAAGGGGAACCTTAAGTAGAAAAAGAACAACAGGAGAATGTTTATTGTTTGTTCTGCGAGTTCAGTTTTAAACCAAAGCTTTGGTTGCGACCACTAACCAGGCGTGTGTCGCACTGGCGTCCTGAGTTTCCGACGAGTGCTGCCGCTGCTACTCTCTGCTGGTGGAGGGGGTGTAACCTTTTCAGGGACTGGTGGAGTTGAAGCCCGTACAGAATTATGAGTCCGTAGCGAGCGAGAAGATTCTAACAACAAACAGGAGATACAACAGAGAGGCTATTAGCCTGTTGACCAAATCAATCGAAAGTCTGAAGACTTGGAGTAGAACAGAGGTCTTCATCACGGGGATAATTTAATCTCACCTCCTGTGTTTGGTGTGCTGTTGGTGAGATTATTTGAAGGAGGAGGTGAGGAGTGCGCAATGTGGCGTGCAGAACTACGTGTCCGCCCTGGAGCTGGGGTGTCCACTTTACCGTTGACCAGCTGAGGCGTCTGTTTCACAGGGACGTTTTGTCTGAGTGACGGCGGCCGTGAAGGAGCTGGTGATGGCTCCCTCTTAGCCGTCACCCTGGAAGATACCCGTCTCTTCCTCTCCGGGCTACAAGCAAATAAACAGGGAGAGTGAGGGCTGTCTTTGTTTTGATCTGTAACAATTCAAGACAATTTTTACCTGGATGCATTGCTACTTGTGGGCGACTCGCTTCTCCGTCTCTTTGCCGTGTGCCGCGTTTGTCTGTCTGCAGTGTGTCGTGTCTGCCTGTCTGTCCCCCGCCTCGTCAGTTTATCCGTCATGCCGTGGATTGCTTTGTAATCCGACAGGATGGCGCTGATATGCTCTTCAAACAGCGCTGAAAGCCTCAGACTCATGCTGTATATCTGCAAAACATGAGAAACAACCGAAATTTAATCATAGAAAAAAAAAAAAAAAAAAGCTTGGGTTAGATCTAGTCTTCTGCAAATGATTCTCACCCTTGACTTTTTACTGGGTGTGTAAGCCTTGGAATTGCTGAAAATCAGCCGGACATCCTTGGATAGCTCAATAGGAGAGTGGTAGTTTCCCCCTGTCAGCTTTTTTAAAACTGTCCCAAAGTCCATTGGAGAGTCAACTATTTGCAGGTAGTCCTTATAGATGGAAACATACGGGAAAGAACAAAGGTGATCAGAATAATCTGCAGCAGTGGTGAAGCAGCAGGAAGTGTTGGTTCCTCATATGAGGAGGTTTTGTACCGTATATTCTTGCAGGTCAACAGGTTCTCTAAAGGGCTCAGAATCCTCACACTGAAAGATGAGGTCTAGCAGCTCCTTGCAGCGTCCTTTCCAGGCATGAGGATCGTAAGAACGAGGCCGTGTCCGTAGCTTGCGCTGCATGGGTTGACGGCCCTAAACAGGAAATTTAAAGTAAAGAGCAAACCCTGCATCCGTCCCTTCTTATTTATCTTTTATTTCTCCCTCATGAACAGCCAGCACTGGTTAATGGAGATCTATCAGCTATTAGCCATGTTACCTTATGATTTCGGGTTGATGTTCCTGGGGTGTTAATATCTTCGTCATCATCCTCATCATCCTATACAGGGAAAAAATAATAAAGGGCCCATTATAACTTACATTTTCCTTCCTCATATTTTCAAGAGTGACATTGGTTTTCATATAATTAATTGTCATTACTTCAAAAAAGCCTCAGGTCCTCATATCCAATTAATTGTCTTTAAAACAGAAAAAAGTATCTGGAGGAGGACGTTGATATTTTGATATAATACCCTGTATTTTGTTTCTGGTATGATTGTGATGTAGTAATGCATAGTAATACATATGAATAAACCGCATTATGTCTGGATCTAAACCCTCCCTTGTAGCTCTAGCTTCATGTTCCGGCTTCTATTCCTGCTGTATGTTTAACATCTGGCTTAGTCTCCAGTCCCCTGAAGTTCTCTCTAAATGGTTTACCAGCTCCCCTGTCTCTGCAAGTGGAAAACATCCCCACAGCATGATGCCGCCACCAACATATATAAGCGTGGAGATATTTTCTGAGTTGTAAGCATTTTGAATTGGTCTAAGCTACCCACATCAACAGGACTCCTTATGGATTTCTTTGACAATCACTTTTTTTCCTGCAACTCCTTCATGACAGTGAAACTTTTGGAGTGCCCCACTAATATTTGTACATCAAACACTGACAAATGCTGTCTCTCTGATCCATCCCCAGATAAACCTCACCATAACTCCCCCTTTCAACCTGTCGCCTGTGTTGTTCCATCTTCACTGAGCAATTTGTCTACTTAGAAACCCCTCAGGACTTCATACAACATTCGCATTTGGTTATGCTACTTAATGGTTTCAGAGTGAAGGTTGGCTGAACTCTTTTTAGATGTTTATTAGTGAGAACATTTTAAAACCCCTAAAGGTTTTCTCACACTCAACCATTATTTGCTCCTTTGACACAAAGAACCTTAATAAAATATACTGAGAAACAGTTCAAGGTACAGTATAGTGTAAAACATAAAGTATAATATAGTAATATAATTTATATATATATTAGTGTAGCATATTATAGGTTGGTATAGTAGTATATTATAATACAGTAGTACAGAATACAAACAGTTATATGTTATTAATTATATATTTTTAGTAAAGTAGTAGAGTATATTTTAGTAGTATATATAATCAAGTAGTCCAAGTTAGTGTAATGTTATAATATGGTATAGTAGTATAACATACTACACTTTAGTATAGTTTAATAGTATAATGCAGTCTTGTGGTTTAATACAGTGTAGTAGTATAGTGTACTAGCGGTGTTTTCCATTAATTTAGAAGACTGTGGCATTTAATTTGGATCCACCACAGTCTCATATGATTCCAAGATGCAAGGAAAAAAATAAATAATAGGATAAACTAAATAAAAAGGAACGGACAGAATGATAATTTCTTAGTACAGCTGCGAGCGCCCACACTCAGGTCATGTTCATAGATGCCACTCTTCTTGATGCATTTTGGCACGACCCAAATTCCAGCGAAAACTGGAGCCACAGATGACAACGGGGCAGATGTATGAGCTAGGTTTTTTCTTTTTGGGTAATAGAGCCCCAACAGAAAGTAGGCATTGTTTAAATTGTGCAGTAGGCTATCGTGTTGAGTTCATCAAGCCAGTCAACTTCTAACATGCCGAAATTTCTGCTCCATGGTGCGGCTTTCCCTACAGTATATCACCTTCCTCCCTCCTGAGTTATGCCAGCATTGTTCACCTGTGGTGTCACTGTGTGGGTTGTCCGTCTTATGACTAAGGATGGATACAGAAGCCTGGTATCAAAATGGTCCTGGGCAGAGTCCGACCGACAGTCCCCTTGGACCGCTAGACTTCATCCGTGTCGGTCCTCTTAAGCTGAGCTTACACTGTGCAAACTTGTTTCTCATTGTGAGACTGTTTTTCACTCACAACCGACCAATTTTTGGTTCAATTGTGTCATGACTCATTTATTCTACATGAAGTTAGGAGGAGTGATCATCAGGTCATGATATAGGGTGTATAGTGTAGGTTAGAATAGTATATTTGACTGTTTTTAGCACAACACTATAATTAAGTACTGTATATTATAATGTAGTGTGGTGTAGAATAGTGTACTATAGAATGGTTCAGTGTGTACAGAAGTATAATACAATATAATGTAGCAGTATAGCAAAGTAAGGTAGTACAGTATAGTACTGAAAAGAATGGAAAATGCAAACATACCTCATCTTCTGAGTCAGAGAAGGTGGCCTTCTTCATGGTTTTGTACAGAGGCTTGAGGTCTGTGAGACTTTGGTCCCTGAAACAGAGAGCGGGTCAGTAACTGATGACTGGATGTAGAAATATTTAGAATTTAAATCTAACAGATGAAATTAGCATTTTGGATCAATTGATATCAAACATGATTTATCAATTCCAACAACTGCAGAAATACTGTAATGATGCTTAAGGTTAAACATACTTAATAAAGGCCAGCATGAGGTCAGAGACGAACTTGGCAGTCGTGACGATGAACGACCCCGGCTCATTGAACGTCTGGGCGTTGTGTTCTATATAACGCACCTCCCACATTAAAGAGGAAAGCCGTCTGGAGTAATGACAGTAATAGGATTCTGTTACAATCTCTCGCTCACATTGAAACACAGAGAATCATGTAGCACAGCCTCCACTGAGTTACCTGTAGAAGCGATTTACCAGCCTTTGACGTATGGTGCTAAGATCGGTGACATAGGCCACTACCGTGCAGTATGTCGGGTACGCCTGTAAGTCCACTGGGAACGCAAACGGTGCCGCCACATCTGCAGCAAGCCAATTGTTTGATGGCGATAAGAGACAGTGAAGATGGGTTAATGTAAGGTTGGTTTAGCTATAAGGTACTGAAAACATGAAGAGAAGCAACATCTTAAACATAACAGCAAAACAGGGATAGAAGTTTATGTTTAATCTGATTTTATATAAGTAGGCTGAGTGGATGGAAACCAGTGGAATAAATAGGATGGACATGTGTCTGTGTTCTGTTAATGTCCACCAGGGGGAGCCCCAGACTGGCTTTCCTGCAAAGTTTATGTTTGCTATGACATCAGATAAAAGGCATAAAAGCCAGTAGCTCTCAGAATAGTGACTCATGTAACGGGAAGATGCTGCTCCTTTACCAGAAACAAGACTGGCTAAAATTGCTCATCTTTACAGTAACTTTTCCTTAAAAAGCACTGCTGACATCTTACCGAGAGTACAGAGCTGGTCAATGGCTTTAATGATGCGTTCACACTCCTCTGCACGCGTGCGGCATCCCCATTCCCCATCCTGCGGGACGTAGAGCAAATCTTTCTGCTCCTCCTCTGTTAGCGGGACACTCGTGCCCAATTCATCAGGAAATGAAGCTGTGGAGAACAGAGGAGGGGGATTTCTGTTTATTATTATCTGCAGAACAAATGGTCGTCTACAGAGTAATAAGTATAAGAAAAAAAATGCACAGAAATCATGGAGTTAAAGACAAACCTTCATCGGGGATGAGCTCCATGTCCCAGGGGCTCATCTTCTCTGTGTCACCATTATCCCAGCTGCATGCAGAACATCAGAGATCAGCTTTCTTCAGTATCAGATTGTTATTTATACTGATTTTGGGTTTATGGCATTTCTAACATTTTTCAGATCTTCCCATTTTTATCAGTCAAAGATGTTTTTTATGGGGATTTCATTAATTAAAGAGGGAAAAACTATAAAACCAACCTGGCCCTCTGGGAAAAGCTAAAATCCAACTAAATCTAAATGCATGTGCCACCTTTGGCAATAACAGCCATCAAGATTTTGTTAAGACCAACTCTTTTGCACCATTGTGCAGAGAATTTAGCCTTAAAGGAGAAGTTCGGTTTTTTACACTTTAAGCCCATTTTCTGTAGTGTCCAGGATGAAATCGAATGATCGACACCAAAAGTTTGACAATTGCTCCTGTCTCTGCTTTTTGGCTCATTTAGAATCAACCCCTGGCTGCTTTAGAATGGCTTCCATAGAGCATGTCCGATAATGTCCTTAAAACAACCTTAAACGTTCTTTTTTTTAAATATGCTACTCACCGTGTCGTCAGCGCTGTTCAATGACGTTCCAAAAAAAGTTTCGTGAAGAAAAAACGTTCCTGTAGTGTTTTATTTAGCATTTTGTAAATCCCATTGAGTTCTGTAGGAATAGTCAATATTCCGCTGCCACCGGAAACGGAAATGGGGCCTGTTTACACAGTTGTAGTCTTTTCGCTTCACTCTGTGTACTCCGACGTCGAGAATCAAGAATCCACCTTTCGTATTCCATTTTCAGAGTTTTTTAAAGTGTTTAACAGAGACGTTAGCACCTCGACGTCGGAGTACACAGAGTGAAGCGAAAAGACTACAACTGTGTAAACAGGCCCCATTTCCGTTTCCGGTGGCCTCCTTTAACTGATTGACAACAAGAGACAAGTGTTTTTTTTCCCCTTTATCATAAAATAATTATTTGTAAACTGCTTCTTGTTTTCTCACAGGTTTAATAAGTCTGGTATCTAAAGATATTTGATTATCTGAAATATCCCAAAATAAATACCAGCCTTTATCAGCAATGGATAAAAAAACTACACTCTGTTCTTTATTCACAAACCATCTTTTTAGTTCCTTAAAATTTAAAATACTGCAGCAAGTTATAGTTTTCTCACTCAGTCTTCAGCTTCCTTCTTAACTATCACACAGAAAACATAATTATTCGGCAGAAACAATTATGATTTAAAGTTTTTAACTGTTAAAAAAAGTGTTTTATGATGAATAAAATAATTGTTTGGTTTGGTTGACAGTATATGCCGCTGGTATGAACCTTTAGGAAGAGGAGACAATTTTTATACCTAATCTTCTACAACCTGTGAATACTCAGCAGGCTTCAGTCTCTTTTTACACTTTTGGTTTCGGCACTCTGATGTCAGTGAGTCTTTTTTTAGATATATGGCAAATGGTGAAAGTACTGCAAATATCTGCCGACTGTCAATCTTCAAATCGGAATCTAAAAACAGATCACTTCACACATCCCACTCTTTCCTTTTCTCCTCAAGTTGCTAGCGTTAATGAGTTTATTATTGCTTTTGTTCATCTGAAGCTTTTCCTTTATTTCTAAAAAAATATTTCATTTGTTCTCTAGTTGCTCTATATGGCAACATGGTTTTTAAGGGTTACTTTACTTGATGGTGCTGCAATCTGCGTTGCAAACTATTCAGACTGGTAACTTGTTTCTATTTGTTAGCAACCACAAAATGACGCTATTGTCAGAACCACTGTTTATTGCAATCTTATCTATAAGTGTTTTTCGGTGTTCGCCTCCACAACTTTAAGTTTTGTCTCTGTTAACATCCCTTTTGAAGTTTTGCACCAAATTATACATCTGGGTTAGAACTGGGCTTTGACTAGACCATTCTGGCATGTGGATACATTTCATTAAATGTCTAAGTTCAGCTCTGGCTGTAGGCTGAGGGTGAAGGTGAACCGTTGCCCCAGTAATGAGTATTCTGCAGCTTCTAGTCTTCATTTAGCTATTTCTTCACAATTTAACACACCTTTAAGATTAAAAATGGTGATTAAAAATCCTTTTATTTACATTATTTTGCCTTACATCTATGCACCGTTTTGTCTCAGACCATCACAAAATATCCCCAAAAATTTCTTCACGTGAGTTTTTTTTGTAACAATCCTAGAAAATATACCTTTTATGTATGGTGATACATACACTATATTGCCAAAAGTATTTGCTCACCTGCCTTGACTCACATATGAGCTTAAGTGACATCCCGTTCCTAATCCATAGGGTTCAATATGACGTCGGTCCACCCTTTGCAGCTAGAACAGCTTCAACTCTTCTGGGAAGGCTGTCCACAAGGTTTAGGAGTGTGTTTATGGGAATTTTTGACCATTCTTCCAGAAGCGCATTTGTGAGGTCGCACACTGATGTTGGACGAGAAGGCCTGGCTCTCAGTCTCCGCTCTAATTCATCCCAAAGGTGTTCTATCGGGTTGAGGTCAGGACTCTGTGCAGTTCATCCACACCAGACTCTGTCATCCATGTCTTTATGGACCTTGCTTTGTGCACTGGTGCACAGTCATGTTGGAAGAGGAAGGGGCCAGCTCCAAACTGTTCCCACAAAGTTGGGAGCATGGAATTGTCCAAAATGTCTTGGTATGCTGAAGCATTCAGAGTTCCTTTCACTGGAACTAAGGGGCCAAGCCCAGCTCCTGAAAAACAACCCCACACCATAATCCCCCCTCCACCAAACTTTACACTTGGCACAATGCAGTCAGACAAGTACCGTTCTCCTGGCAACCGCCAAACCCAGACCCGTCCATCAGATTGCCAGATGGAGAAGCGCGATTCGTCACTCCAGAGAACGCGTCTCCACTGCTCTAGAGTCCAGTGGCGGCGTGCTTTACACCACCGCATCCGACGCTTTGCATTGCACTTGGTGATGTATGGCTTGGATGCAGCTGCTCGACCATGGAAACCCATTCCATGAAGCTCTCTGCGCACTGTTCTTGAGCTAATCTGAAGGCCACATGAAGTTTGGAGGTCTGTAGTGATTGACTCTGCAGAAAGTTGGCGACCTCTTCGCACTATGCGCTTCAGCATCCGCTGACCCCGCTCCGTCAGTTTACGTGGCCTACCACTTCGTGGCTGAGTTGCTGTCGTTCCCAAACACTTCCATTTTCTTATACAGGTGCTGGTCATAAAATTAGAATATCATGAAAAAGTAGATTGATTTCAGTAATTCCATTTAAAAAGTGAAACTTGTATATTATATTCATACATTACATACAAACTCATATATTTCAGATGTTTATTTTGTTTAATTTTGATGATTACAAATGACAACAAATGAAAATCTCAAATTCATCATATCAGAAAATTAGAATATTGTGAAAAGGTTCAAAATTGATGGCCCCTGGTGCCACACTCTAATCAGCTAATTAACTCAAACCACCTGCAAAAGCCTTTAAATGGTCTTTCAGTCTAGTTCTATAGGCTACACAATCATGGGGAAGACTGCTGACTTGACAGTTGTCCAAAAGACGACCATCGACACCTTGCACAAGGAGGGCAAGACACAAAAGGTCATCGCTAAAGAGGCTGGCTGTTCACAGAGCTCAGTGTCCAAGCACATTAATAGAGAGGCGAAGGGAAGGAAAAGATGTGGTCGAAAAAAGTGTACAAGCAAGAGAGATAACCGCACCCTGGAGAGGATTGTGAAACAAAACCCATTCAAAAATGTGGGGGAGATTCACAAAGAGTGGACTGCAGCTGGAGTGAGTGCTTCAAGAACCACCACACACAGACGTATGAAAGACATGGGTTTCTGCTGTCGCATTCCTTGTGTCAAGCCACTCTTGAACCACAGACAGCGTCAGAAGCGTCTTGCCTGGGCTAAAGAGAAACAGGACTGGACTGCTGGTGAGTGGTCCAAAGTCATGTTCTCTGATGAAAGTAAATTTTGCATTTCCTTTGGAAATCAAGGTCCCAGAGTCTGGAGGAAAAGAAGAGAGGCACTTCATCCACGTTGCTTGAAGTCCAGTGTAAAGTTTCCACAGTCAGTGATGGTTTGGGGTGCCATGTCATCTGCTGGTGTTGGTCCATTGTGTTTTCTGAGGTCCAGGGTCAACGCAGCCACATACCAGGAAGTTTTAGAGCACTTCATGCTTCCTGCAGCTGACCAACTTTTTGGAGATGCAGATTTCATTTTCCAACAGGACTTGGCACCTGCACACAGTGCCAAAGCTACCAGTACCTGGTTGAAGGACCATGGTATCCCTGTTCTTAATTGGCCAGCAAACTCTCCTGACCTTAACCCCATAGAAAATCTATGGGGTATTGTGAAGAAGAAGATGCAATACACCAGACTCAACAATTCAGAAGAGCTAAAAGCCACTATTAGAGCAACCTGGGCTATCATAACACCTGAGCAGTGCCACAGACTGATCGACTCCATGCCACGCCGCATTGCTGCAGTAATACAGGCCAAAGGAGGCCCAACTAAATACTGAGTGCTGTACATGCTCATACTTTTCATGTTCATACTTTTCAGTTGGCCAACATTTCTATAAATCCTTTGTTTTTATTGGTCTTCAGTAATATTCTAATTTTCTGATATGATGAATTTGAGATTTTCATTTGTTGTCATTTGTAATCATCAAAATTAAACAAAATAAACATCTGAAATATATGAGTTTGTATGTAATGTATGAATATAATATACAAGTTTCACTTTTTAAATGGAATTACTGAAATCAATCTACTTTTTCATGATATTCTAATTTTATGACCAGCACCTGTAATACAGCTGACAGTTGACTGTGGAATATTTAGGAGCGAGGAAATTTCACGACTGGATTTGTTGCACAGGTGGCATCCTATCACAGTTCCACGCTGGAATTCACTGAGCTCCTGAGAGCGACCCATTCTTTCACAAATGTTTGTAAAAACAGTCTGCATGCCTAGGTGCTTGAATTTATACACCTGTGGCCATGGAAGTGATTGGAACACCTGATTCCAATAATTTGGATGGGTGAGCAAATACTTTTGGCAATATAGTGTATATAACAGATTAATCAGATCATAATGAGATGAACTGGCTCATATTTAACACATTTTTCCACAACCCATTGAAACAAAAGCAAACTTTACCAGACGTTGTAGCACTGGAACAAGCTGTCAGGATATTGGAGCTGGTAAGGCTCCTGACTTTCAATGGTCCCGAACCACCAGGCGTCGTCTATCACCGACCGAAATCTGTCACCTGTCAACACCAAAAACACACGTGTTTAGGACTTTATCAATATCAGCACACATGGAGAACTTCTACACACGGTGAGGAGTAAAACCATCTGACCTATAGCCCACTGCCTTCTTCTAGCATTGTCAAACTGTTGCCGCAACACCAGGAAGTCAATGACATCAGGCATGTCATGGTACCTGCAGAGAAAGCAGCCTTTCAAAACCAGACTTATGGATAAGACACTTCAATTTGGCAGACATTTAAAAACTGTAACGAAATTCAACATTCACTGCACAGTAAATCTGGATTTAGTAGCACAACAAACAATGATACTTATAATTGAAGATAGACAGATAATTTCACATTTTTAGCCAATAAAAGCATTTTTTGTTTTCTTGTACCTTTGACAATTCATTAGTGCATTCAGCAGCCGTGCCTTAAGAATTATGCAACATTTGTTGGTGGCTTCGAGAATCAGCCACAGAAAAATGGGCAGCATATACTGCAGATAAGTTAAGCCGATGCCAAAATAATATGGGGGTTTTCTTATGACCCTCTAAAACGGTAAAAGCTGCTGAAATCAATCCCAAACAAAAAAAACATGTTAATCCCAAACTAACAGACAGGAAACAAAGATAGAACCTACCCAAATACAAAAACATACTGAAGCAAACTTTCAAAATTGAGAAATCATTGATATACCAAATTCCCTGATCAGTTTTCAGCATGGTAATGTGTGTTCTTTATTAAAAACGTCAGAATCTTACTTCATGGAGAAGGAGCCTCCTGTTAGCTTTCCTGTGTCCGGGTCCAAAAAGGCGAGTTTCAGGCAGCAGAGTGTGGGCAAGCCAACCTCATATTTGATCCCAACTATCTTCATTAATTCCTGCTCCTGAGTGATGCAAAACAATAATAAAATAAAAGTTAATCCACCTGACAATCCCATGATTTAAAGAGTTCATACACTTATCACCTCAACTCTTACTATCAATATTTACGCTTGCTAAAGAGGAAGTGCTGGATGAACGAGGTTTTAGCGGTTAGACAAAAGCATACACAGGTTATTCTATCAGAGCTGAGAGTTTGATCAGATAAACACCATTACTGAATTTTAATTTTACAAAAAAGCAGTAAAGATGAAGATTTTGCATTTTCACAACCTTTGGAAAGAAAAGACACTCTGAAACAACAACACAGAGAAACTGGAACTACTACCCCTCCATTCTTATTAAAGGGAAACAATAAGCCCCAGTAATTAAAATCAAATGTAACAGTTGAGTCAGACAGATTTATCCTAAATTCTGGATAATTTCTGTACACTTTACAGCATTTCCTTAAAGCACAGGTTTATTTTCAAAGCAGAAGAAAAGGAAGAAGACTACTTCAAACCTGGAAACATCCTTCGTTTAAATCAGACATTTTCAAAAGCTACAGAGTTAGCAGTGAAACGATAACTGATTGCTGACAGCAGTTAGATCACAGCCAATCACCACCCTGTAGGACTGAGGCGTTAATGAATTTTCATAAACTGTTGTGTCACATTAAAATCCCTAGAAGATAAGGCTCTATTTAAACCAGTATAGACAGGACCCTCATCAAGCAGCAGTTATTTTGTTTAAACTTTATTTGTAATTATTACAACTGTTTATGATATGCATGTAAACACTGTTCAGTATTTATTCACTGAATGTTTTATTGCTATTGAGACATTCACTAGTGTTAGAGACTGCTGTAATGTATGTTCTAAAAAAATCTTAAAACTAATAGACTGCTGTCAGCTCATTTAACACGAGTATAGAACGATCTGAGTGACCGAGCTAGAAGCTGAAGGTTTTAAAAGATGCACTTGCTGAAGGAAATCAAACATTCAATCTTTCTAGATCAGTGAATGCACCTTTTTTAAGGTTTACCAAGTAACACTAATGGAGAAAGTAAACATTACAGCACATAAGCTTAATAAAGCAGCATGAGCACATCCTATGTGTAGGTTACATGTGAAAGTTTTTTTTTCTATGATCTGTGAAGATGTTTACAATAGCAGCATAATGCATATATTCTACATGCATATTTCTGCTATGCTGCCCCTAAATTAGGTGGAAATTCTATTTTCAGACGCATATGGGCTCCTGTTTGGCAAGGAACAACCCGGAAGTCAAAGTTCACTTGGGAAACTATTCCAATAGTCTTTGCCAATATTCAGTCTGTTCCAACTTAACGAAAGGAAATAATGTTTTAATGCCAATGTATCGGTGGGAGGGGATAAACAAGAGGGTTACAACTCTTCTAGATGATCACTTTCAGGAAAAAAAACAAACCTCCTAATTCCTAACTGACGGCTCCTGGTTTCTGTTACAGTCGCAGACTCCGAAAGATACAATAAGAAAATCAGACTGATCAAATACTTTGCAGTTTGTGGAATCTTACATAGTTACAAATAGAAGCTAACTCTAAATGTTCCCATAACAATACACAGTAGTACGGCCCTTCTGCTCATAATTTAAATGATGAATTATAAATGAAAGTAGGAAGGATAAAAAAATATAAATACAAAGCTGTAAATATTAGATTTTAAGACTATATTTAACAGATTTTAAACAGAAATCAAAAGAAACCAAACCCAGTTTGGAGAAGTCAGCACTTACAAACCTGCTGCAAAAGTTAATAGACTCCTGACAAAAAAAAAACACCTCAACAAGGTATTCACCTAAATGTGTTTGGAGTTAAAGGGTTTCAATGCAGACGTTTCAATAAAAAGAAAGTTTTTATTGTTTTTTCTGGTCCCGAATAAATTTGTTGTCTTTTTTAAGTAGAAGAAATGACCCAGAACAGAGCAGTTACCCTGATGCTCTTTGCACTAAGCATGGAGAAATGACGTTTTCTCTAAATAATTAGTTCCCTATTACTGCTCATAACTTTCCTGAGATTTCTGTTTGGTGTTAGCTGATCTACGGATAAAAAAACACTTTACATTTAACATCAAACATTTAACCGCTCTCTTACCCGTAGCTCCATCTTGTGCCAGGGCTGTTTCTTAGGGTTGATGCTGAAAATCTTTTTTTGTTTGGCCATTTCCACATAAGCCTCGTGACCTTGGCGGAAGTAGTACACCTGCAGAAAAGCATAAGTATGAATTGACTCACATCTCATTTATTAGGTATAGGTCAGTCTTTCTGAGTACCTAGATTTGGTGGAGTTTTTAAAAAAACAACTGTGGCATTAAGAAGCAAACCACCGTAACAGAAATCCGACGCCGTTTTACCTCGTCGCCCATCTGAGGTATGTAGGGACATCTCCGGGGGACGGTGTCTGTGATCCAGGCAGAGGGAAGCCATTCCTCCAATGTTAGCCCCTGCTCCTGAAATTCATTCCTCTGAAAGTCACACACCAGGATAAATGCAAAAACAGTGTTCTTAATGTCTGAAAGATATCTGCTTTAAGCCATTTTAACCAAAGTCATGTTTAAGCATGTCAGAGGACACTATTTCCATTTCAAACATTCGACTGACAGACACTAAAAGGGTAACTTAACTGTAAAACCCAAAATCAGTAATTTTCAATAACAAACCTTCCTCTTCTCCTTTGGTTTCTTCTTCTTTGGTAATGCACCCTCTTTGTCTGCTTTCTCTTTCTTCTTCTCCTTCTTTCCCTCCTTCTTCTTCTCCCCATCCTCCTCGGAGCTGCTGTTTTTCTTTTTCACTTTCACGCTCTTTTTGGGCGGCTCCAGGTTGATGCCGGCATCTGCTGTCCAGTCAGAGTAATCGCTGGAGTAATCGCTGCAAAAGAAAGGGCAAACTCATCACTGAAATGCTCTTCATGCATGAACAGAGCCTAAACAAAAATGTATGTGTATACATACTTTCATGTTCTTTGAGGTTTTCACAGGTTTTCAGGTTAAATACAAAAACCTTAAAACATTTTACTGCGATTTTATCTAGTATGCATTTTATTTTTTTAAGTAAAGCAGACAGCCAACTATTTTCTTTTACCAGTGGCTTTTTTTCTGCCACTATAAAAAGTTGTGAAAGGAAAACTGAAACCAAAACAGTTAAGCTGACTTTATTTAAGAGTATCAGCATAAAGCGAGTAGAAATGTATTTTATTTGTACAGGTGGTGCGTTGGCAAAATGTTAAAATTGTTCAAGCTATTGCAGTTTTAGAAAGGGCTCTATTAAGATATGAAGACACTAACCAGAGATATAAATAAATATATTTGTATAACAATAGTTTCTAACTTAAACATCTCAATTTCAGAGAAAAAATCCTAATGACCCTAAAATTTTAATTCTTTTACTTTATCAGAGTTCAAACTGAAACTGTTAACAGATGTTTTCAGCCATGTGTTTGTATAATTAGCTCAATTTAAAAGATAAGCTCTTAGGGCCTGATCTTCAAAACCTTTAAAAAGACTTAAAAACGTGTTAGCACTTGCAAAGCTGCTCTTCAAACCAGGTACATATAGTGTGTGTGAAATAAACAGCAAAAGGAGCAGCAGCTTTTTAAGCCAGTGTGTAATGACGAATTTGCAGATCTTATGCTCATGACCAAAATATGCAAAGCTATGGGGAGGATATGAAAAATGCAAATACTTATTACCTGCAAATTATTCATCAAACATAAAACAGACTCTGGGTGATGTTTTGTGTCTAGAAACTGGTCCATAAAAATGTTTGCAGTCATTATGGTCAGAAGGGAGATATTGATTTAATGGTGGATGAGGGAAGGAGAATCTATATACATGTGAATATATTTGAAATGTCAGAAACAAAAGAAGAAGAATACTAGATGCAAGCATGAAACAAATTAATACAGCAGGATACAGAAAAACAATCATTAATGAATCCTAAGGTTGGGATTTTCTGCACAAATAAAGTACTGCTCCATATATATATTTGTGAATTAGGCCCTTAAGATTGTTGGATTTTATTTTTGTTTAATTTAGCAAAAAAGTGTCATTTCATTTTTTCTGCATCCAGATGTCTGAAATTTTTATCTGTTTTCTGTAAATATAATATAAACTATCACTGAATAAACAATGATTCCCTTGAAAATATCAATCAGTATTGTAGGCATTCAAATACATTCACTAAGAGCCTGAAGGATGGTGAAAAGCAGCTTGACATAGGTCAAAGTTTAAAAGCACTGAGGGCAGGATTTAACCATCTCACAAAGAATTAACTACATACAGCTCAGCAGACAGTGATGAAAAGAGGGAAACTTGTTACAAATATTTGATGTGGCCATTAAAAATGTGTCAGTTTGTGAAAATCTCAGTTTCTCCCTTAGATACACACATGCAAATTTTTATTCAGATTATATCAAAGGGAAATCAATTAACCTCGAGCTGCTGTGCTCATCTGGCCAAGGCTCCTTTTCCTCTTCGTTCTTTTCATCCTCTGAGGAATACCCGTTAATTTGCCGAACCTCCACTTCTCCCTAAAACACAGAATATTTCACGTTAGTACATAAGAATACACAGAATTGCATATTATGCTGATGTAAGAAATCAAAAAGAAAACCCGCTGCATCTACCTCTGAGGCACTATCATCGTCATCAGCAGCCTCTGCACTCTGACGACTCGTCTCCTCCATGGCAGCGCGGGTTTGATAGCCGTGGTTCCCCTGACTCTTCCTTCCCTCATCTACTGCACACTCTGATGTTGGCTGAACCTTCACACCGAATAAAGAAGGGAAAGGTTTAACAGAGGGTTTTGTTACAAGACAGAATAACAGGAAAAGAATTTGTGGAGAAAACAACCCCTGTAGATGAAACTCGTACCCTGCTCTCCTTTGGAAGTGAGTGGATCGTGCGTCTCCTCCTCTCTGACTGATAAATATTGATCTCCTCGTCTCCTTTGGCCTCACGCCAGGTCACCTGTCTCCTGCAAACATACAAAATAAAAAAAACATACAAGATCAAAAAATTCTTAAAGGGAAATTTCTTCTGAAAACTTTGAAAACATTGATGTTGATAAAAAAAAAAAGTTTTGTCTCTGAAAGTAGGTTTTACCTGACAAAGGCCTCCTCCAGCTCTGGAACCAGCACCCTGCGGCTCCATGCCACCAGGTCTCCCTCTGTGGCCATCTGGCTGCGGGGGGCGTTGCTGTGCATCTGGCGAACGCCTTCAATCTGACCACTGCGCCGGAGACCAACATTGGGAGGGGAGTGTACTTCTGTGGGCGAACCAACAGATCCTAGAGAGAAGAAATATCAAAGAACAGGTTATGTGTAGAACCTTTATTGGACCACATCTCTGACAAGGCATCCCGTTTCTCAGTGTTACAGTGTGGCATGGGAGCAGCATGGCACATAAGAGGAAGGACTAAGCACAGAGGGTTAGGACTGCGGAATGAATATTCCACTTCTAGGTTTGGTTTATCCTGCACAAGTCCAGAAATAGGCCAGGTGCATCACCACAGATCCATCAGGTAAAAAAATTCAGCAACATTACACCAAAAAGAAATAAACCCAGGAACAGTTTCTCTCCTAAAGCCATGAAGGCAATCATCCCCTGCAGGCAGACATTTAACATCCCTGCTGTAATCAAATCAACCTCCAGCCTTATTTCATAGACCGTTTCATCACAATCTGCACTTCATGTAATCACTACATGCCACACTTCATGTACAGATTGTTTGTTAAAAGTTCCCTCTAAGAATGCTTCATCTTTGTTTTTTATTCCCATCTGTATTACATATGCATTTTGAGTCGGTGTCTCAAGAGAATGTCATTATGGAATCAAGAATAATTAAGGGACTATATTGTCAGTGATTCCTGCAAACACCCATCTGGATCTATAATAGCTCTTTGTAGAAACTGGCATCATATCAACTACACCACCATTTCATTTCATTAATAAAGTTTTTTTTTTTTTTTTAATTGGACTCACAATTTAAAGCTCTCCACTTTGCTCTTATTACAAATCATATAAAGCGTTTAGGCTGAAGTGTACAACAGATGAACCCTCATAACCACACCCCAGTAATATAGAATTAAAACTATGATCTTTCTCTACCTCTGTTTGCCCTGCTGTTTACTCCAGAAGCAGCAGCGTCATTTGTTCCCATCCTTTGGTCCTGCTCCTGCTGCAGCCTCTGAATCATGGTATCCAGAGGACTGGAGCCATCCACTGCCTGCTCACTTACTACCTGGTTCAGACCTGACAGGAAGACGGGAATAAACAGAAAATGAGAAATATCAACAGAAAACTCCAAAGGGACAAGGTGGAAAGACAGAATATTTTTTGTAGTATAGAATCCAGCAAAAATGAAGGCAACATTTAGACAGAGCATAAATAGACATTACATTAAATTCAATTTCAAAGCCATTCCCTACTGATTAGAGCCCGGTTCTTCAACGTTTTGCAGGCTAAGGACCCCCAAACTGATGGAGAGATGGGGCGACGACCCCCCTAATTATATATTGTATATACTGTGTATATTATTGAAGTATTTCTGATTGTGATTCTTGGTTGATGGGACAGGTGTTGTGAATGAAACCGTGCCCAGCTTGAAAGAACTCCTGTGAGTCGCTGAATGTGTGCATTGATGACTGAAAGACATCTGCCTCCATTTATCTGTTTACTACAGCGTGCTGAATTCATGTTAATGTGGATTTAAAGACATTTCAATTAGTGGAAAAAATTGCAAGGGGGGGAACCCAGGGGGGACCCCCTAGGGGTTGCGGACCCCTGTTGAAGACCTCCAGATTACAGCATTTAAAAAACCGCATCATTACATTTAAGTCCAATGTTTGCTACAGGAAGACAGTTAAGAGCTGGTTATACTCCTGCAGCAGTGTATCGCAGTGAGGCTGTCACAGGTATGACGCAGATATTTTTAATTTATGCCCAATATTGAAGTGCGGTCTGTGCTACATTATTCTACGCCACAACACAAGAGGGACAATCACGACCTAGCAGTAGGGATGGGGATCGAAACCCTGTTCCATCAAGGACCCGGTTCCACTTTTTTCAAAACCCGAAAATCAATAACGTTTGGGCTTATCGATACCACTATCGAGTCTGGTCGTTTTTTTTTTTTTCTCCCGGAGGTCCTGTAACATAATTGTGTGTCCCTCAAGTCGCGTCACAGCATTTAAATCTAATCAATCCAATCACTGCAGCATGTCCACCAATGTTTTGGAATGAAATTGTAAGCAAACAGATATTCAAAGTAAAACAAGTGAAGTCTGGCACTTAACTTTGCTCGCGACTCAAGAATGGCTGAACGGAAAAGACTCCTCCTCCTCCGGCTGCTGCCGCCGCACCACAGTCGGGCCCGTCTTCATCATTCACTCAGAGTACCACTGATAAGCGCGCACAGACTTTGTAGCTTGTCCGGTCAGTTAAAAATAGTAATTGTGAAATCCGTCTTGTAATCGGAAGCATACAAGCTAGTTGGCTTGAAAAGTAAATAGTTTCAGACGTGCTGCGTGATGATGTGTTCAGATTGGCTCAGTAAAACGACAATTAGGTTATCATGATGCGTTCAAGTGTAACGTAAAGAAAACGGGACATTTAGTTTTTGGCGAGAAACATGAGTAATACAGTTGTATATTGCTCTATATATAATTAAACTACTGATGCCAACATTTATTAAAAATTACATTTAATTTAAAATACAATTATTTATTTGTTAAATATTTTCCTAATCACTAAAAACATGATGAAAAGTGACAGTAGACAATACATTAACCAACAATTGTGAAAATATATTCTAGTTAGTTTTATGTCATTTCGAAGTGGCCTATTACATTAGCCATGTTTATTGAAGGCTAGAAACGTTTTTGTTATGCTCACTTGTTAAGCAATAGAAGCAATACCAGTTCTGTTAAAAAAATTTTGTTGCATCGTCTTTCCACCAAATAACAGAAAAGTATCGATAGTGGTATCGATAAAGACTCGGATCGATAAGGAGTATCGATAAAGGTATCGATATCAATAAATATTAACGATCCCCATCCCTACCTAACAGTGGGTCTAGATACAGCTGAGGCGCCGAGGAAGTGGGGGCAAGTTTGTGCGACAACTGAGGGACATGAGGATGAAAAAGAACGGGATCCTGTCTTTGGCACAGTCTGCGGTCGCCTACAATTTTGGAGAGGTGCACCAGAAGGGGGGGGCATATGTGCGTTAACTGCGACACACACAGACGACCTGGTTTCTGAGCATAAACCAGCCTTTACAGTACAGACAGATCAAGGCAGAGCAGAACCATGCTCCCTCAGCTAGGTGTAATTCTGTAGCTATGTACCAGAGGAAGTGACCCCCATCTGAGGTATCAGCTGCTCATCCCGGCAGCCCTCTCTGCCAGGCACCAACCGCTGGTATCGAGGGGGGTGGGGGTTCCCGTCCACGTCCACCAAAAAGGGAGGGGGCATCAGGTGGGGAGCCTGCTGAGTCTGCTCATCAAGAACGTAGTTATTGGCATCTCTGATTAGAGGCCGGTAGTCAGTGTGGAAAAACATCTGGTCAGCAATCTAAACGGGGACATCAGAGACAACCATAGTAAATACTAATTACCCAACGCTCTGATTGGTTGTATCTATAGCTTTTAAAGATCAACCTGCTGGTGTACCTTATCATATTTGCTGCTGGAGCCGAAGCCAAAGATGAGGAGATGGCCGTGGGAATCGGTGGCTGCAAAGTGCTGACCATCAGGACTACATTTGCAGTCAAACAACGCTCCGTGTCCCTGCCCTTCAATCTGTCCATACAGGAGGGAAGATAGACGAGTAATTAGGACCACAGCCTGGAATCCAATTTAACTATCTGATATGTATGGAAATACCACAGTAGTCTTTACCTGTCGGAAAAAAGTTAAACACAGACAACATAAGCAGACAATTTATTTAATGGATCATTATTTGTCTCTGTATGGCACACAAATGACTCATATCCTCACACCAGTTTAGCTTCTGTTATTTCTTCTATTTCTGCTTCAGCATTACAAAATTTCAGCTGACAAGAACCAACAGAATCACACCCTTTACAAACTGAAACATTAACAGAGAAAATCTAATAAAGCAAAACAGAAAATGTGCTTTTTGCTTTATTTAACCCTACTGAAGCACTACTGAGTGAAAAACAGAATGATAACGAACAATTAGTGGTACAGAAAAGTGGTACAAAAAGCCTTTAATACTTCATCCTAAACAGCCCCATAGTGAAACATGGTGCTGAAAGCATTATGCTGTGTGAAACTTTTGTTGAGCTAACAGGCAAACTGCTCAGAGTCAAAAGAAGGATAAAATAAATCTAAATGCCAGTTAGTCCTGGAAGAAAATCTGTTGGAGGCTTACAGGTTAGACTGCAGCCACAGTCAGACTGTAAACATACAGCTTCAGCTACAATGAACTGGTTTACATTTAAGTGCTGAAGTGGTCCAGTCAAAGTCTAGACTTAAGTCCTATTAAACATCTGTGACATCTTTCATATTAATGTTCTAATCTGGTCTGATTGAACCATTTAACTCAAAAACAACAGAACTTTAACTCTGTAAATGTGCAAAGACTAGCAGCTGTAAGTTCAGCAAAAACTCCCTGCGACAGGTGCACACCACACTTTTCAGATTTATTTGCGATTTAAAAAAAAAGTTTTTTTTTCACTTACCATAGGACTTTGTGTTCCTCTATTATGTAACCTCTCAATTGAAATACAGTAAAAACCAAAAATCTAAACTTTTTTTCTGATTATTTCTTCTTCTCACTTTTTCAGTTTCAACCACAGAACGTTTATGATGGTACTGAGATCAGAGTATGTGACTAACCGTCTCAGCCATCAACTGTGTTGTTCCTACGTCAGTTTGGAAATAAATTAGTAATGTGTTTTAGGTCATGGTCCACCTTGAACACACATTTCTGACCAAGTTTAAACTTCCTGGCTGAAGTGTTGAGATGAGGCATCATTATTTCCATTGTACCCTTTACCCATGATGCCATCTATTCTCTGAACAACACCACTCTCTGCTGCAGTTTAACAGTCCTCACTTTCTGCACGCTTCAAAAACTTCACATACTTACAGTTTAGTCTGTCCGGTTATCCAATTTTTAAACACAGAACTAGGTGTTATAACTGAATAGCTCCTCAGTATTGGTACTTAAAAAGCTACATTACAAAATCCTTAAAATATCTCTAAAACATGACGGTGAACATATTTGCCAAAATTCAAACTTTACCTCACTAACCTGCTTTATTAAGACGTTGGCTGTTGTGTAACCCGATGAACTAGTATCTCAGGTATCTGAGTCTACCAGTTGTAATTACATTCAATGAAGAACAAGCAAGTGCTGCAGGAGCTTTTTATCAGGTATTTGACGAAGCATTATATAGGCGTTAAAAAATTAAGATCTATTCAAAATATTTAGGACTTCAACACAACAATTGAGATAATTAACATTTTTTCAAGGCCTTAAATTAAAATTTTTCTAAAAAAGAAAAAAAAAACAATGCTGCTACCTGTTACACATCCCAGTTAGAAGGGGAAAACTTTGGAAATTAACCTTTTAGGCCAATAAATCCAATAAAATCTTCATCTGCTCTTAGCGAAAACATAAAATTATCTGTATGCAAATTAATACTAAATATTTTTTATGAAACCAAGTGAGCTAGGACAAGGAAGTTTACCATGATATAATGCCTGATAGTGAGAATATAATTTTTTTTTTTATATATCTGCAAATTTTGGTCACAACTCTACATCGGTTTCAGGCTGTAACATAATATTTGAAAATATTCAAAGACTAATCATGAACCTGCTGCTGGTGTTCTTGCAGGCCTACCAGCAGCTATTTCATCAAACTTACACAGCTCTACTAACACACTCATTCTGCAGTTTCACACCATGACTGTTGGCAGGATTTTGGCCAACTGACCAGCTCACTCAGTGACTCATGTTCTGAAACTGGTTACCATAGAGACAATGAGCAAAACTACAACTGTGATACAAATACTGGATGAGTATAAATAGTGGCCCATTCACTTCAAATAGTGGATTTTAAAGCTACCACACTAAATCCATTAGCTGACACAGAAAATCAGGAGTAGATATGGGGAGTGAGGATAAAAAGAGAAAATCTAAAGAGTCATAGTGGGTGAGGGTGGAAGAGAGTAAAACAACTGCGAAGAGATGAGAAAATAAATGAGGCAGAAGGAAAATGGCGAGAGGTTTTATATAAGCATGACATTAAAGAAAATGACAGAAAGATTATTCAACTTCATGCAAGAAAAAAAATGAGAAAAAGAATCACTTACCATGTTGAAGTAAGAGCGGATCTTGACTCCTCTTGCTAGGTCCCAAACTATACAGTTTCCATCATGCCCAGCCGAGAACAGGATTCTTGGATCAAAGGGATGAGGCTCCAGGACAAACACCTCATCTTCATGACCCTGAAAAAAACAACAAACACCAAACACAATTATAGGGGGACCTGATATTCAGGGCTTTAGCTTGTTGCAACTAAAAAACTGTTCAACTGAAGAGGCACCAACATACAGAAAGCATCTTTATATTCATACTGACTATTAGGTAGGGGTGTAAATCACATTCATCATGGCGATTCGATTCAGTATCGATTTATTGACCCAACGATTTGATTATTTTCGATACTCAAGAATACACCACGATACTGTTAGATTTTTTTTTTTTTTTTTTTTTTTTTTTTTTTTTTTTTTTTTTTTTTTTTTTTTTAACACCTTACAGGCTAGACAAAGTTTTAAATTTGAAATAAATCAATGAAAGCTGTAATATTGTTATGCATTTTTTTTTTTTTTTTTTTTGAGAAACAACAGCAGATAACAGATAACCTCGCGAAGTCGAAAAGTTGCATAAAAAAATACTGCAGAAATACTGCACATAATCAGTGCAGTTCAATACCTCGGCTCCAGACGTCCCCGCCCCCTCCACAGACGCTCCGCTGCAACTCTCTACCAAATTGTAGCTGACCGCAAACAGTGCCGCAGACAGGAGGCCGGCTGGTTTTGTTTTTATGACCGAAATTGCGAAAAACAACTCGTGAAGTTTGACCCGCTAGAAGAGCGAGGTGCGCGAGAACGCTGGGACCCTTTTTCCACCTGGATCTCCGCTCTTTTTGGCCCTTATGTCCCTCCGTCGTCGGTCTAAACTCGCCCCCTCTTCCTCTCGGCCTCGGCCATATCTAGACCCACAGTGCGTAGCACAGACCACGCTTCAATATGGAGCATAAATCAAAAATGTCTGTGTCAAGCTTACTGCTGTAAGAGTATAACCAGGAAGCGAGGTAGGAGGGCAAAATAGGTTTAGCGCCACCGCAGCACGGGAGGAAGAATTACATCCAGGAGCAAATGGATAAAAATAGACTGGAGGAAAAAAAAAAAAACATGAATCGATACTCTTGCTGACGTATCGATGCATCGGATCTTCGGCTGTTGGATAAATGCATCGATACAAAACGATTATTATTCACACCCCTCCATTAGGGGTCAGGATCTAACGGGCCACTTTCATCACACAAACTCTGAGACACAATGCTGAATGATATTACTGATTAAAAACAAAATGGAAAGCCTGGGATAGGTAGTCCTTAGGGATTATGAGCTGAAAAACACAGCCAGGTCCTAGAGATCACACTGACAGCAGTAATAGCCGTGTAATAAAGACTACTACACAATATTGACTGCCATAAATCTCTTATATTTTGATGTCAAATACAGTAAGATTTGAAATTTCTTCAGATTATAAAATAATTTAAAATGCATCAACAGGTGTTAAAAAAAAAAAAAACATACAGCAGAAGCTTATCCATTTCAAAAACAAGGTCAAAACAAATAAATCTGTTAAAACCATGTATACACTCCTTAGATAGAGTTTAGGAGGGCAAGAGGCTGCCCTAATAAAGTTTCATTGTCAGTTTGTCTGGATAGTCTTAATGTGTGTTTTATTAAAAAGCCATAATGGAAATAAAACAGAAATGATCCCAGTAAAGCAATTATTGCCGCCTATGAGTTTGTTAAGAGTTAAAAGCTCATGTTCATTAGTTTTAGATGAATCATTTACAATCAAACAGATCATTCAGTGTTAGACGCACATCTACGGCTGTTACTGGTCTTCTCAGAATTGGATATACCATCATTTCCCCCAGGTACAGACCACATGATATTTAAAAACATCAGAGCTCTAACAAAGACGCGACAGACTACAGTTAGCATGTCCAATGCAGAAAAGGACTCAAAGGCATCTTAGAGTAGTAGATAGAAGGGCTTTTCTCTCTTAACAGAGTATCACACCAACGCTGTATTGCAATTAAGAACAAAAGTCCTGGGATAAAATCATTTGGACAAATGAGTGCAACCGAAAAATGTTTTAAAAAGGATTTTTTTAAAAGCATGTCAGCACACACACATCAAACCAAGTGCTAAACACAGTGTTGGAGGAGTAATGATTTGGGCCAATTTTGCCATCAAAGAGCCACAGGACATTAATAGTTTTCAATATTTTTTTTGTACATTCTGAGTACCTCTATGTACAAAACATTGGGCCTCACGCAACATTTTGTATTCTTGCCGCAAGTTTTTTTTTCTTTTTCTCCTATTGTAGGCTTTTATGAACGCGACACATCAGATTCCCCAAACGTTCTTAATTAAAGTAAATGATCATAAATGATCCTCGTGAACTTGATGCACTCAACATGCACTTAAGTTACCATGTGTAACAAGAAATGTACATTTGAATAATCACCACCCAGAAAATTCCATATAGGACTATGAATTTGCACGCCTCTGTGAATGAACACGCAGCTGTTCATTCATAGAAATGATACTGAAGACAAAGAAGAAAAAACTTTAAAGGTTTGCAGTTAAGTTCTGTTGACTGAGAGCCGAGCAGCAGAATTACAAGCCCAGTAACAAGCCAAGCAGTGGGGAATAAATTATAAAATCTGTAAAAGACGTAGTTGTGCTTTCACAGAATAGAAAAAAAAATAAAAAAATAAATAAATAAATATATATATATATATATATATATATATATATATATATATACATACATACATACATACATACATACATACATACATATACATTGCTCGATGTTAACCATCGCCAGATCTCCCGGGGCCAGAAGTTTTTATTGTCTTGTGAGTACAAATTTGCCGCCGAAATGCAATGATCAAAAAAAAGTTATTTATCACTTAAAATTACTTTAAAATCACCGACATTCGATGAAAACGACCCCGAAGCGTTGCCGGCGCCATTTTTGTTGTTTTGTACACATTCTCGTGTGATTTGAAAAAGGCACGTGATTTGAAAAAGCCGGATAATTTTCCACCAGATGGAGTGATTTTTGTCCACCTAGCTGTAATTTTGATGTAGTTACCAAAAAACAAACGGCTGCATTTATTTTGTCAGAGAAAACTAATCCTGAGTCAGCTAAAAGTCAGGGAATTCTGAAATTATGTAAGACTGTGGAAACCCTGTATAAAATAACTATGTATAATGATTCTCTAGAAAAGTCACATTATATTAATAGTATTATCTTGTATAAACATACCGTGACTCTAAAATAAAAGTTATTTATTTGTGACCTTGACTTCTGTCTTTTGATTTATCTTAAGTTTTTAACCTGTCAAGTTTTTTTTTTAGATTTTTAAAATTACAATATATATATTTTTTCCAAGCACACAACAGTTTAAAGCAAAGTTTAGTTTAAAAGAATGTGCAGGAAGGATTGAAAAGCATGTTAACATGATAATGTAGGCTTGAGTTCATTATCCGACGCATGCATATACACATCAGGAACCTGTTAACTTAAAAAATACTGAATTACAAAAAACATTAAAAAAAAAAAAAACATGTTTCATTGATATATATACAAAAATGAATATTAGGAACTATATTTATCAAACATTATACTGGGCAAGTAAAAATTGTTTCTGGTCAAATGAAATGTGAAAGTCACTTGCCCTTTGGGCAAGTGGTAAAAATCCTTAACATCAACCCCTGGAGTGTATTTCTTTAAAGTTAAGACAAGTTTAAAGTTATCTTCATTGAAAAGTACAGTGCTTTTCCTTCAAAAATAAGGACATTTCAATGTGACCCCAAACTTTTGAACAGTAGTGTACATGATATATAATGATGTAGCATAATAAAATTAACAATTGCTTCTACGTAAACAAATGTGGCCATTTAGTGTAAACACTAGATTTGGAGCTGAATGATTGTGCAAGTCTTCTATGTCAAGTGAGGAGCATTTGTACAATTTGTTTATACCTAAGAGAAGGTTCAAAATAGGAAAAAAAAATGGTGAATGAGTAATTTTCTCCTAGATCACATAGGAATTATTTAAGAACTAATTTGTTTGTATGAACAGTCCCAGCATGAGGCCATTAATGTAACTGAATATAACATTATCTGTAGGTCCTGCAATGATACAGCAGAAATAAAGAAAGTGTAGTAATGCATTATCCTTGTGAACAAAGTCAGATCACTTATTATTTTTATTAGAGAACTACACAGAGTATATGGAACTAATTGTAGGTTATTTTTCTTTTGCAGTCTGAACTGTGGTAGCTTATTTTTGTTTGGGATACAATAGAATAGAATAGAATAGAATAGAATAGAATAGAATAGAATAGCCCTTTATTGTCCCACAGCAACAAATGTCAGAATTTGCTCAGTTTATGACTTCTGGGTCCAATTTAACTGGATTTAGAGTTTTCCAGGAAGATATCGGGTAGTAAAATAGACATATTTTGTATTCTGAAAGAAAGTGCTTTTAGTAAGAAATCTAATCTCTAAATATGGAGGGAGATAAATCTAGACTCATTGCCTAAATTGACAGATCAAAGGAAAAACATGTCAGATTTACAGATTGTGAAAAAGGTTTATAGATCTACTTTTATATCAGTCATTACTTCCTGTTTGTGGGCATTTAGATTCTAGAGAACAGCAATAATTTTCTTACACAGGGAAACAGGTTTCTTATCTATATTATCGCAAATATAAAATTAAACAAATTTCCTCTGCACATGTTAAGTATTATTAAGGGTTCTTTCTTTAGAAAATGAAAAGAAAAAAATGGTACAGTGCATTAAAATATTGAACCTTTTTTTAAACTCAGTTTCCATGGGGAGAAAAAAGCAAATAAATGTCGCAGTTGAAACGGACTGTGTAGGAACTCCTCACAAAGAACCGGGAAGTCAAATAGACTAAAGATTAGCCAAAACTGGCTCAAGCAAACAGTAATGTTATAAAGGACTTTGGGCCTACGCTGTTCACCAAAACCTGGTATAACCAGATAAAGGCAGACAGGAAATAACTGCCTAAAACAGCAGCTTAAAAAGGTTTGTCTCATTTTGTGTTTTTAGTTTTACTGTTTTTGCAAAAAAAAAATAAAAAAATTTTGAATACAAAATCCTTTGAATTTTGCCTACATGAATGTTGAATCTGTTGTGTTTTTTGTAAATGTGTGGTTAGTTTGTAAAGATTTTAGGATCTGGTAAAGAACAGATAAATGATTAATTGTAAAACTTAACTGTACAACACAAAGCAGACATTTAATTGGTTCCAGAGTTTAAATGCTCAGCGGTTCTTACCATCAGGACATGAACCAGGTTCCCAGTGATAGAGTTCCACACTTTCAGAGTCAAATTATTGGCTGCTGTGATCACAGTGCTGTCATGGCGATCCCAGGCCACCATGGTAACCTTCAGCTTAGTGACTTTATCTTCTAAGGGAGGAGGGTTGTACTTCCTGAGGGAAAAGAGAAATAATGTCAATAACACTGGCTGCATGATTTTTTACTTCAATAACAATGTACCAGAGAAAAAGTAGATCCGGTACTGTACAATGCTGCAAATTATTAAAGGTTTTGAAGATACAAACTATGCATGTGTTTGTTAGACCATTTAAATATTTTAATTTCCCGGTGCTAAGTAAGACCTTATCGCGACGCTAAGTCAGACTTAATGTCAATCAGGACTATCTAATGGCTACTGTTACTCCACTGCAAAGGTGCAGAAAAAGTTCCTGTAAACAGAAACTAAACAGCTCATCAACACGCTGAAAATATAGAAGTAAACTGTTGGGCCATTATTAAAGATGGAAAATATTTACTAGACCTATATACTGTATATATTGTTGATGTGTAACTAGAGCGCAACCACCTGCTCAGGCTCACAACACAATCCCTTTAGCTCAGCTGTTATAAACAAGGAGGCAAGTTTGTTTTTTTATCAAAATGGATAGAGAACATAATGTAGACAAAGAATGAAGTACAGAATGCTCTTAAGAGTTTTGTGGGTGGCTTTTAAAGAAGAGTGTTAATTTAGTCCTAGAAGGACAGTCTTGTGGTCCTACCTCCAGTTGAGACACCGCTCTGATGCAATGTCTGCCTGACGGGCTTATCTGATCTATCACTGCCATCCTCCTAAGCTAGCACAAGCAAACCGCTGCCTCTCTTCTGTTTTTGCTTTCCCTAAAATGTTTATTTCTGTTCGCAAGAACTGTCTTCTGCACCTACCTCGCGAAGTGAGAGTGGCCAAGAAATAGTCCTAATTAATATCAATGTCTGACATAAATCCTGGATGTTTTAGCATTGTTTAAATAGTCTAACAAAACACATCATTTTTCTAGCTTTAAATCTTTGATAATTTGTTCCTCTGTACAATACCGGAATAACTTTTTTCTCCGGTATGTTACCAGCTGTTTCTCAGTGACACTGTTACATCTCAGCTACAGACAGTTAAAGTTTCACTTCAAGTCCAAAAACATTGACTGTCCTTTCAAGTTCGTTTTTTCATTGAGTCTTTTCAAACTGAATTCAGGGGGAAATCTGAAGTAAAAGTTTTTGAAAAAGAGAACCATTTTCCACACTGTAGGCTGTTCAGATCTGCTGCCAAAACAGAGAGGCGGACTCTTGACTGGTGCTCATCAATTTGCTCTTCTTTTTTAAACTGAAACTAGAGCCAACCAGAGGTAACAAGAAGGCTGAATGGTGAAAAAGCATAGTAATGGGTAGTCTGAATTGCCCAGCCTGTCTGTCATGAAATATGCTGGCTGCAGAAACAGCCTCATCCTTATTGAAATCTCAAAGGTATCTGTGTTTCCTGGGGAACCAATGCAGAGGCTTATTGCTTACGTCTTACAACACCAACTACCTTCAGTGCTAAGAACAACAGCTTAAAATATCTCCTCAAAATCATATTACTTCTTACAAAAGTGTCTTTAACATTTCTTTTCACAAAGCCCATCCAGTAACTTCAAACTACAGTTATGTTGTAAAAGGCTAATTGTGCATCCTTCACCTATACAGTTCCCACATATTAAGAATCAGCTTGCAGAAAAGAAACAGAGAGGCTGCCATAGAGAACAATAAAAACTGTAAATGCTAAACTTTGTTTAATCTTCATCTTGGAACCAAAACAAGCCATACCTCCCCTCCCCCTTTGCCTAACCTTGCAGAAAAGTCTGATGCTACCTAGCCACAAAAACATTAACCTGCTATTTCCTGCCTCCTTGAACCGGTTTTCTTTAGTACATTTTATGTCTGACAGCAAATTTCATCTTTAGAAACAGCCATGCTGGGGAGGTAGCTGTTTAAAAACCAGCCTTACTCTTATGGAAGAAGCTTGTAATCTTCAACGAGTCTGATTGGCTTAGTTTTTCCTGTGTCTTTTTCTCTCAATTTTCAAAACCTAGAGCTCAATTTGCTCATCAATTATTCAGATTTAACCATTTAGATTATGGTCCGATTTATGACCATCGACGACCAAACACTAATAGTCAGGTAACCATATCTGGCAATCATTGCATAGAAAGGAAGCAGCAGTGGAAGAAACAGCAACCTTATTTGACAACAACGTAGTGGGACAGCTTATTTAAAGATACATTCCTGCCTCTTAAACAATCAATAGAAAGTCTAGAGCTATGTTAAAAGACAGAATATAGCATAAAATAACCAAGAAATTAGATGTTCCTCACACTGGACCATTTAAAGCTTGATCCTCCCAGGCTTTAGCTTGAATTTTTGGACACAAAAAAGCATAACCTTTTAGACTTTAGTGCGCAATCCCAAATACCATTAGGTCATGATAACAGAAGCTTTCTGTAATTTGGAAAAAACAAAACAAACAAAAAAAACATGCTTTGTTACTATTAATATCAACACAGGCTTAAAAGACGCTTTTAAGAGGATCTTCTGCAGACATCTACTAGGGATGAGTCTTGCCATGGTTGTTGCGAAACGATACATGTCACAATACTTGGGTTGCAATACAATATTATCACGATATTACAATATATCACAATTTTCAAGATCTAAATTAAAGATATAGATGATAAATCAACTGCTGTATATGTTCATAAAAAGATAGTGATCATTATTTATTTTGGCATCCATGTTTTTTGGGGTTTGAGTCAGTCCACATCATCCACTGTGACTACCCTGCAGATATGGTGCTGCCCCACACAGCAAAAGGGCTCCACATCACTATCTACCTTAGTGGCGATGCAGAGGAAGCCCATTTTGATGCATTGTTTGAAATACATTTTTTATTTTTATTTTTTTAAATCGATACTAGGAACTAAAAATAGATGTTATATCAGGCAGCCAAAAATCCCAATATATCGCCAAATCGATTTTTTCTTACACCCCTAACATCTGCGTATTTTAGGCTGCAGGAAAGTCAGAGAGAACAACACTTCTCAGCAGGTAACAGTAAGGCTCATCAGAATAAAGCAGAGGTATAACCAATGCCCCAGTTTCAATAACAATCTTGATACCTTAGAAGAAAAGTGTCTGCACTCTGTGTCAGTCTTAAGGGCAGATTAGAGTTCTGCAACCGCACACATCAAAAGTCGCTTGGGTCTGGTCGCAAGCCAGTTTTGCTGGAATTTCTAGGGATGCACAGCAGTTTCCCGCCAAAGCGCAAGAAAGAGCCTAATGGAGAACTCGCGAGAAATTCGGCAGATCGCACCGGATAGAGATGAAAAACCACAGAGACAGCCGGAAAGGCGTACCAAGGACAAATCACAGCTGTTTTTTGTTTGCGACTTCTGCTTGAGGTCTGTGCGGGTTTGAAACTGTCCAACGCGTAGTCATGATCTTTTTGAGGCGACGACCGTTGCAGAACCTCTGCGCAGGGGACAGAGACAGTCTGGACGGTTGCAGAGGCTATGCGTCAGAAAAATAAATTGGCCTTAAGTCAATTCAAGTTAGTTGGATTACATTAAATAATATCTGTAATGTTGTAAGAATCTAATATACTACAAGGAGTGATTTCATAATTAATTTTAGAGTGTTTTTTTGTTCCTTATTTCACTTTAGAATGGTCTCTGATGACCAGCATTAACCTACAGCGCATCCTGAAGAGGTCAAGGAACCCAGTCACAGTGGCGCCTCCATTCCCAAGAAAAATACATTTTTTTTTGTACATAAATAAACACAGAAACAAAACCGCTTAAGGCTGTAAAATCATCTGAAGCATTTTTGGCTGCACACACTCACACAGAAACACACACACTTACCCAGGCAGTTTGGTCTGCATATCCAGCAGAATGCTCTTCCAGCCCTGAGGCTGCAGCTGCCAGATTCGAGCTGTACCATCTCTGCTGCCACTCACAAACCTACAATACATAAACATGCATGAAAGGGAACAATAGTTCTGCTTTACACTATAAATCATTCTTCCAATACGTACACTTCAGACAAAAAAAACAAAATCTATTTTGGTAGCTTTCCTCTACAGCTTTTGCATTTTTGTATGTCTTTTTCACAGCTGAGATTACGACAGCTGAGGGGGAAAAACAGATAAGCAATTTCGTTTCTGCAAACCCCATACAGGCACATTTGGTTAAACATCGGAGAACTAAGTGAGGAAATAAGTCACCGCCTTTGCTTGTGTGTGACACATAGTGTGTATAACAGCATCTATCAAGCATTAACTTAGGTGGCTGATTCTGCTGACACCATCAAGCTGCAGCACCCAGAGGTTCCGTTAAAAACAGCGCTGCATATCAACACCTGATATTATCTATGGAGCACAAAGACACAAACCTACCTGTCACTGCAATGTGAAAACTGGATGCTGTCAACTTTATCCTATGTGGGAAAATGAAAGAAATATCAGAAAGCCCGCCCACATTTCTTTGAGCAAATGACACCTTTGAATTAAGACCAATTGTTATATTTTCATCCACAGCTTTTAACATTTCGTTCACTTGCAAAAAAAATATCATGGTTCTCAGTAGCTACGTTTACATGCGCAAAGTTTCCCCGATCCGATCCAAACCTTGGTTGATCGGAAATTCAAAATCTCCGTTTATATGGACACTAAATGAAATGATCCGATCATGACGTGTGTATACATGTACCAAGCGTTGGATCAGATTAAATCTTTTAAGCATGCGCAGAACTTCCTGCCAAACTTGGCAGTTCTGTCTGCGTCTGGTTTTTGGGAGGCCTGACAAACGATGCGCTCGGAGCGAGCGGAAAGAAAAAAGGAGAGAGGAGGAAAAAAGCGCTTGGCAGCGAAATGTCCGAGAGAAAATGTAGAGAATGAGCGATTGAACCGGCGTGGGAGAGCGAGTGGGCTGTGGAGAGAGAAAAGAGGAAGAGGAGGAGGATAAATTCCTGCTTCCTGCAGCTTTAAATGAACTTGAGTGTATAAGTCGGCGTTCCTAGACTCCTCCCGCCATGTTGTTCACAGCGAGAGCGAGAGAGACCGGTGGTTTCCTGTTGTTGACAAGGCGGAAAACGTCACGCTGACGTCGCACACATGCGCAGTGAAGATTATTTTACTCTTAAGATCCGAATGGGTGTTTACATGGACGCCAATCGGAATGGCGATCGGCAAAAACCACCTCTCTCATTCGGAATTAAATTTAGATCCGATCGGACCGAATCGGATTAGAATCTTCAGTCTGACATGTTTACATGAAACATTTTTGATCTGATCAGGCCTTCAATCCGATTAGTTGTGTCCATGTAAATGTAGCTATTGTTAGCAGATGGTGTTATAAAACAAATATTTAACAAACCATAAAAACAACAAATAGATTTAATGAACATGTGGACTCACTGTGTGGGACTCAAGCTCAGAGATTTTCTCTGGTTGACCTGACCCAAAGTAGTAAACCCTAATGATGTGATCAGTGCTTCCTGTGGCAAGGAACATCCCACCTGGACACAGAGACAAAGGATCAGCCTCCAACCTCAGGGTTTCAATAACTCCATTAGGCATTTCCATAACACCTTCCATATCATTGGCTAGTTTTAAATAGTGTCCTATTAATTCAGGTCTGGTCCATCTGACCAAAGCATCTAATTCTACAAGTCTGGGTCCCTACATGTAATATCATTGCTTATTTTCTCCTGTCAGCAGTTTTTCCATTCTCTGTAGCTCCTCCATGGTGAGATGCTTCGCTGTTTAGCAGCTTTTCTGTTGAACAGCATGCAGTCGTATCATACTTCTTCAGTTTTCACACCACAGACTGAACGATCCTCTGTGAGATCGTTGATCTTGGGATATTAATATTGTTTTAGCAGCTAGGTTCATTGCATTGTAATATATTTAGGAGTATCCGAGTAGAGAGGGTTTGAAAGGTATGATCAAATATAAAGATGACCAGCAGGTGTTTAAGTGACCATAATGTAATGAGCCTTTTCATTTTTTTAAAACAGGACTTGAAGTGGTTAATAGATTAATTTTTAGTTAATTTGAGTGGAATAACATTAAATAAATTTAAGCTAAAAAATATAAAGCTTGTACCAGACTGTAGCACAAACTGCACACCTACTATACAGTCAGTGCTATCTAACTACAACAGCTAGAGGGTTTGAAATGTTGCTGGTTAATAAAAGCAGGTTGACTTCACCTGCACTGAAGGAGGAGCAAATCATCTGGACGCCGGGTCTGGACCGCTCTGTGAATTTGCTGGGCCTCTGGCTGCAGAAACATCAAGAGAATAATTCATAATGTGCAGATTTATACAACTTCTTCATAAAAGCTGATAATCTTTAATGAATGTTTTAAACAAAGATGGGAGACAAACTAAAGGACTGGCAGGTCTGTAAAATGCTTCCTACAGACGGTACGAGTGGCGCTTCTGCAGGAGCATAACGTGACTGCTTTTTCTCACCCAAATTTGAGTGTGCGAGCGTCCCACTGCCAGAAGCAGATGGTGCCGTCGGCTCCGGTGGAGGACAGGTAGCGTTTAGAGCCACTACAGAGAGGCGAAAACTGCAATGAAAACCAATTAGTTGGTTACTGGGGAGCATATCAATGACAGTGAATTCTTTTATACTTTTTCATGTTAAAACCACTTTAATATTTATTTTAATGGAATTTAGATAGTATACCAACAGAAACTGGTGTTTGAGTTATATGAAGCATAATACATGGATTTCAGTATGTTACCTCTGCATTTCAACTTTTCTTTTAAAACTCTTCAAAATAAGGTCAAATTTACGGTGGCCCTGAAGTGCAAACTGCAACTACAAATCTAAAAGCACAACTGCATTAAGGAAATCGCAACTACATAAAGCAAAGCGCAACTACATTAAGAAAAAAAAAAAAACTACATAAAGCAAAGCGCAACTACATTAAGGAAAACACAATTACATTAACTTACCGGAAAACGTAGGTACCAGTGGGAAACATGAGACATCGCTGATTGGACGACGGCGCCGTTTGACCCTTGAACTGGAAGTCATTCTGCCTGCTGCGGCTTTTGAAAACATGGATATTGTCGGCGCCCCAAACATAGCTGCCGTTATCCAGGAATATTTTGAATCAGGACATACGTACAAGGTGATACTGGATATGCTCAAGACTAATCACGAAATTTTAGTTAGTTGGCGTACACTGAAGACACACTTAAAAGAAGCTGGACTGTTCAGACGACGCAACTTCCGGTTCAAGGGTCAAACAACACCGTTGTCCAATCAGCGATGTCTCATGTTTCCCACTGGTACCTACCTTTTCTGGTAGGTTAATGTAATTGTGTTTTCCTTAATGTAGTTGCGCTTAGCTTTATGTAGTTTTGTTTTTCTTAATGTAGTTGCGCTTAGCTTTATGTAGTTATGATTTCCTTAATGTAGTTGTGCTTTTAGATTTGTAGTTGCAGGGCCACCGTACAAATTTGCAGACCATGAAAGTTGTGCTGTCAACAGATTGTCCCCCCTGACCTGTGAGTACTGTCAAAGACAGCGCATCCCAAACTGATCATGTTCTCGTGTCATTTAAAATCAAATGAATGAGTTTGAATTTTATTTTACTTAATTGAAGCTGATTTTTTAATTATCTAAACTGATTCATTTATATTCAAAATGTAAATTTCTTCTTTTACTGTAAAAATTCTGTTAGTTTATTTTCACTTTCAGTTTAATGATTTAATTTTAGTTCACAGATTCAGTTTTTGTGTCAGAAATCTGGGCCATTAGGCCACACACTAAACACAGATTCATTGATTTGTTTCACGTTTTCTTTAAAACTTTATATAACCTTGAACCAGCCTCAAACACGTATAAGCTGTCATTCACCAAGTCAAACATATGAATGGGGAAACATGGGCCGATATCAAAGCAGCGGCTATTTAGAGTCAGTAGCTAATGGCTACAGGTAGCATAGGTGTAACAATTAGCCCTGAATTGTTTCATATGATGCTTGTTATGCATTGGTTATTTGGCATTGTTAAGGACATCCGTTCCACTCAAACATTAAACTCAGTTTCACTTTGGTCACATTCATTTTCAGACCAACGCATTCAATTTCATGAAAACTGATGCAGTTGGAACAAATTAAACTCTGTTCCTAATGACACATGTTTCTGCACGTATGTGTTTAAGTTAATACCATGTTATACAATCATGTTAATATTCATATTTAGCCACATGGACTATTGTTTTTATTTGAAGTCATGGTTGTCAAGTTGATTGTGAAGAAAAACTACATGTGGATCCCTGCAGTACCTCCAGAGTGATCATTGAAGCCGGCTTGTTAATTTATATAAATAAACTACATTTTTCCATTTGCAAGGCAATCATGGTGTTCTGTTAAATCTGCATTGCATATTTATTTATCTTTTTTATTCATTCATTCATTCATTCATTAAAAGGAAACATAATAAAACCTGTGCAGGTGACAACTGAAATCATGAATGAAAGAAAAGGAGCAGAAAGAGGTAAAAGACGTATATATCTGCCCCATTTTCAATAAAGTAATACTTATTCAAACTCAGATAAATACAACCATGCAAAAAAAATACCATGTTCACCAATAAACAGAAAACAAACAACAACAACAAAAAAAAACTAATTATACATCAGCCTATCTACTGTCATCTCGACTCAAAGTGCCCTTCAAGTCTTGTTGCAAAAATCAACACCTTTAACAGAAACACATCTCTCCATTATCGCCGTTCTGTACCTAGATTTTTTGAAAATATCTAATGCTTTTAAGTTATACCCACTTCTTCTTTTAGAAAATATGTTTTGAATATCTTTTGGTAGAACTTTTTTTATTTGCCTTAAACATGAATTTTAAAATATACTCTTATCAACTCATTAAGTTTTAATGTATTCAACTTAATCAATATCTGATTTGTGTGATCTCTGTATCCACTTCCACTTATAACTCATATTATAACTCATATTTTATATACTCTTAGTTCTCCACAAAGTGTTCTTTGCTTGTTTGCTAAAGTCCTCAAAGAAGAGTATTAAGTCGTCTTAGAACACCTGGATTTATACTAACGTTGTTTTACATACTGAGAGTCACAACTAAATAAAGAAGTAAACAAACCTGATGGAGCTTTTGAACTAATATTTTGTTTGAGCAAAATTTTGAGGGTATGTAGACTTTCAAACACAACTGCATGCATCTATTGAAATCATTTAGTTGGTTCAGGTAAATGGATTCTGAATACAAAAGCAAGTCAGGCTATTAAAAATTATAGTTTCTGAAAAAATAAACAACCCCTCAATCCCTTAAAATAATAAAACATAAAGAACTAAATGAGTCATGATCATTAGACTTCTGATCTCGTCATTAAATTAGTGTTGGTTTCAACAAACCCATAAAAGCAGTGCTTGAAAGTCGAGTTTAAGAAGTGTTAATTGTTTTGTATGCTGCTCTAGCAGAGATATTTGCAGAATACAGTGGATCTCTTATGCATTAGAGCCATAAAACAAACCAGTTTATACATTTTAAGTAAACAGGTGCAAAGAAAAGGCAAAACACAGCTGGAGATTAAGATATGATGCCAGACAAAGAGCACTGTTAATTATAATTCTTGTTTTGATGCAACACCGATTTTATTTTTCATTGTGTATTCTATCTCTCTTTAGCTTAACAGACTTTGATTTCAACAGGTTAGGAAAAGCAACATCATTTGATTTTTTTGGGACTGATAAAGGTCAGAGTTGTCTAAAGAAGAGGGCAAATTGTTTAAATAATCTCACTGGCTTTATTATCCGGTTTTCTAAGTTTTCAGACTGCTCCTACCTGCAGAGAGGTGATGGAGGCAGCATGCCCCTCCAGGACAGCCAAAGGGGCGCAGGTTTGCAAGCACCACACTCTGATGGTCTTGTCACACGACCCGGCAGCGATCATGGTGTTCTCGTAGCTCACAGCCATGTCGGAAATCTCTGCAGCGTGTCCCCGCAGGGTCGCCAGCAATCGGCCATCATCTGTTCCCCAGATCTTCACCAGGCAGTCATCTGAACCCTTTGAGGTATAGAGCGGTGTAAAACATGGCTGTTACTTGTGGTAAAAAAAAAAAAGATGTCTTTATCAAGCATAAAAAAATAAATAAATAAAATCACAGATAAAAAAAAAGGGGCATAAATATTTCAAAGAAAAATACTGCATTTTATTTAGTCAACCAAAAAAACAATCGAGTTTATGCGAGAATTTAAGTGATACGGAAAATAAAACATCAAATATTGTGAAAACAACAAGTAAATGGCAGCTCTAGCATGAAAGTAAAGATTCACACAGGTTGGAAATAATACATCTAAGATAAAAATGTATTCATACAGCTGCACTAAAATCTGGACAGATGCCTTTCAGGAAGCTTTGCCTAAAGCTACCATTAACAATATTCTCTCTCTGTAATGTTTGGTACGGTTTATGTTGGAGTTCAGGGAGACTTTACAGACAGCTTAAAGGAAGCTTCCCAAAACCAGCAGGTGTTTGTTTTGGAATGCCAATTTCTGCCCAAGTTTTCCTCCATCTGACCAAATCTAACCTCCTGAGAGGCAGGGAAAACTGCTAAGATGTCTAAGAAAAGCACAAGAACCAAAAAGAACCATAAGAAACAATGACACCAGAGGCACTGTCGACAGGAAAACCAGCCAAGCATCAGGACTTAATGGGCAACCTGCACCACGACTGAAACATGCAGCTGTGTGGAGAAATGTTTATAGGCCAGACAAGATAAAAATTTACCCGTAAGGTCAAACAAAAAACATGTCTGGAGCACACGAGATAAGGCTTTCAAACTTAATGAAACTGCAACATCTGTCAAACACTGTGGCTTCAGAACAGAACACCCTACAAAGAGCAGCTATAGAAAGCTTATTGAACATAAATACAAGCAGAATCTAGGGTAGGAAATCACAAAATAAGGGTGAAAGTTGGGTCAAACATTGAGGATAATTCCAGGATTTGTTAATCCCATCAATCTGCTTTGATTATTTCCAAATATAAACATGGTTGAACACATGTTTGAGCATTTAGATAAATTTTGTATTGAATAAAAAAATACAATGCACAGTAAATTCTAACTTGCAGCTAGAGCGAACTATCAATATGGAAAAGAAAAACCAGGTGAGCAAACTCTATTATAACAAGATTGCATTCTTTTTATTACATTATAATAAAATCCAACAGATGCACCAAGGTATAAATAAACAGCACTATAACGCCTCTTAGGCTGAGACTGTGTTTGAAATCTCAAACAGACGTTCCACAGAGTGCTGTCTGCAGCAAAACATCCGATCATAAACAGGAAGAAAAGCAAAGCTACTGACTAAATACCCTGACAGACTGGGCTGCATGAAGCTCTCCTCATGAAACAAAACAGGAGCAGGGAGACAGAATAGAATAGAGCTTCTCCATTATGATGATTATTACAAATATTCAGGGTAATAATGAAACCAGGATTATTTTTACCAAGTAAGGAAACACATCAGACTACACAAAAAACTAAAATAAAAAAGGATATATGTAAAGCAGAATATGATTTAAAAGTGTTGGTAACAGTTCCTTGAGACTGCAAAAGAAATTCAAATTTTATTGATATACAGTGAAGTAAGACTGCTGCCAAAAACAGACTATGGTGTAGAATGATAAAAAAATATTTGAAGTCAAAAAATCAAATGCTTTGACATTTTTTAACCAAAGGACATCAACCAGATAGCAAACGACTTAAATAGCATCAAAAACCACACATCATTTAAGTATTGCATCAAATAACGTCAAGAAAATTGGGCAAAGAATGAACACAGCATTTAAAAGAAAAGCGGCCAAATAGATCTCGTCGACATTCTTCAGTCCTCACAGAGGAGATCAAGAGCTCAATTCAGGCATGAAACCCGCCTTCAGGGGGGAAATTCCTGGCTGGGATCCAGCTTGCTGAGGGTTAAATGTTGTGTGATTTAACACGGTGTCAGATCCATCTGTGCTTTAATTAAGATCTCAACACAGTTTAGAAACACAACAGGTAACCATCATTGAGATGCAAAAGTACAGCAATGAAAAAAATCAAATACATAATGAATTGGTGTTCAGCTCATATATGAAAATCCCGTTAATTGTTTTTTTTTTTTTTTAGCTATGTAGCCAAATTATGACAGGGAATAAGCGAAAGACCAAACTTTATAAAAGAGACAAAAATGATGGATGGACTAAATGTCCACTAATATTCGGGTGTTGTTTTCTTCAAATTTTTTAGACCTAAATACTCCAATCGAATATTTTCAATCAATCATTAAAAACTTGAAAGTTTTGAATGGAAAATATATGGTTGCAAAGAAAAATAAAACTTAAACAGACTTTCCCTCCAAATGAAGTAATCTTCATCTGTCATTTCAATGATCCTGATAATGAGCTTCAACCGATTTCTGAGATTTATTTCGAAAATCAATATGAACGCCTGCGAATCAATCGCTTAAGCTAAACCACACTCACTTGTTCATTTGAATATAATGATCTAAGAGCATGTTTAGGCCGCACTCAACAATTTATTAATTCAATCATTCAGGGTTGAAGCCGAAAGACCGAAGAGATCCAAAAATAAGCAAATAAATAAATAAAACTGATGATAGGAGACGGCAGGAGGGAAAAATGAGCACAAAGGAGAAAAAAAAAGAGACAGAACGAGAGAATGACAGGAGAGAGCAAAGATGAATTTTAATTCTGGCACTTAGCCAGCCCCTCAGAGGAAACATTTTCTCCAGTTAAGAAGAGAAATAGCAGGAAGGAGAACGAAGAGGAAAGAGAACAAAGGAGGGACAGGCCACGATGAAGAAGGGTTAGAGAAAACGGGGGACGGATAACAAGCAATCTAACCCTGCCTTCATTCGCACCAGCCCGCCATTTTTAGAGATTTAAGGAGCGAGACGCTGGAAGTGGTAATGCAGCACGCAGTGTTTAAATCAACAATCTAAGCAACATCATCAGCTCTAATGTTTGAGCAATGTTTAACTCGACTAAAAATCAGGCATCTAAAACAAACCATAAGCATTAGTTCAAATTAGTTTGATTTATTTCCTCTACATCCTGCCGCCGTGTGAATGACTAAAATACCTCCTACCAGAACTGCTACAGCAAAGATATTGTAATTAGAGAATGAACACAAAGCTACCAACATGTTTCCAGCTAAATAAGCTCCTTAAAACTCCGGTACCAGCATGTGGATCCCTCCTGAGGTCAGCCCAACATCCAAACACACACCCACCCACAGTGAATCCTTACCGTGAAGATGCGGCGGCCCGTCCTGTCAAACGTCACACAGTACACTGACGACAGGTGTCCCAGAATCCTCTTGTGCATCTTCATGTGTTGGTACACCGCTGTGGGCACCAGCTGACGGAGACGGTAGGAGCCGTTCAGTCGACGGCTGTAGCTCGTCTCCACTGCATGATAAGAAAAAAAACATAAAAACCCAGGAAGAAATGGTTACTGTGAGAAAGAGTTCAGGATCAGGGTAGTTAAAAGGCAACACCCAGGCCTGCAAAAAATAAAGCTGCAACATATTTTCCTCTCTAACAAAAAAGACAAATTCTATCAAAAGAAGCGCCGCTCATCACTCTGTTTATAATCATCAAGCTGCATGCAACCAGGTTTCAGCTGGCTACCTGGGCAGATAATCTGACTACCGTATTTTCGCGACTATAAGGCGCATATAAACTTCTTTTTTCCCCTCAAAATGTGCGCCGCGCCCTATAGTACAGTGCGCCCTATGTGTGTTGTTACTGTGGACGTTGTTGAGACCACCATGAGAATGTTTAAGGGGGAAGTGTGGGCATGGATTGGCTGCCACGCAAATGGACAGAAACTGCCGCCTAGGGTGATTTTTAGAAAAGAAGAGAAAGACTTTGCCTAAAGAGACTTTTCCAGCTGGAGTCGTTATTAAGGCAAATGAAAAGGGCTAGATGGATGAGGAGATGATGAAAGCGTGGCTGAGGGAGGTGTTTGTACCAATCACCATCGCTGTTAATCTGTGACTCCATTAGGGATGGGACGATTTATGAAAACCGTCAGAATCGTTCGGTTCGACTGTCTCGGTTCGGTTCGGTTCGCGTGTGTTTGGTTCGGTTCATGCGCTGCTCCTTTTTCTCATAGAGGAAGCGATTACACTCCAGAGCAGAAGGTGGCGGTACTGCGACCAAAGCCAACCGCCAGTAGTAAACAAGAAGAAGAAGAAGCGAAGCAGGTTAGCCGGGTGTAGCAGGGAAAAAAATCAGTTGTTGTGGAGAATTGTGTGGGTATGGCGAGTGGGAAAGAACAGGAGTTGGAAGACGCGCCAGCAGCACTTTATAGGTCTGCTGTATGGGACCGCTTTGCATTTAGAGTGACCTACGATGACGGCGGAAAGAAAGTTGTGGAAAAAAGTGCAACAGTGTGCAAGCATTGTGCAACACGTTTTGTTTATGCTAACAGCAACATGACCAACATGTCATGCTAACCCCGAAATCCCTCATACTCCGTCAGCAACCCCCGCTCTGACCCACTGCGCTCCAGACCGGCTGCTCAAAGCAAAGCCTACAGCCTCCACTGTGGCTTCGTCTGCTCCCCTCTGAGTTCCTTGGAGATGGTAGAGAGCATGTAACCTGACAACAGCCAGATGCATGAGCGAGACATGCATCTGGCTGTTGTCAGGTTAGAGAGCATGCGCCAGATGATTAAATTCAAAGCAGCAAAACATACAGAAATGATCCAGGGTTTCCACGGATCATTTAAAATAATTACAATCCATTATTTTTGGGGGGATTTTTTCATTAATTTCATAATTTTTTATGGAATTTCTGTGTAACAATCAACATGTATCGAATCGAACCGAAAACCGTGACCAGAAACCGTGAATCGAACCGAACCGTGGATTTTGTGAACCGTTCCACCCCTAGACTCCATGCGTGCCCATCTCACAGCCGGTGTGAAAAAAAGGTGAAACAAATGAACGCTGTGCTTGCTGTTATTCCGGGAGGTCTGACAAAGGAACTTCAACCGCTCGACATCGGTGTGAAGCGGCCGTTCAAAGTAAGGCTGCGAGCGGCGTGGGAGCGATGGATGGCCGACGGAGACCACAGTTTCACGAAAAGTGGAAGGCAGCACCAGGCAAGTTACGCCACCGTTTGCGGATGGATTGTTGATGCTTGGACTAACGTGTCTGCTGGCTCTGTTGATCGAGCTTTCACAAAGTCGGCTTCATTTCCGAGGAGCCGCACGGCACGGAAGGTGACTCTGACAGCGAAGAAGGGGAAATTGGCATGTCTGATTTAGCGCAGCTGTGTAATTCAGAAACAGAGGATGATGACTTCCATGGGTTTGATTAATACTTTGTAATAAATACATGAATAAAGCACAATCATACTCAGTTTTGCTCCCACTCTATTTTTATATACGCAGTAGAGGCATTTAAATGTAGTAGAGGATATGTACCTGTATATAAAACCCACGCTCTATAATCCGGTGCGCCTTATGTGTGTGTTAAATACAGTAATGGGACACAACTGAGACTGCGCCTTTTAGTACGGTGCGCCTTATGGTCGTGAAAATACGGTAGCTACTCAGCTATCATTACCTTATTTTACTTCTATAATTTATACCATACCATAATAATGTAAAATAATTGCCATCATGGCTTTGTCAAGCTGCTGCCTACCTTTGTGAAGCAGGAAAAAATCTAATACAAAGTGAATCCAGTAGAACTTTTTATTGCCTACCAGGAGTGGGTGACAATAGTTGAAGAAACTTATGGCTCTCAAAATGGTATCGGTGCCCTATTTGTTGGTACTCGCCGATACCGATACCACCATTTTAGGGCAGTATCGGGGCCCTGTCCGATACTGGTATCGGTATCGGCGCAACACTAGTAAGTATCCCAGCTGGGAATAGGCAAGCTAGTGCCTGCACAAGGAATCCTGAGGTTCTGATTTCAAGTCCCACACCCACAGACTGCCACTCTGGCTCCATGGCAAGACACCACCCAGTGTGGCACACCCACACCTATTCAGCACCCACACTGCTCCCTAGGCACCGCAGAATGGCAGCCCACTGCCACTACATGACAGTTTAATGTAATGTAAAGAAAAATGACAAGGTCATGCTGGGGAAAAAAAGGAGTAAAAATAGTAGTTATTCCTGTTAGTTGGGGTAAATAAAGGTGATGAGGAGTGTTTTTACTCAAGGTTATCATACCAAGGTGAATCTGTGATGGTGCATGCATGTTTGGGATAAAACAAAAATAAGTGTATTCTGTACCAATATTAGGCGGACTCCCATATATAATGGGTGGCTCTGGGGGTCTTCCACAGTGTAGCGCTGCCAATGCCGAACCCTTCCACACAACATGTTTGCAGCCTGGAAGAACAGGAGAAGCAGAAACACTCACGGTTTAGAGATTTATACGGAGGACTCTTTCAGCTTGGTCTGAACTTATTAACGCGGAATCTCTGAAACATAACATTTACATTTAATTCCCAAAAGTTTCTATGACAGCCTTCACATAAATAGTGCAGAACTGCTGGCAGTGTGTTCACGATAAATTGAACGTTCCACTTACTCTTGCTGGTGCGTAGAAGATTCTGCCTGCCAGCCCCCAGCAGGCTGGTGAGGCCCGGCACGCTGGCGGGGACCTCCCTCTCCAGCAGCGGACAAACCCTGGAGCAAACCTGCAGCAGGTGGTCTGGAGTGACATGTCTGTAGAGCTTCACCTGCAAACCAGCACACACTCAGGTTAGCTCTTATTTGTTCACACTGAATGAACAAAGACAGAAGGCTTGGCTCAGTTTGACTGAAATAATTGACAAGCATAGTTAGGAAAAGAAAATAACAAGCAATAAACACATTTTGAGTTCAGCTCTATGAAGAAGAAAGCTTGCATGAAGGCTGGTATGTTATTTTTTATCCCCTCAGCACATCGTCCTCACTCTTACTCCATTTATAGCTAGTTTGAAAAAAAAAAACATAATTGTAACTTCAGAGCAAAAGCACAACGAGTTGTTTTTGTCTTGGGCGGGGGCATCTGTAGTCAGCTTTTTTTTTTTATTCCTGATCCTTATTTCATTGAAAAGTCTGCAAAAAGTATCTACTTTGAAAATACCACTTTTAAAAAACATTTGGATTAAAGACACACTGAAGGAAGAAAAGTAAATCAGGTTATTGGTACTGAGGCATACAAGCCTTCAGGATTCAGTATGCTCCATCTTTTCAGGATTCTTAAATCTTCATTCGTCATACTAACCCTTTATCATAAAGCACTATAACGCCAGCCACAACTAAAATAAAGCGCCAACATCAAAAACTATCAAATAAAATTAAGAAAATTATAAAAGAGAAAAGTTTCTCTAAAGTAAGGCTGCAACTAATTATTTTACAACAGAATTGATGTGTTGATTTTTTTTTTTATTGAGAGTCGAATAGCCAAAGGTTTTTTAAAGGATATTTTTTACTAAATTAAACCAGGTGAAACTCAAACTATTCCACTTAAGGAGTTCTAGATGGAGCATACTGCCAGACATTTTATAGTTATATTTTCACATCTTAAATGCAAAATGTTTATACATTTTTTGTATAATTACTGCTCTAAGCTGATTTCTCTGTCAGCTAAAGGCATGTTCTAGAGTATCTATACTCCAGTTAACAGTTAAAGTTGATGTTATTTCAATAATCCATTAATCACAATTAATCCGGTTAATTATTTTAGCCCTACTTTAATATTTTTATTTATTTTTTTTATTTATTTATTTATTTTACAAAAGTAGAGTTTTATATTTCCGAAAGGAGCACCATGTTTTACCTCTCACCATGCACTGCCTGTCAGGTAGCTGAAAAAGGCTCCCGTAGTTAACCCTCTAAGACTGACTAATTAACAAGTTAGAGGTAGGATATCCTGCAGAATAAAGTGCTTTAAAATTTTATTTTTGCTGAGTTTACTTTACACAACATAGCTAAACAAAAATAGCAAATATATGTCGAATCACTGTTAAGCAGAAAACAATAACGTTGTTTTTTTCTAATAAGTTAAAGGTAACCCGATCATATTAAACAATTTTTACCTCTAAATATCTGAGTTAAAATGAAGGGAGAGCTGTGATTATAGCAAAGCGTTGGCGTTCTGAGACGGAGGAAATTACCTGGTTTAAACCCCATAAACTGTAACTCTGGGCCCTCGAAAAACACTTTGACCCCTGATTGCTAAGAGCTGTACTGTACGCTTGCAATTACTAATAAATCAGAATATTAATATATCATGAAACAGTAGTAGAATTAAAAAGTAAAACTGACCAGATGAGGGCTGCTCCAATATTCAGTTATTTTATCATTAAACTTGAAGCCAAAGTAACATTTTCAGAGTACATACAAAGTCTTGTATTGCATAATTTGTATTTAAAACCACTCTGACTATGATAAGCAACATTTAAAGATTAAGGTCACTACGAGCTTATGTTAATTTGCCAAAAACTTAGGAGAATTTTACTCTCTATTGCATTTTATAAGAAATAAAACAGGGGGCTAATAAAACAGCTGATCACAGAACATTTGATGAATTATATCCTGCTGCTAAACGCAAAACATATTAAGCCATGCCCAAGAAGAGGATGCAACACAAAATGTCACACAGATAATGGTTTTAAATGTAGATACACTTCACGTCGACACAGAAGCAGAGAATAAAGAGGAGGGGAGGGGGGAGTGGCACGCAACATAACCGTGAGGCAGGAAAAAAAAAAGAAAACAGGCTGTTATAAACACAGTGTGTCACTGAATCCACTGACACATGGGGGACTTTCTTGCATGGCCTACTTCTGAGGAAACACACATGCCTGGATGAGTCAAGGGGCGTGCAACACACCACGGACTGAAAAACAAAAACAGAAACACCACTGCCCCTGTGCGCTTAAGAAAACCAGATCCTACCTTAAAATATACAAATAAACACGCTACAAAGCACCAGATTCATATCAGCCACTGATAATAGGCCAGTCTTTACACATCGACCCCTTTAAACATACTAATTTTCTCCATTTCTTTATCCGAGCCGCAACCATAACTTATTCCTGGTGACACACACACGCAGATAGCCTTTAATTGCTCGCAACATCCTTGATGGCCGCTGAGACGTGATCAGTGTTGCCAAGCACATATTAGAGGATGTCTCAGACTGATCTAAGAACAGCACATATAAAAAAACAAAAAAAAAAAAACATCCTCCTCATATGCATAAGTGAAAGATGAACAAAAACAACTGGCTCCATTTTCCCTCAGAAAGAAGAGAACACACCCCCCTCCACAGAACACATGGTCTCTCACACCCACTCTAAGTTAAGCTGTTTATTCCTTTAGCCTTCAAATGAAAACAGTAAAAAAATAAATCACACGCTAAAATTCCTATTCTAATTCACTTGATCTGTTTTTCTCTTAAATTTAAAAAAATAATTAAACAAACCATTTAATAAAATTATAATTTCTGTTATAATGTAAAAAAAATCTAATTAAAAAAGAAAACATTCAATTAGATCATGTGCATCAGGTTTATTTGGAAAATGGAAATCATTAAATATCAAATTAATCTAATTAATACCCCCTTCAATTAATTAACCATAATTAATATTGTTAATTACAACAATATCAACGAGGTCTGCGTTTGTTCTCGTCGCTGCCCAGCCCCCCCATCTCCACCCTCCCTCCTTTGATAGGAAAGCAAGCACACCGAGATCTTAAAAATCTGCAGGACCCGATGCCTTCACGTTTGGTCTAATAATTAAAAAACGCAGCATATTTTATTTAAATACTGTATAAAACACTGGGAAATGATACACAAAAGATCCGAGACAGAGAGAGCGAGGCTGAAGGGCTAAAGAAGGGAGGAGGAGGGGGAGGAAGAGGAGGAGGGGGAGTGAGAAAAAGAAACGCAGTCAGGCATAAAAACATGCTGTCAATAATTCCCTTTAAACATCCAGATTTGTGTCTTTAGCGCAAAACACCTTCCATCTCTAGCCACACGTTTCATATAGATAATAATACATAAAAACCTGTTTTTTTTTTTATTTAAAATGGGTCTGATTCTAATATGCAAATATTTAAATAAAACAATTAAAGTTGGGAAAAAAATATTATCAGTTCAAGAAAGCAAACTGATGAATGGAAGTAGTAAGTGATAATAAACAGTCTGCATGCAGCCCCTCCATGCACAAAGGTTTGTGGCCAAACCTTTGTTTGTTTACATAATAATTACTCTTCAAATTATCATCTATAACACAAGAAATCTGCAAAAAGTTACCTCTCATCTCATCTGCACTCCAACTTGCATCCAAGTTCTCCCACACACACAGTCCAAAAAAAAAGAAACCTGCTTCCACAGGGAGCAGGGAGCTCCAACAGATCATCATTACTACTATCTGCTGTTTATATCTCCTTAAAAAATAAAAAAAAAAAGTCAGATTGTTTAACTCTCCATGCACACACAAATGTTGCTTCCTTGCAGGACAAGAGCGCCTCCATCTCAGGCTTGTGGCGCAGGGAGTCCCTCCTCCTGATCCTGGCGCTCCTGCACCACAGCACTCGTGACGTATCACCATTTCGCACACTTATTTCCCAACAACTATTTAAACCTTTTAGACCTGCCAAGCACCGAATCCCATCCTGCACATGGGGTCTGGACCTGACTCAGTGCTGCAAAACAGCACCCAACCAGGAACCAGCTTACCCTAAAACCCCCTTTGGCTTTTCTTTGCCACCTGATTTAAAAATTGCGGGAAATTCAATTTTTATTTTGCTCTCTAAAAACTTTTTCCCTCGGTTATAGAGCAGCTTACCAAATTTCTGTAGGTCCCGGGGTGCTCCTGCCCTGTCCAGTCCAGCCTTCTGGGTAGCAGCTAAAATAGAGAAAGATGTGTGCAGTGTGAGGATCCAGTTCATAAATGTGTGGAGTGATGTTTTAAAACATTAAATGATAATTCAAAGTGAAGGCACTATCACAGTACAGTGCAGAGAGAAGCATCTCCTCTCCCAGTGCTGACTGCTTACCTCCTTCTCCTCCACCTCCCTTATCAGGGTCTGAAAATAGGATAAAAACGCAAAATTACACCTCGTGACATTTTAGGACGTTTCCTAAATTCACCTAAAACACACAAACACCAACCTCGGCGGCTTTCTGGCACGGTCCAGCCTCTAGAAACCGGGCTATTAGGAAGTACAGTTCTGGTACGGTTGGAGGGGGAGAAGAGGACGGGAGCTGCGTTAGAAAAGGGCACCGAGGAACGTTTTGGGGGGCTGTTAAAAAAAAGCCGTGACACACTCTCCGTTCTCACTTTACTCACCAGAAGTCAACTGCGCGATGTGTGTACTGTCTGAAGCCATTTTGGGTGTTGTTTGCCAGGGCAGCGCCAGAGCTTGTGTGCTTGGTCTAGGTGGCTGCCCTGTAGCTGTCACTGTTTACCCACCAGGAAGAGGCAGCCTCCATTCAGCCTAGCTCACACATAGTCCCGCCCGTCGAGTGTTCATCCGCCGAGCGCAAGCTAGTGCGCTACGTACAGCTCGCAGCGCAGCATAACGTTTCACCAGATATAAAGCACTAACCGCCTAAACATAAATATAACACTAGCTTTTACTGTTAGTTTTATTTTCGGTTGGGTTTGTTTCGGTTTTGCTTATTTGTACGTAGCCCCCTCCCCCTCAAACGAAAGATCGCGGACGCATACAAACCGCGTCTCAACTGACGTCTCTTTAGAGTGGAACTAGAAATGGCAGCTTGCTAGCAGAGGGCACTCTAGTGTAGCATGCATGGTACGAAGAAAATTAAACTATTTAACATATTTCACGAAAACATATCTATACAGGTGTAGCTTTACACGAAGCGTAGAAAGTGTTGCCTCATTTCTCTAACATTATTCTGTTAAATTTGCTGAACGGCACGGCTTTCCTGCTCATGAAGGATTTAGAAACGTACTAACCGTTTGTCTACATTATTTTTTGCCCTTCAAATATATGAATTTATATGTGCGTTTACTTCGCTGGATGTTGTGTAACACGACGTGTAACTAACACACCCACTCTGTCTGCGCCGTTTGGTGGGGAAGTCGTCCATTTCTCTTCCAAATATTGCTCGGCAGTAAAATGGGGGAAGGGTTGGAAAAAGGGGAATGCAGCTTAATGAATGAAACCCCGTGAGTTACAGCAATTTAATAACAATAGAGACTGATGCGAAGGTGGCCATCAAGGAGGATTAATCCCTCAAGGATGATATCTGACAGTTCATGTCGTTTTCCTAATATCCTTTTAAGGGAATTGACACTATTGTGGTCTTATAACGCTGTCTTAAAAGTTTTATACAGACAAACTATGAACAATTAGATAAAAAGAGCAAAAACACCAAACACAAGAAGACATTTCGTGCATTCAGGTTGAATTTAGTCTCTAAACACACCATATTTTTTTAAGATGAGTAAATACCCATAAAACAAAATTTCAAAAACTTCTACATAATCCAATGAACCATTCCTGATATTTTTTAACATGAGTTTTGTGTCACATTATTAAGAATGACTATATAGACTCCTTTCTGGTATATTTAAAATCTTCTTAGTTATGAATATTTCCAGATCATTAGCTGCCAATAATCAGTGGTGCCAAAAGTACACAAATTTGTTACTTAAGTAGAAGTATAGATACTGCAGTTTAAAAACACGCTGGTAAAAGTTGAAGTATCAACTTGACCTCTTTACTCAAGTAAAAGTGAAAAGGTATGTGCTCCAAAAACTACTTAAAGTATAAAACAATAAACTAACCTTTAAAAAAAAAAAAGCAGCCAGATGCCACTATATGAATTGAAAGCTCAATTTTTCAAATATTTTGAAAAATTCTTTGAGATAGGGCCAAGAATGAGGGAGGTCTTGTTGGTCTCCATCTCCCGATACGCTCTCGCCCGTGTCCGACCTTTCAGACATTTTAACATCTTTTCCTGAATCCTACATTGTAGCATGGCATAGACAATTCACGTTTGCAGTTTGAAGAACACCTGCTTGCTTCTGATGATTTCCTTTAGCTAACCAATGAGTGTTTGCGTTATATGACTCATCCAATTACACTAGTTTTCACTAGATGTGGATGGCGCCAATGATCTGCATTGGATGGCGCACATGACGTGAAATAAATATTTATAAACATTAAACCGAAGCCAAGAGTAATGAGTAATGTTTGTTTTAATAATGTAAGGAATAGAAAGTACAGATACTTGTGTGAAAATGTAATGAGTAGAAGTCAGAAGTAGGAAGAAAAATAAGTAATGGAGTAAAGTATAGATACCTAAAAAGTGTACTTGAGTACAGTAAGGAAGTATTTGTACTTAGTTACTTGACATCTCTGCTGATAAGATTGCTCTGACAGAATGCCTTGCTAAAGTAGTAAGTGTTACAACTACAACCAACTATGTGCTTTATTGAGATTAATAGAGCGATATAAAGCATACATGGTATTTGATGTAGATACAAATATGGAGATTCCACTTGTAATGTTCAGGGTGCTTGCCCTGCTGAAAGGTGAATCTTTGCATCGCTGTTTAGGCCTTTTGCAGCTTCTAAAATAATTTCTCCCTGGATTCCCATGTATTTACCTCTTAATCTTCCTCTCAACCCGCCATCCCAGCTGAATAAAATCATCCCCATGGCAAGATTTCATCATCACCATTTTACAGTTTTGTTGGCAAAATTCAGTGTTTTTCTTTTGCTTGTTTTTGTTCAGTTTTAACCTCATCAGTACCTTCTTAATACCTGTTTAAAAAGCTTTTATGAATTTCTTCTTGTTTTACTACCACACAGGTCATATTAGTGCTCAGGTACGTTTTCACTATTTTCTAAATAAAGCCTGTTGATTTAATCAGTGGTTGATGTGTTTGCTGTGTTGCACATTTTCTATTTCATATAATGAATTAAACAGAGCTTCACAGTATTTCCTAGGGATAGCATATTGTTTTATAATCAACCTATTTTTTAAACTATTTCACACTTTTTTTCTTTCCCTCTCTGCTATTTTTGTCCACACAATATTTATCCACTTACTGTTATTTAATCAAACTTGGTATTAAAGATAGATGGACTTTATTTATTAATTGAGTCAGGATGGATGGCAACTGGTTTTACTCGATTATATTTAGAGATATTAAAGTAGAGAGGGATTATTATAGATAAGCACTTTAAAGATATTTACTCGTTTTTGAGTTATTTGAAACCTCTCACCAGTCCCCCATTCTAGTTTTAGTTGATTGGCCTTATATAATCCTAGTAAAACGCTGAAGTTTGTGGTTAAAAAGTGACAACCGGGGGCAAACTTTTAGCTGTATGAATACTTCTGAAAGGCACAGTTAATTAGCTTACATAAAATTCCTTTTAAATGACTTTTTTAAACGTTTAATTTGCATTCACATTTGGATCAAGGGATGATGCAATGCAGTGTACAGCTTAACAGTATAACAAGATATTTAAAAAATAAGAAGTGGAGATGTTTTTATTTTGATAGAGGATAAAAGTATTTTTGTCTTTATGAGGTTGTCAGTGTTGTGGAACAGGTTATATAAGGACAGTAATGTGACTCTTTCTTATTGTCGGGTCTCTCTTTCATTAATATGTTTCAAATTATGCTTTAATTTTCTATTTGGTGTTTTATGTGTAAAAACCTTCTTAATCAAACACACAATCAGAAACGCAAAATTCATATTACCTGTTTTCAACAATATTTCAATGTGTAGATCTATTCTTCTTATGAAGTCAATTTATTGAGTGCCTACAAAAACAATGAGTTTACCTTTTTGTGCTATACACAATGATGGCTAACATTTAATACGCATGATATACCTTTAATATTTTTGCATTGTAAACATTTTAACTGAAGCTTATGTAAACTGTGTAAATATCTTGATCAAACAGTAATTATGTCCATTAAGTTACTCCACCCTCATATTCTATCTTTGTCTCCCCTTTAGTGTCTTTTCCCTTTAATTCTTCACCATTCTGTATTTTCTCACAGGTTATTGTAATATTCCTTGATTCCTCGCCATCTCTCCCCCACTGATAGCTGCTTTCTAAGATAGATTAAGTAAAAGCTAAAGGGAATTCTATGAATTTAATGAGATTTATAGTGAATGTTAGATTTGGATAAGCAGAATTGTTCATTTGACATCATTAGTTAGGTAAGAAAAAAAAACCATATATATATACTAGTTCATTTTAAAATATGTGAACTGAACTTTGAACTAGTTCACGTAGAAAGAGAACTTTCCCAACACTGTATATATATATAATACATCAAGGGAATCACTTTTAATAAATTAAAATGAATCCATCTTTAAACAGAATCTCTGGACAAACTTAAAATTACTTTATTGAAAATAATAATTTGACCATAACTATAATTCAAACCTCTTTTATGTGTGTTTCTGTTGCCATTTTAGCGTGTATTTGAAGTTAGAATCAGATCCAGATCCTGGTTGGGCAACTTTAAACTCTCAAAATTACTCCCAGTCAGAAAAAAACATATTTTAAAAGGTGTTTAAAGCTAAATCCTCCAGTGGTATGTGCATTTATTTAGAGGGGAGACGAAAATACTGTGTTATAAAATAATTTGTTTTGTTTTCTTAATGGCACATTTACTTGGAGCCTTTTACAAAAAATATAGCTGGAGTATCCTTTATTTATACCTAGTTAGGGTTTCCAAGAAACTAATTAGTAATAAATCTTTCTTCCCCTGTTGGACATAATATGGCCTGACACCGAGGTAAGGATTTTTCTTTCCACCTGCCTTGAGGATGTTAGAGAAGCACAGTGAGGCAGGATGCCAGAGGGATGAGAGCTTGGGATGACCTAGTATCTATAACGACCAGTGGATGCTATCGACCAAATAATTACTTGGGTTGAGGCATATATAAAACAACTTTTCAGCTCTATTATAAAACATGTAAACTTAAGGAATTAAAAAATAAAACATGCTGGGACTAACTGGAACTGTGTGTTTTGGTCAGCAACACCATGGTGGACTTTGTTTGAAAAAGGATGAAAATGTTGGAAAAGCAACAAATTCCCACTGTTGAGTACAGCAGAGCATCTGGGATGCTGTGGGCCTGTTTCTCTTTCAAAGGTTCTCCAAACCCTACTTGAGTGTAAGGCATCAAGGCCTCTAATATAAACTTTTAATAAAAATATGCTGGATTCTCAGAAAGAATCTAAGCTGATGTTGTGCTTTATCACTTTAACACTGCAAAGATCTAAGTTAATCTTTCTTTAAAATAAGTGTTTTTTTATTGTTTTGTTTTTTAAACTGTTCAGTGAGAAAATTAGCCAATAGAAAAAGGTAATTTATGTTTAAAATAAGAAAACTTATCTTAAGTGCCTAATATCTAATATTCTTATTTTAAGGGCAGCGATTTCTGTTCCATTAGCAGATCATCTTATTTACCTGGTAAAATTAGGGTTTAAAACACTTATGCAAATAATTTCCCCTTATTTTTAGTTCAGCTTTTGCAGTTTAGCAGGATATTTTCACAAAATCAATGAAGAAACTGTTCCAAAGACAGAAAATCAACCTTCTGCATTAGTCATGTAGAAAACCAGAGGATTAAGCTGAAAGCAAAAATCAGATCTGATTCTGGACGGTCTATATAGAGGTGCTTCCCTCTGCCTGGTCCAATCTGTGAAAGTGTCATAGTGGACAAGGTGCAAAAAAGGGCAACAGAAAGTAATGTCAGAAGGAGGAGCAGTAATTGTACCATTAAAGTTTTTTTTTTTTTTTTAAACATCATCACCTAACATGGTACTTTCCCCCCATAATTGAATATACTAAAATACATTGCATAGAAATGAAGACTTTTTTATGCTATAAAAATTTAATTTATTTTAAGGTTTTTCAGAAAACTTTCCAAAAGTTTAAACACATTTCCCTGCATCCTTAAAAATCCCTAAATTTGGTCATATAGCTTAAAGTAATGTTCTTTTTCAATCACTTTATTAAGTTTCTTTATCTTCCATTAATGTTACTTAAAAAAAAAAAAAGAAATTGATTTAAATCACCTAAAATGACTTGTATGTAAATGTTTACTATTAAATTATGCAAACCCTAATGTCACGTAGTAGTAAACATAGTTTATACAACTGTTTATTGATCTCTTTTTTAAATCTTTAGATTTTTAAACTTTATACTTACATGTTATTTATTGGGAGACGGTTAAACAAGCTGTGGACCTTTAAGGTTACTGACCTATATAATGACACGGCCACAAGGAGGCAACCTTACCCTGAGCCACCCACAGTGTCCCAGCAGAGCCAAAGTTTATAACACCAGAAAACACCTAAATAGATGGAGATATTAGTCTATAAACAGCAAAAAATTTTAAGAAAAATAAAAGCCAATAAAACCACTAAATTTGTTTGTAGTATGTATTGTTTGATCAGTTGCATTTTTCTGAACAGGACATCCCAGGTATTATTTGTATTTCTCACAGTTGTTACTTTCAACTTTTTAAAATGAACCAATCCTGCAAGTGTAAGGATATAAACCTTTCATAGGAAGTCTTTATTTCTATTCATTTTAAATGTCCATGTTCTTCAGAATGTCTTTTGAGATTATAGGTAGTTTTGGAAGCTGATGTAGTTGCACAATGCTTTTCAAATGTTGACTTGGTGCTATTGTTTCGTGTCCAGATTTCATGCCTGCAACTTGTCATACAAGGGGAATGACCATTGGTCTCTGGTTTGAGTGACAGATCATCTCACAGCGAAGGGGCCAAATGGCTTCTCTGGTCCCACCACTCCAACAAATGCTGACCTTTCACTTCCTGACGCAGCAGTTGTATTTAACACTGCCACGTGCCCCTGGCGACCTCCAACACACACAAAGGTGTTGAGATGTATAGTGACATGCAGCGTTGGCTTAAAAAAAAACATACTTTAAAACCTGAACGCATTGGAACAGGGCTCTGGAAGGCCTGTGGGATAAATGACCCAGCCTTAGTAAAAGCATTTATCACACTACTTCAACTTTTACACATGCAAAATCAAAGTTTGGTTGGATTTACTTTAAATTAATAAAAAGGTGTGTTTTTTCCCCCCAATTTTTTATTCACTACCTTTTTACTTTGATCAACCCCAAATAAAATTCATTGTATCCAGTTGCAGCCATTTAAGTAGAAAAAAACAGCTTACTCATGAGTTAACTAATCCCATTATAAATAAAACTTAAAATGGATACCTGCAGCTCTAAGTGTAGCAAAGAACTTTTGGTTAAGGTCGGACTCATCAGGGCTGAATTCATATAAAAAATTAGTATTTTTGCAAAATCCTAAAACCCACATATCCTGCTTTGAATGCACTACTTTGCTTTATTCTGCAAAATTACATCTCCAATAAAATGCATGGAACTGGTTGCAACGGGACAAAATTTAAGATAAAAAAAAAAAAAGTACAAGGCAAGGTAAACCCATATTTTTTTTATTCACAGCCACCGAAAGAAAGACAGGCTAGCGCAGTGTGATGGACTTTTTCTTTTATTTCAAAATATTGTCCGAAACAGGATGAAACTCCGCGAAGCCCAGATGGGTCCAAAGCCAACAGAGCCGCCTAGAACAGAAGCGTCACTCGTTATTGCTATGTCACTCTGATTCTGGGACAAGGTGTTAAAAACTGGGTGGGGGTGGTGGAGGGAGTGATAACAAAAAGGAACACCAAGACCCACTAACACTTCCACTCCAAAACACAAATACAAAAATCTGGAATATTGGCAGGGATTCTAAAAACCAGGAGCTTTATTTGGGACCTGCAGATGTTCCTCATGGTGTCTGTTGAATTATTCTCTCTCTCCTTTGCATTTTAACTGTTGGTAACCACCCATTAACATTAACTTTACAAAACCAGGTGGGGCGTCGCCTCTTCACAGGCAAAGTATGCTGATTAAAGGTGGTCCTCCTTAGAGAGGAATAACAGCAAATAAAAGTCAAGCTAGTTTAAAGATCATAACAGTCACATTTATGCCCCCCCTCCGCCTTCAGGCATCATAAATAACATCTGCTGCTGTCTGATAAAACCACTTCAACGTGCCTTTTAACATCTAAGAGGGGTATTGTATTCTAAAGCGATGTAGGATAAAAAAGGAAGCACAACAGAAGGTTCAGGAAGCGGGATGAGGAGGGCTGCGGCTGCTGGTTGTCCATCTCTATCACTAATTAACAACAAAAATTGCATGGTACAAAAATCATCAGTAAAAAAAGATGCTTTGCTGCCATGGAGTTAGAGGGGACGAGTCGGTGGACCCGTCCGTGTCCTTACGCCTTCTCATCAGTAGCCTCCTCTGCTGCCTGGGAGACCTGCCAGAAGAATAGGAGGATTAGAAAGAGATAGGATAAACCCCGTCGTCCTGTCAGGAACCGATGTTAGCCAAACACACACAAACTGTTAATCAGGTTTGATAGGACTGCTGATATGGGGAGGTTACCGGTGGCAATGTATGGCAAGGTTTAAATCACTTAAGGTTTCAAAACGACATTGTTAAACCTTTGGTTAATCTCATTAACATTAATTCAATAAGATTTCAGGGTAAATACCAAAGTGATTGGATCCAATTTTGTGTGATGGGATAAAAGCAAATAAAATAGGTTGATGTAAGGATCAAGAAGGACAAACTTGGTTTTGATGACTTGGTCAAAACATCTCCCAAACTACAGCTGTTACTGATGTTTTCAGTCTACAGTTCTCTGTATTTATCAGAGTATATAAACATGAAGGATGGCTTGTTTTTAGTTTCATTCAACAGCTACACTATTTTAATTAAACACTGAAAGAGATATTATTGGTCCTGTGAGAGGGGAAATACACAGTGCGTCATTTTGTTTGGTATTTATAGTTGAGGAACATTTATGTTTCTCATGCTAAGAAAAGTGCATAAAGCAAAAAAATAAAAACAGAGATCTGGTTAGAGAGGGGGGCCTGGCAGCGCTGTCTCTGAGCAGGAGGTCTCTCAGGCGGATACAAGGTTGCTGGAAAGAGCACCCCTAAAAGATGCTCCCAGGAGAGGGCCCTTTTGCAGACAGCCTCAGGAGGTATGATATGGGGGTTAAAAACCTCAAACTCGGGATGAAATAGGCCGTTTTCCCCCAGAACCAGAGATCTGGTCCAAAAAGGGGAGCCTGGCAGCACTGTATCCAATTAGGAGGCCCCTTAGGCGGATACAGCATCCTGGAAAAAGTGCCCCAAAGTGATGCTGCTGAGAGAGAGCCCTTTTGCGGAGAGAGCGCCTTACCATGGGTCCGAAGGCCAGAAAAAGAAAAAACTCAGAAAAAGTCCAGAGCTCCAGGCTGTCAGGGGGTTGGAGCAGTCGGGCAGGCCGGGCAGAGCCTTTCCGAGGCAGGTAAGGGGCCGGTGGGTCACGGAGCCGTCTGATATCTTCTAAATGTTTTTAAAGTGTGAGTGCCTTACCAGGGGTCCGACGGCCTGAAAAACATCATCCCTAAAACCCACATGGTTTAGGGATGACCTTCAGGACCATAATATGTTTGACATGTTCACTTTGCCTCCAAATTCTCACAGTGTAAAGGATATAAAGCTGGCATCCCCATAGTCGGTCCTCGAGGGCAGCGGTCCTGCAGGTTTTAGAGGTTTCCCTGCTCCAGCACAGCTGATTTACATTGATAGTTAAAAAACAGGCTTTTGCTGAACTGCAATCATCAGAATCAGCTGTGCTAAAGCAGAGAAACCTCTAAAACCTGCAGGACAGCGGCCCTCGAGGACTGACTTTGGGGATGCCTGATATAAAGGATCTGCTGCTGACATCTTTGTGTCAGACACAACATAATCACTTTAGGGGTCTAATGGAGTCACATGTGGGATGTTTCTGAATTGTTCAAAGAATAAATGTCAGTTGTTTATCCTAAAAAAAACAAACCAGAACATCATCTACAACCGCTAGAAGACATACGGTTGATGTTGAATGTTTTCAAGCAGTACTGTGTGACGGGATTAGAGCTGCAGCGATCCGATACCTGGATCGGATATCAGCTCCAATATTAACTAATTGACAGGATCGGACATCGGTGATTTAATATCATACATCAGAAATCCAATCCAGTGCACTTTACATGGAACTGGTATTTCTTTCTTTTTTTGCTGCTTATTTGCAATAAATTATATAAAAAAAACATTTATATCTTTGTTGATTTGTTACATTTTTAACTATGTTTACGTCAAGGCTACAACCTTCACTCGAATTTTCAAGATATATGGTTCATTTATTCGGTATTGGATATCAGCTGATATTCCAAAATATTTTAAAAAGTTAATAAAGTTAAGTTATAAAGTTTTATGAAATGATTGTGACCTGGATGACTGAGAATCTTCACCAGCATATCAGCTGATACAATAAGCACAGGTATCGGTATTGGATTGGATAAAACTGGATCACTACATCTCTAAATAGGGTACCTGCTTAATATCACCAGAAATATGTGTATGTTGAGAAAAATAGAAATAATTTTGTTGGAATTAAAAATGCGTTAAAGTGACAATAATCTTCAGAGCTGTTGCTGCACACTGCCGGTCTGCTGGCTTAACCACCACTAAACAAGGAGGGTATGTTTTTTTTTCTATGCATTTTTAACAAAATGTTAATTAACCCAACAATGAGCAGGCTGAGTTTAATCCATGTAATTTCTGTTTCTCTAAGCAACCTTAAAATATCTACAGAATTCAGCCTAATCCTGAATAGGGGGTCTTCCTCTGACTACTGTCTAAGACAGTGACCCAATAATATTTCACTTCCCATGTTTGTTCAGCAGCGCTCAAGCCACAGCCTTGGACGGTTTCACAGCAAAACGAGTAAATAACATCCTCTCTGTTTAGGCCACCCCCCTCTAGCCTCTCTGCTCGGTCACATTTCCAAACATACCAAAGCACACGGCACTCCTAAGCACTCTGACTAAATGTCAGCTCTATTAAAACGATAAAGTTGTTAGTTTGTTAGTGTCCAAATGTAAAACAAACACACAGACGGGTGAATTAGAAGCGCTGAACCATACCCTTGACTCTGACTGTCTCGCTCTGCCCTCTGATTGACATCAGGGAGGGCGCCATGCTTCTGATGGAGGACACACTCACAGATGGACGAGACACATAGATCTATGCATGTATGTGTGCGTGCGTGAGAAGAACATGGATGATGTGATTGTGGTGTAAGTTATTAAGGTGTAAGGAATGCAATAAAAGATTCATGTTTGCACACACATTGACATCATAATAGGTAAGAATCAGTAAATTATTTTCTGTTACTTGGGGAATATATCTATATTCCATTTTCCTTCCTTCATACCTCGTTGGTTTTGGTCTCTCCATTGTGGGCGGGACCATCTTCCTTCTTCCCCTTGGCGCCACCCTTCTTGGCCTTTGCTCCTTTATCATCAGCCACCTTCTGCCAGGAACAAATGAGCAGTTCAAAACAGTGTGGATCATTTTATGTGCAAAATGTTTAGCATTACACCTCCAGTTAAAAGAACCAGTTGCAGGTCATTTCCAGTTTCACAGAAGAGGTGGGATTCTATTTAAGATGCCCAGGGGCCTCACTTATAAAGGTTACATACACACAAAGCAAGGCCTGAAAAAAGTGAACACTTTGCCTCACACTTCCAATGCAATCTGTGATCTATTAAAAAGAAAAAAAAACTTTATGAGAAAATGTGCGGTCCTCACAGCAACTCTGATATATGCCTAGGCTCATTTTAGAGAAAGGAAACAGGCAAGGCAGATGATGAGGTGGGGAACTGAAGCTGAACTGGATCATGTTTGCTCTCTAATATAATATTTATCAAACCTTAATAAAACCATAAAAACATGTGACATAAATACATAAAAAAGACCTATGCCAACCTAAAAGAAATGAATAGAATAGAATAAAATATCCCTTTATTGTCCCATAATGGGGAAATTCTGGTCTTTACAGCAGCAAAAAGATTATATTAAAAAAAATTATCACACAAATTTATAAAAATAACATACTACTGTAGTGATGAGTTAAAAGATAAACAATTAAATACTGTATTGTAAAGCATTTTAACAATATAAAACTGTGCACCTGGAGAATAAAATAACCAATATACAGCTATGGACATTTTTACAGTAATGGTAAAACATACAGGAAATCATAAATCAAAGTTTGCACGATATTCAAACCTTTTCTCATCATTTTCTTCTACAGGATGATCAAAATAATTTGAACCGCAGATTAACACATAAACTGTGACTATGTGTGTGACAACCACTTTGATACCATTGAGATGCTCGTGCATAATGCTGCGTGATGATGCATCGGCACTGCTGGGAGACAATGAAAATTGAGAACTAGGAGAGAAGGAAGATTTTTGGCCCATGACGGGCTAAGCCGATTAGACATCCTGGAACATTACGCTTGGTTTTATGTGCTGAGCTGGGTTCAGTATTGGTGTGATAAAAAGGTGAGTTTGCACTAGGACTGAAAAATTAATCGGATTAAACGTGATTAATCGATTATTGAAATAATTGCCAACTAATTTAGTAATCGATTATTCGTTAGCTGGAGTGTAGACTCTAAAAATTTTCCTTTAGCTGACAGACCAGCAGTTGACCAGCAATTATACCAAAATTGTAAAAAAAAAAATGTGTAAACATTTGGCATTTAAGATAAAAATCTTTCTTGTCTGTTAATGTGCTCTATTCAGCACTCCTCAAGTGGAAAAGCTTTATTTTTACTTGGTTTGATTTAGCTAAAAGTGAGCAACCTTTATCTATGTTATTATTAATTGATTAATCGAAAAACTAATTGACAGATTAATCGAGTTACAAAATAATTGTTAGTTGTAGCCCCAGTTTGCACTTTTTGTAGAAAATAACGCAACAGTAGCCTAAAGCACAGCTATAAAGGGATATAAAATTAATATTAATAGGAAACAACTCGATATATTTAATAGGGGCTAAAAATGTAGGCGTTTGAGCTACATGTCTTAGTCAGTTGTTTAAAGCTCTATGATAATCCACAGATCTAGAAAGACTAGACCAAATTAAATCTAATAGATACAACCAGATTTTTTTCTTTTTACATTACAGCTACAGTGGGATTTCTGCAACCACCTCTTACCAGCACAAATCACCCCCCCAGGTGTCCCACACAATCTTCCACTCGCTGCCTGAAACCACTTTTAGGAACAAAACAGTTCAGTGACATTATCCAGAGGTCTGAGATATCACTGCCAGCACTAAGTACAATACTGCCTGCTATCTTGGATGGCACTGTCAACATGACCAGTCCAGTCCCCAGCCTCTGAACATGTTTCCATTCAAAATCCTTCCTTTTATTAATTGTTATATTTGCCACTGTTGTTGCAACCAAACAAGTTTTCAATTCTCCATCTCACTAACCAACACATCTATTTCTCCGTCAGATAAACTGCTTTTTTCATCCGTTTAGCTGCCATTGCTGGCCATGAAATAAGATTAATCAGCTGGTTCATTTAGAAAAACAAGGACATTCACAATTTGTTGTTAAATGTGTGTGTGAAGGACAGAAAATTATGCAGAAAAATGAAATACAAATGTCGAGCTACCGCTGTGGTTCGTAAAAACCTTGTGTACAGGTTAGTGTGCACATGGCTTTAGAAATCAAATTTGTTATCATAGGCAATTTGGGGAGTTTTTTTCTTATGTACAAATTTATTATCCTGCACATTTTGAAGTCAATGGTATTTAAAATAATTTTAATACCACAGACTCTAGCAAGACTATAATTTAATATGGCAAAGAAATAGGCCCACTGCATTGCAAGCCTTTATCTGTGAAACATGAAATGTTTCTGGCTAAAAAGAGTTATTTGGTCTCTAACATTTCCTGTTAAAGCCTGGCATGCCTTCCAAACAAATATTTTCATTCTGACAACATTTAATGGTTGTTATGGAGACCATGGTTGATCAACAGCTTTAGTGACTCTCATTAACTTAGCTAGTCTTTCTGTTTTTTTTATTTGGTTTTGCAGCATCTGGGACTTTGTTAAATGTCTTTTCCCACCTAAATCAATATGACTAAAATAAAGGGTGGATTTTTCTCAAATCCCCAGTTAGTTTATCCTTATATGTTGCCTTTAAAAGTCGTAGGGAAGCGGCTGTTCCAACGGATGCATTTCCGAATCCTCCTGAGTGGTGTCCCACTTTACACGAGTGAATAAAGTGAATGTGATTAGTCGATTATCAAGGGGGCAGGATTGTTGTGGCGGAAGCTTCGCAAGCAAGTTTGGTCGTGGCCGGTGTCTTGGAAGCATTTTGTTAACCAGTTAGCAACTTAGTGCTAGCAGGTTCCCAATGGGAAATTACATTGGGACCAAGTAGCACTTAGCAACAACACTGTCAAGGAACGCTATGGACAGCGGAAACATGCAAGAGGAGGAGAGTTTTGTGTTCGAGGTCGTGGATGAGTCTCCTCTGTCATACATTTCTTATTTAGAGGAGGAAAGCGGGGACGAAGTTGTTGTGGAAGAGGACGCCAGGGCTGCAGAAGCTTGGTTTAGTGTAGAAGGCTTACAGCCGTACATGCTTGAGCCCTTGCCTCGCAACGCTGCCAGTTCTGTTAGCTCTACGCCTGCCGAAGACACAGATGTCCATCCCCGTAAACACTGGGACGGAACTCAATGGGAAAGGAAATTATTTTTATTTCAACCGTTGCATATATTAGCTGCGACATATGAATCAAGATGCTATGACAAAAATAAATTAGATTGACAGATGACAGTTGATACATGATTGGCCGAATTTACGCGTTCAAGCTGACGTATAACTAACTGGCCTGCATAAGGTAACGAGAAAAAAAATAAACAGATTAGAAGACAGGATTAAAAAAAATAGAAATTTTCTAACTTTTGGGACAATATCGTCTGATAAAGAGTACATTGATATACACAGCCGTCCTACGTGCTCGCTACGTTAGCTATCTTTTTTTGCGCATACGCACTTTCAGGCATATATGTGTGCTGAATATGGTCAAGAGTCATAATTGAAAAAGTGTCTACAAAGTGTATGAAAAGAATGCTTTGTGCAGAGAGCTCTCCTCGCAAAGCATTCTGGGATTTGTTGTCACAGCAGCCACCTGTCGCCATAGGCTGTCGCTACCTGACAGCTGCGACTAACAACAAAGATGGCGCAGTTACCAGGTAATGGAGGAGGAGGTACATGACCAATGTGGAGCAAAAACTAGTGATCCTCTGTCAGAACACACACTAAGCTTGTATGAACAATGAGAACAGCAACCTTTAAACAGAGCGTACAGGAGGAGAAATAGGCTCATGTTTGCTCTCGCATGCGTTTAATAGACTTTCCCTCTCAGAAGGGGGTACAGGGTTGTGTATGTGCATTTTTTTTAAAGGGGAGAGGGTTGGGTTTTTAAAAAAAATTGTGAAAATCCTCCACAATACTTCTAACTGAACCAAGTATCTTTTTTTAAAGGTTTAAGGAAAAGAGTTCCAACCTGCTATGTTTAATTACTTTGGCATGTCTGAGTGTTTTTGTGTGTTCCTCACCTTGACAACGGTCTTCTTAGGCTTTGCCTCGGGCTTAGAAGGAGCAGGTTTCTAAAAACAACATAAAAAGACCTCCATTAGAATTAGACATTCATATATTTTAGAGGAAATAATTTATGATGGTTCAAATGCTACAATTTGAGCCAATTTATTATTGGTAAAATGTGCTGCCTTAGCATAAGAGATGGAAATTAAGTTCATTTTTGGTCAGAATCTTACTTTGAATAGTATTATGAAGTATTCCATTTTATTTTCTTAGAAATGTGTGATTAACCTGCTTCCTGTAAAACTGGAGTGACCTAAGATGAGAGCTCAGTGACATGATGGGACAGGAAAAAAAGCAAATTTGCAGCAGATTTCTCTTATGCTGCCGAGTCTGGACCCGTGTACCCTGAAGCTGTGATCTTCAGTAACACTGCAGTCACAAAGTTCACATCATGTGATTTTTGTTTATCTCCATAGAATGTAATCCCCTCCTTTGAGATGAGCTTTGTAGAAAATAGTTTCAGCGTTGGTTAGCTCCTTCAAGAGTTAAAATAAAAATTATAGATAGTCAGAAAACAAGCAAAGGCAATAACTTGAGCCAAGTTCATGTTGTCTTTGCTATAATAGCATCAAAGTTATTGTGGGAAATATCCTCGGTGCCACAAAGTCAAATCAAAATGTTGTTTTTCTTTTTTAAGTAGTATGTATAAGATCATCAAATGTATAAATAATGTTCAAATCTAATTCTGCAAGTTGACAAAGAGGTGCTACTTTATTGTAATAAACATCTGGAAAGTATAAAAACATGTTGTTTATCTCTTAAAGCTGATGGTAGGCCCACAGAAAGCAATCTTCTCACCATAAGATAAGGGAATCCTATTAGCAGTTCCCTTATTTAGGCTGCATCATACCAAATCATTACAAGTTCCAAACAGACTTGGAAGAATTTTTACATTGTATGCCCTTTCTGATGCAACCATGACACAAACCCTAGTCTAAAGTCTCCAAGAAGCAGACCAAGAGAGGACTATCGTCCCTCAGTGATGCATTAGGACTATGTAATGAATACTTAAAACAGATATAAGGAGTCTACCTGAAGCATGCAAAAGAAAAGGTCTGACTTACAAAGGCAAAGCATTACATTGATCGTGTTCATCTACTGCTAGATGGTAAATTCACCAATATTTCTATTTGTTAAGTAATGAATCAATAGAAACTAGGAATAAATGCTATTCTTTGGAGGGAGATCCAAACCTGGTGACCCTTTATCAATAATGATCTTTTCAAATGATCTGAATCAGTCCTTGATCAATAATTAAGTCCCAATTCCTGCTGTTGGTTGGAATCCGACTCATTTATGGGTGCCTTTAAAGGACATATTTTCGTCTAACCAATTCTAATGCATGTGAATTATGTTTCTGCAGAGCTGTTAACATTTAATGCGTACATCACATAAATAGTTGTTCTTTTATGGGAAAGAATTAGACAACCTTGTGGCATCTTATAAAATATAGAAGGTCTGTTGTAGTGAAGGGAGAACTGAGCTAAAAAGTGAAAGCCAACTCTTTTTATTGATCTATTGCTACTTTACTCAAATTTTTTTCCCTTTATTCTTCTAAAACATCATTATAGTGCATTTTTTCTGCACGGTGTTCTCTTTTTTTCTGTTTTTTTTTTTTACAGTTCTGGAATTTAGCTTTATATTCTCAACCTAACTTAGAATAACTTAACTCTCTGATTATTCCATAGTCCTGAACCCTATGTCAATAATACGAGACACAAGCTGGCAAAATTACCAAGATGGTAATCTGATCATAAGTAAACTGTGACCATTCTACTAAGTTTGATCTAATTGTAGAAAACATGACATGTCATCACTTTATCATCCATTTTTAGGCAACTGTGGCGAAAATAGTTTTTTTATTTGGGTCTGAGTGAATGTATTTTTATTTTTTTTTTACTTTCAACTGTGAAGAGCAAAGACACATTGTCTGGCTGTAATTTTAACCTAATATAAAGAGCTATTGCTAATCTGTCTGGAACATTCTTCCACAGGAAAGCAGACATAAAAGTCATTTTGAACATCTGTCAAGTGCTAAGGCTGTGGGGTGAAGATCTTTCCGGACATTCTTGATGGGAAAAAGTAGTTATCCCAAATATTGTGTAATTCCCATAAAGCAAACATGCAAAAACATGCAAAAGACACCCAAAGACTGGACAGATGGATAAAACATGCAAAGTACACGAGAGAGAGAGATGCCACCAGTGAGGCACAGCTGAATGACCATAGACACTGAGAAATATCGTATTTAGCAAAATTTCATTATAGCTATCAATTGTAATCAACAAGATTTATTGTGAGTTTAAACTTATTTAACTGAAGCAAATTGAAGTGATATGGTAAGATGTAAATCAATCATGCAGCGTCCTTATTTCATGCAGCCATGCAGGAGGCAATACTATAATAGACAGAAACCACAGAGAACACATGCATATCAGGACAGACTCTTTCCCAAGAGAAACGCTTTATGATATTTATAAATAGCGACTTGATCAATGCCATAAACTGGATTTAGGAATTTTGGTCTCGCCATAATGAGGGGAGTCTGAAAGAGGGAGAGGAGGAGAGCTAGAGAGGTGAAGACAGGCAGGGGAGAAGGAAACTTACCGCCGACAATCTCTCTGACCTTCTGGTGGGCTTGAGTGAGCAAGAGATGAGAGATGAGAAAGGTGGTGACAGAAAGAGACAGAGAGACATCAAATATACCTCTGTGGGCTGTTCTGCAGATCTGTTCAACTGACTGCTACAAACATCCTAATTATCCATCTACCCTGTTTGCTAATTCATATTCAGCATCACTACAGTCCACACAAATCTACAGCATGTTATAACCAACACTCCCCACACATTAACAACACTAAAGAAAAACCCACATGTTAAATATTTACCTCTTGCTTTGTGACTTTAGAGGCTTCCTTACCCTCAGCACCCTCTGGAGACTGAAACAAGATAAAATAAGAGGCTGAAAAACAAACACCTTCACAGTTAACATTAAGGATGGTTCATGTATAATTTTGGAACATCATCGGGAATTGCACATACTTTCCAATTATTATTTAATTGCATTTTATATTAAAATTATCTATTAAACCAGTTGGACAGCCATACAGAAGCAGTTGCTCCTACCAGAAACAGCAGATTACAATAGCCTAAAATGTTAAAAGGTCACAGAGAAACGTAAGAAAAAATAAGGGAGAAAAACATGCAACTGATTTGTCACTGCCACGTTCACCAACATTTCTGCTGTTACATAATTTATTTATATCACACGGCTCTTGTTTACCTCAGGTATTTTAAATAAATGAGATCACTCAGTTAATTAGTATTTTTTCAGATTAGTTGTAATTCAAAGAATGTTTGAAGATGCTTGAAAATAGCTTAGAAATTTTGTACTAGCTATTAAAATCAAATCATGTTTAGTCAAAGGATTTGAAAAGCATCTATTTGTGCTCATAAGTGCTTATAAAATATCAATTACAACAACTAGAGTCTTTTCTTTTTTGTAGCAAGATGTCGATTAATACAGGTTTTTTTTTCTTAAATCTGGTTTCCAGGGACCAATATTTCATAATTCATTGCAGATATGTTGTATCTTATTTATTACACAATATTTTCTTGCCCCTGACATGTATTTTTAAAATATGAATTAAAATTATGCTACTTTCATACTTCGTATTAGACTAAACGACTGGCTGAAGAAGCTGCTATTTTCTTTATGGTGGATGAGATATTTAGCATAATTTCATCTTATAGTTTTTCCGTCTTCCATCCTAATTTTAGACTCAGATCTAGCCTGATTGATTGAAACTCTACAACAGAATACAATTAATAATAAAGCTGCTACTTTTTATCTAATCGGTCTGAAAAATACAGTCAGGTAGTTTATTTCTGAAGTCCTTACTGTAGCTCAAATAATAGACTTTAAAATCCATCTGTTAGTCTATAAATCACTGAATGGATCAGCACCTCAATACATAACAGATTTGTTGTCAGTGTATCAGATCCCCCCAGACCACTCAGGTCTTCTAGTTCCAGCCTACTCTGTACTCCCTGAACCAGAACCAAAGATGTAGAAGCAGCATTTAGTTCCTATGCTCCACTGATCTGGAACAAACTCCCAGAAGACTGTAGAAGTGCTGAAAGCCTGAGTTCTTTTAAGTCAAAGTTAAAAACTACTTTGTTTAGAGCTGCCTTTGACTGATGAAGTTAAACTGTTAACTGAGGTATCATTAATTTAAGGTTGTGATCTGTTTAATTTGTTTTACTACCTGCTTTTATTGTGTTTTTATCTTTATTTGCCTTTATTGTGCTTCAATTTTCCTTCTATTTTTCTTCTATATGTGCACTGAATTGTTATTGTACTGAATTGTGCTTTATAAATAAACATACCTTGCTCTCCTTCATGGCATACATGATTCAATCTACTTATCTAAAAGGTGTTTTTTTTTTTATAGAAGCTGTTATATTTTAAAAGTAATAGGTCATCTTTTCACTTAAGGACTCAATAATCTTTTGCAGCTCTAGAAAAGTCTTGTTTAGCAGTAATGAGGGTAAAAGGTCTTTTTGGATTCTTAAAGTTTGTGATGGTAAAGATAAACTGAAAAATAACATTGTGGAAATGCTTTCAATTTATCTTACAAAATTGGGGTAAAAAAGATTTTTACCTTTAAAAAAAATAATTCTACTTAAACAAGGACACTGAGTCCAGAAGCTACCATTTTTCCTCTTTTCATACCTGTTTTAAACCTGAATATACAACAGTATGATCCATCGTTTTCAGCACACCAAGCCTGAATAGATGCACTATTTTTCCAAGGAGATTTTTAAATTACTTGGAAATCATTAATTGAGAAAACAGTTTTAGGAATTCGGCTTTTCATGAGAATTTATGCCATTTTGCTCATTGTTAAAACTAAATTACAGGCCCAGTTTGCCCGCCCCTGAAGGAAATAATACTTAAACTCTAAAGGCTTTCAAAACTAATTAAGATTTATCAATTTGCACTTTTGCATATCTAACAGAAATCAGCGTTGGATGAAGTTCCACCTGAGTGATTTAATTACCACGTTTCCTTTCTTTTTATGGCCTTAAAACTGCTTAGAGATGCACTACAGGTTCATATTGTGTAAATTATATGCACCATGATGATGCTGGAAGCTCTCTGGTGATTTCCACTTTAATAAAAGATGCATCTGTCTTCCAGACTGAGTACAGAGCTTCTTGGGGGACAAACAGGCTGTGAACAGCAGCAGCCCAAAGCGTAGGTGAAGAATTCAGCCTCGCCTTAGCGGCCTGTTGGCCCAAATAACGCTGTAGGCTGCATAAATGCAAGGATACAGCTCAAAGTTACACCCAAGGACAATTCATGGTGACTGAGTGATCTAACAGTCATGTATAAGGCCTGCAAGAGGAAGCTGGAATACCCAGAGAGAAACCACAAATGCACAGGGAGACAATGGAAAGTCCATTCAGAAAGATTGAACCATTCAAATCCAGGATCTTCTTGTTACAAGGCAACAGTGATGCTAACTGTGTCAATACACAGTTTCTGTCCATACAGGTAAATTGAAATGTCTGAAAGTTTATTTATTAATGATCATGGCAAAGGCTGCTGTAGTAGCATTTTTCCAACCCTCCATATGTAGGAGGTGAAACACAAAAGGTTATTGCTGAAAAAGCTGTCTGTTCAGAGTGCCGAATCCAAGTATATTGATGGAAAGTCTAGTGGAAGGAAGAATGTAGTAGAAAAGGAGGGAGAGTGGTACCCACAGCATTGTCAGGATTTATGACAATGCTGTGGGTACAATGCAGGGTAGATTTATAAAGCATGAACTGCAGGTAGAGTCAGTGATTTAGGAGCCGCCATACAAAGTGCGTGTCCAAGACTTTCCACTTTCTTATTTTAAGCCAATCCATAACCACAGACTCCAATAGAATCTTCACAAGCAGAACTGTTACTCACTTAAATGTTTAAAAAGGTCAGGCTCTTCCTTATCTTTATGAGCTCCTACAATACAGCTGCCATTGTGAGAGCTCTGAGAACCTACTGCTGTTGGTGGTTCCTAGGATTGCACTGGTGACTAGGGTAGCTGCAGCCCTCTGGAACGGCCTCCCTCTTTCCTTATAGAGCTCTTACAGAATACAAATCTTTCAACTACTCATCTTTTTATCCCGGCTTTTTACTCTAGACTTTTAATGGGCCACTCAGTATTTTCCCATCATTGTTTATGTCATTGTTTACTGCTTGTGCTATTATGTTGTCATATTTTTATTGTGCTGTCCAATACCTTGGTCGTAAAGCCAGGTCTACAACAAACTGATCAATTAAAAGAAGAATAACAGCAGTTGAAGCACTTTGTATTGGTGACTTATTGTTTATCCCTTATAAAAGATGCTATATTATTTAGAAAAAAAATTTATTCTTATGTTAGTTATCTTTAAAACAAGTGGTAAAAAATCTAAATGCCAGAACCGCTGTTGCTGTGCTGCTGACAATCAGCTTAACTGAAAATGGGACCACAATTTGATTTTTTTCAAAGGGTTCTGTTCAAGATTGGGTCAGCTTATTTTATAAATATGTTAAGAGGAAATATTATTTACTAGAGATCTAATAGATATTGTTAATTATATCTAATAAATATAAATAGATTTCCTCACCTGAAGGGCAATATGGTATCACTAAGAGTGAAACTAATTCGCCACCATCTATTGTTTAGCTTTGTCACTCTTAAACGTTGTAGATCATGATGGGGGGTTATATTATCTGGTAAAGAACAAAAGAAGTTGAGTTTGTTTAAAAATAATGTTTTCAAATTATGGTTTATTTTACTAAGTCAAAGAAGAAAATAAATCCAAACTAGTAGCAGAGAGCAGAAAATCCTAACAGGGGTGGCCAGTCAATAACCAATGTACATTGAGGGGTGGCCGAAAGGTGCCCGAACCTCAGGGTCAATCTACACTGTTCCAACATTAACCAGCACAACATCCACATTTTCTAAATAAATACAAACTATACTTTCCTGCAGCCTTTGCCAACAAATAGCGCATATATTTAAACATCTATGTTGTGTAAAGAAAAAAAGGTATAATTCTTTCAGGTTGGAGTTCTGGGACGAACATATTTTACATTGTCATTACCTACTTTTATCAATAATAATTAAGCAAAAAATTATACTTAAATCTACTAATTATTAATTCTTTTTTAAGTGATTATTAAAGTAGTTATTTATCTATTTCACTGAAGACTCCTAGATGACTTGCAGAGAAACATCATTTTTTATCTTTACCCCAAAAAATTCTAAATTTAGTTCTGAAAAGAGCATTAATTCTGTATCTATCATCTTTCATGTCATAATTAACCACAGTGTTTCTGTTGTCAAGTAGTTGTTAATATATGAAAGTTTAAATGTTTAAAAAGTTTTAACATTCCCCTTCAGAGTATTACTACTTCCACCGTCTGTATTAAGCTGGGCGTACACTGTGCGATTTTTTTCAGTTGTTGCACGCAGCTGCTGCTCACACTGTACGACTAACTGCAGGGTTTAATCGTACACTGTGAGTTTACAGCTCACTATTTATGTTCGGCCCGACGCTCTGATGCGATCTACCTTCTCACACTGCACGCAGTGAGATGGAGCTGCACTGACTCGTCTATCCGGAAGCCAAACATGTAGAAGGGGAATATGAAGCTCACTAGAGTGAAACGTGTTGCCTTGGCAATTTGTGCAAATTTGTGCTGAAAGCCCTAAAAAGAAAAGGCGAAGACGTATTTGGACAAAGACATGGCTGAGCAAACGTGGCTACTACGGTCTGTCAATTTTACAGACAGAGCTCAATTTCACCCCTGGCATGCTTCAGTCAGGTGCGTTGCCAGAAATGTTTCATGGGGGGGAGAAGTTGGGGCCACTAAAAATCTTGGGGTGGCACACTAATACTAAAAGCCATAATTTCAGGGTTTGAATCTAATATTGTGGTAAACCTGCTTGTAGAAATCATAAAGACTTAAGTAAACACCTACCGGTACTCATATCTTGGTTTATTATGAGAATTTTAATGTTACGTCGCTGGCTGTGCATAATGGGATGAAATGCTAAACTGATGCTACTACAATTTACACTGGTGAGTGGGGTGGCCAGCGGGGTGGCCAGCGCATCGCACAGGGTGGCTGTGGCCACCCCTTGGTAGCACCACTGGCTTCTGTGTTTACATCTGGGAGGAGGAATAAAAAGAAAAATCCTTGTTTTCGCATTCGCCCTGAGCGATTCAGGAGAAAATCACGATTCCTGATCGGTAGGAGGTCATAACAGGCTGATCGCCCCTCGTAACCCCCTGTATGGGTGACCACAGGGTGGCCAATGATTGGCTAAGGGTTGCCATGGCCACCCCTGGCCCCCCATCTAGCCCCGCCCCTGACAAGTAGGGACTTTAGTCTCACTCTTCTTAGAACAGGTTTATTCAGCAGTCCTGGAATAGTTTTCAAATATGAAACATGGAAGTGTGCAAAACAGAAGAACTAACAAAAAATATATAATATATATTAAACGGGACAAGTCGACACTTTTTGCATGCAGGTGTAGGTAGCTGCACAATCGCATCAATTACATGTGGGCCCTGGAGCCCCCCTCCCCTCCCCTCCCCTCCATTCTCTGCCCTCAGAGGAGATTCAGACAATAGCAGATTGCATGTGATGCAGCCACATACGCACTGACACAATCCAGTTGGACTCGACATGTGACGCTGTTTAGACAGTGGAGACGCAAAGCTCCATTTCCTGATTCCTCCTGCCTTCCTCTCCTATCCCTCCTTAATCTCTCATTCGGGTTGGCCCCTACCATTTCTCAACACAGCACTAAAATTAGACCAGAAGGGGCAATATCATTTTTCATTAGACGATAAAAAATATTCTTAAATGAAAAGCTCACTCTATGCGCACATCTAGAATGAGATTTACGCGTCCGTCCATCCATCCCTCCATACAGCTGACATTCAGCAGTGCGCACGGCTGGATCGGTGGAATGAACACTAAAGTATTCATGGTGTAAAAAGCCAAATAAAGACAAACATGTCGTCAAAATATAAAATAAAGAATAGGGCGCGTTTGGAAAGAGCAGGTTCCCTGAAACTTTGCCTCGCCTCACCTGCCTGCCTCCACAGGAATCGCGCACCGCTATTTTGGTCCAAAGCGACAGCTGAGGAGGTGGAAAAAACTACAGAGAAGTGCGCCGGCCGGATGGCAGGGACAGGACTCACCTTTCTCTTCGGCATTTTTATGCGCGTAAATGGTTTTTTTCCAACCAAGCTCGATGGGAAGGGAAGAAAAAAAATCAGGTCAAAACCAAAAAGGGGGCAGCGAGAGGTGAATTTGAACCACCTAGGAATACTGGATCAATATCTGAACCACCTTGGATAATATGTTGACAATATGCACTCCCACAAAACTCTGTGCCTCCTAATGCCATTGGCTGGAGAGGTCAAAAATCCTGCGCTGTGCCGACTCCTGATTGGTCAGGTTGGTCTGGATGTAAATAAGAGGGCGGTGGAAACTGGCCGGGTTTCTAGCAGGAGCTTGTTGTGATTGGATGCGCGCTCTTTGTGCGCCGATCCCGCATTGAGGGAAAGCAGCGGCGGCCCAATAGGAGCGCCCCCCCGATCTCTATTGGGATCTGGGTAATGTAGGATGAAAAACGGAGAACAAATCAAGCACAAAGGACTAGAATCAACGACACAATAGGCACCACGTTGGACACAGACTCCCATAGACCTGGTTCTGAAAATCTGGGGTTGCATTGTTTGCTTGCAGGGCTTTCCCTGCTGTAAAGAGCTAGATGGATCTCACTGTACATCAGAGTTTAAGCATTCTGGAACCTATGACAATACAGCATGAAACAAAAAGATCAACACAAACTGTTCATGTAAGATACAAAAAATAAACACTACTCCTCTAAGATCATTTATATGATAAAGATCCCTAAAGAGTTCACGCCCCTTGAACTAAAAATGTCAATGTGATCTGACCGGCCAGAAAACATTGTGAAGCATAACTTCAAAGTTCAAATTTTATTATGAACTGAACTTTGCATTCAGACCTAACATCCCTTGTGTTAAAATGTTTAATTCATAACTTTGCATCATTTAATCTCAGTACAACTGCAGCTGTTTTTTTTTAAAGGCCTCAGAGATTTGGCAGACAATAATGGACAAACAGCTTCATGAAGATTAAGTAACAAGATAACTAAAGCAGGTTTGAGAAATAACGGAACATATCTCATAGAGTGCTGCTCATTTTATAAGCCAGAAATGGTCAGAGCATGTAGCAACTACAAATGCACCAAGACAATGACCATCTACAAAAACTATCAGAAAGAGCATTCATCAAAAAAGGTGGATGGTTAATCTGGTAGCTGCCACACATCATGGCCTTTATCAAATAATTCAGGGGAAGAAGCAAGTTTTAAAAGAAAGCCCTATAAAATCCCATAGTGTGCTGCAAGCCACATGAAAAAAAAAAAAAAAAATCCTCCTTCTTGTTGTTAGGGAAAGGTAAAAAAAAGTTTGGAGAAAGTAACTCTTCATTTTGCCCTGCACACACCATCCAGACAGAAAAACACAGCGCTGACAACATCGTGCTGTGGGGGTGGATTATTTGGCACATAAAAATGCTAGAGAACATTTGTCCCGAGCATACAGCCATAACTACAGTGGAATAGTTAATTAAAGCTATAGTGTGTAATTTTCAGCTCCCCCCACCAACTCTCCCCTCCAGCTATACGGAAGCCTTCATTGTACAAAAAGGCTTCCTGGAAGTCCAGATCATCTTTCTTGTTGAGGGACGGCAAGGTTTGTTTACATAGACATTTTTTACATAGTATTTTATTAGTCTGTGTAGGATATAGATTTTATATAAGTCTAAATTGCCGTAATCACATTAGACTTTAATGGCGTCACTAGTTTTTTCTTTTTTTCCAGCTTTTATTGTCATTACACTGTCACAAGTACAGAGCAACAAAATGAACTCTCTGCATTTAACCCATCCTCTTAGGAAGCAGTGGGGTGCCATCGTGGGGCGCCCAGGAAGCAGTGTGAGGTTAACGGTCTTGCTCAGGGAACCAGAGTGGCAGTCTCTGGGAGTGGGGCCTTAACTCAGAACCTCTGGATTCCAAGCTCTAAGCCCTAACCACTAGGCCGCTTCTCCACACAATTGTAGCATGTTTGCCAGCATGTAAGTAACTCATGCTAAAATCAAGGGCCAATCATGAGCTCTTTATTTATGCTCCACCATTACATAAAGTTGTCTGCAAAGACTGAGACTTTAAAGGAATAGTACACCCAAAACATGATTAGCCTTCCTTTTCTACTCACCCCCATGCTGAACAACTCTCTGGAGTACCTTTTTGATATCTCAAATGCATCTGGAGATCTAGGAGGCTTCTTGCTGTCTGCTGACATTCAAATAATGGAGGTCTGTGGCGCCCGAGGCAGAAAGGTCCATAAAAGTCCACAAAAAACGTGTCAATATTCCTCCATACTGCTCGTCCAATGTATTCCAAGTGTCCTGAGTGGGTAGCATCCAGAATTTACTCGAAACGAAGTCATTAAGAATATTTTTAGAGCATAAACAGTAGTGTATAGGATTTCCTGAAAGCGTGCACATGCGCGATCACGACGCTACGGAAGCCGGCAGACCAAACCAGATGAAAGTGCGCATTCAGCTCGGCAAAGAACTCATGCTCTTCCTCAACACTGAAGTCCTCAGACATTTTTCTTTCGTTGTTTCTTTCTTTGCACAGGTAAACAGCACATTTCTTCTTCTACGCTTGCATTATTGGCAGAGCAGACGCTGAATGCGCACTTTCAACTGGTTTGGTCTGCTGGCTTCCGTAGCGTCGTGAACGCGCATGTTCGTGCTTTCAGGAAATCCTATACACTACTGTTTATGCTCTAAAAACATTCTAAATGACTTCGTTTCGAGTAAATTCTGGATGCTACCCACTCAGGACACTTGGAATACATTGGACGAGCAGTATGGAGGAATATTGACACGTTTTTTGTGGACTTTTATGGACCTTTCTGCCTCGGGCGCCATAGACCTCCATTATTTGAATGTCAGCAGACAGCAAGAAGCCTCCCAGATCTCCAGATGCATTTGAGATATCAAAAAAGTACTCCAGAGTGTTGTTCAGCATGGGGGTGAGTAGAAAATGAAGGCTAATCATGTTTTGGGTGTACTATTCCTTTAAGTTTACAGATGATAATAAATAAGATACTTATGCATATTATTGTACATCTCTGTCAGTAAATCCCTGCTATTATTACACACTGTAGTTTTAAAGCAAAAAAAAAAAAAAAAAAAAAAAAAACGACCATGAGCTTAAAATGTGAAAGGAAAAAGTGTCAGAGTCTTGGTTTGTTGGTTCCTGTTTTTCTTGGTTTTCCATTTGTTGTCCTCTGCTGCCCTCTTGTGTCCTCTTTCCCTTACTCTGTTTTCTGTTCTGACCTCACCTGTTTTCAATTCCCTCGTTAGCCCTCTCTTTGTCTCTGTCCCCTTTAAAAGCCCTCCCTCTTCAGTTCCTGTTTGCTGGATCCCCGTCTAACATCTGCCTGCCTTCCTCGTCTCTCCCTGGCTCCTAGAGTTTTGGTTTACCCCTGATGTCTCCTTGGTTCTGGTGCGTTTGTTATTTTCTGTTGGATTTTGATTCCTGCTCCTGTTCCTGTGAACCTTATTAAACCCACTTAAATTCACCTCTGCCTACTGGCCTCTGCATTTGGGTCCTCCAAACAAACACAGTTTCATGACAAAAAGAAGTAATTTCTTCAGAGGGACACAAAAGGGAACATCAGTTGTAGTTGCAGGTATGATTGTACTCATTACAAGACCACACATTTATTTGAAAATGGCTTCCTCCACCATTAAAAGCTATAATAACCAACTCACCCTGTAAAGTGAAATCATTGTATACATAACTTTAACGAGAAATTATCACTGAACATATTAAAGTTCTAACATGAGCATTTGCATTGTTTCTGACCCTGGCAACTGAAGTAAATGATATATGCAAAGGTTTTCTAACTAGCAGTTAGGGCCCGATTCAGACCAGATGTTAGGGGGAAGTGGAGATGGGGTGGCACCATGTTCATTATGGGAAGGGATGGCTAACTCAAGTCCTTAAGAACCAGTTCTTTGTGGTTTTTATGTTCTCTTGGTGTATGGGCCTGAATCAATTTAATGGTTAATTCAAAGGCATCTGCAGAGCTTAATGGCACACTGAGGAGGTCATTTAGGCAATAATTCAGCTGTGTTGGATCAGGGACATATCTAGAATATGAGTTTGAATGTCAAATGCTTTATCTGCACACAATTTTATTCAGTGAATCTAAACCAGGCCAGGGCAAAATTTGTGTTGAGCTACTGTCATGCTTCTACGTGCAAGGGGCTTCCTGGCTGGGAGGAAGCACCCACACCTCCAAATTGTACCCAGCAGTTGTCTAGTTAATAGGCAGTTTAGATCAACTTTACACTTGGAGCAAAGAGAATCTACAGAGCTAAATAAAACAAACAGTCCTATGAAATTGTCTAAAAACAATTGTCCCTCAGACTATAGTTGGAACATTTTTATTTTTTGCTTCATCATTGTGTTTTGATCAAACTTTATCTGATCATTGCTAAATCAAAACAATATTTTCTTGTGATTATCTCATTACTTTTCACTCAATAGTCTAAATAAGTATTTATAAATCATCTTTGAGGTGAATGTACTTATTAGATCCAAGCAACATTTAAACTGATTCTGACAATATATGTCAAATTCTCCAAAATGCTGCATTAATTTAAAACTGAATGCTAATAAATTGTGTATACTTAACAAACTAGAGATTAACAACATCGTTTTGGGATTATTATTTATTATCCTAAAATAAAACATCACATAAAAATCCAAGATAATCTGGTGTAATAAACAAAAAGCTAAAGCACGATATGTTGTTTTGTTGTTGTTTTGTCTTTTTTTAAATATCACACAATAATTATCTCCTCAGATACAAATAAAAAATATAAATTCTATCAGCAAAAGTGTTTTTTATTTGACCAACAGTGTACGGTAAGCTTGTCACCTTTGAATCTTTTGACAATAAATATCTGGAACTTCTGCAAAACAAAAAGCCAAAATACAAAAAAAAGAACAATAGCACTTAATGTGCTTTAAAAATCCAGGTCATACCGCACATAACAATGTTTTAAAAATCACAATGACCTCACAAAACACAGTGCAGAAAGCACAAAAGGCAGAAAAGCAACCACCGCACTGTTGGGCAGCATCACAATGTGCAGGGAAATGGAGAGAGCTCTATAGGTGGAGCTTTCCTGTTCAAACAACACTTCAATTCTACAAGGACCCAATTGCAAAGCTGTTTTTAAAGTAAGCCCAGAAAACCCAGGCATGCTGATGAACTCTCCAATGTTCTGATTCTAACTAT